TTGACAATATTAGATTACTGCTTGACCATCCAGATGTTCCCTGGCAAAAGGTTGGGAACGGTCTTCAAATGACTCTAGGCGCTGCTAGATTGTCTGTTTCCAAGACTACTAGAGCCCTCCCCCATTTCACCAAAGTCTTCACGCAATACTTTAAGCTTTGCAACAATGAGGCTTATGGATCCACCATTGTTGTCAACAAAAACTTGAAAACAGCTTTACACACTGACGCCCGTAATGAAAAGCTACCGGCCTTTCTTACTTCAATAACTCAGTATGGACAGGGCGAAATATTCCTCAAATCAGCGATTGGGGAAGACATCGTTGGAGAGCATCGGGGATTCAAAGTTCCAATTCCGATTGGATGCACTGTGGATGTCCCCACTTTCAAAATTCCACATGCAACATGTGAGTGGCAGGGCAATCGAATCATTGCGGTTCTGTTCACGGCCCCAATAAAAAGGATTGATGCTTGCAAGTCTAATCTTAGACTTCAATTGACACAGCTGGGTTTTTCAGTTCCTGATCGAGCCCATCACTGGGTTGATTGTGAATTAATGGGTATGCGGTTTGGTAAACCTATTTACAGTAAACCCACCTCCATCCGAGGATATCTGGTCGAAGCAGGAGACCACGATCACAATGCAACTGATAGTGATGAGTATGTTCGTGCCTCTGATTCGGAATCGTTGGTTTGGGATCTTTCTTCACTTGAAAGTGAGATTGAAGGCGAAGCGGCAGACACCACTCGCACATGGCCCGAAATCTTTGATTCTGACATTAGTGACATTGAACATTGCTCTGAGAGTATTGCTGCAACAGACATCGACGCATCTAATGAGTCTATGCAACATTATAACAACAAATCCGACAACGAAGACGATGAAAGCAGGGAGCATGGCGTAGCCTCATCACGAAAACGCAAGCACCATTCACCGATCAGGACGTCCCATGCTGGCAGCAGCCATTGTGCAATCAGAGACTTGGGTTTGAGTGAGGATTCGGTTGGGCCTAAGATTGGATCTCCTTGTATTTCGGATGCTTCCTTGCAGAGTCGTAACTTCTATGCGTCACAAGGCAGTAATTTCAGCTTTGCCGATTGCTATGACAGACCCGAGTTTGAAGCCGACGGAATGTTCGGGTTCAATCATAGTCGATCGTTAATTTGGGTTATATCAGCTGACCCAATTGAGCCATTTTCCGATGATGATATGAGCCATGTGATGTCTGGTGGTGCCGCGAATGAGACAGCGTTCCAGCCCAACAAAGCTGACATCAGCAAGCTTGTGCAAAAGCTTAAACCTGTGCAACACGGGTTTGCTCCGAAGCAGCTTCGAATGTTATTAATTTCGGATTTGAAATTCTGCAAAAAGATTGAACGCACTTCGGATGCAAAGCAGCTTCAAAGTTGTGTTATCGCTGCTGCACAAAGAATGGGATTAGCTACTAACATTGACAAGAACATCGCGATTGTCGATTCCAGAAGCACCGCGAGCAGCAGTCAACAAAAACCTATGAATGACAAGCCAGCTGCTAAAGGAAAAGCTTTTGAGGGTAAAGGTAAGTCTACTGCGAATCAAAAAGGAAAAGGCAGTGGAGCCTCTCAGCAGCTGGATTTAAAGGGTCAGGGCAAAGGGAAAGGTAAGAATGCTGGTAAGGGTTTGTCATCTGCCAATGCCAATGATGAGCATCATGGCAATACAGGCAAAGCTAAGGGCAAAGGCAAACAGCAAAGCATTTCCTATGACCTTGATCCTGACGGATGGAACGTTCGTCCGCTCAGCGATTTTTGTAACACTCACGGCGGGGTGTATGTTTGCGAAAAGGAAGAGCAGGCTAAACGTATAGCGGAACTTGGAGTCGGTAGGAATTATCCTATCGGTATTGTTGCGCCGTTCCCGATGGAGATAGGGGTTAAACAACCCGAACTCATGTGTCTCGAATTCCTCAAACGACAAGGGGAACACACACACACACACACACACAAAAAAAATTTCAATGCAGGCCTATCTTCACCAAATTACTTACACGGACGTTGAGTACCGAAAAACAGCGCCAGCAGTGAGCATTCAGAAACCGAGCACAGCTAAAAGCTCAGTTTGCTATTTAACTTTTAGCGACAATGGAGCTTGCGCGCAAACACAAATTGAAATTGAGCAAAAACGACTTCCTGCAGTTAAACAATGGATTTCTTCATTAGTGCAGCACAATCGCAATCTTGAAATCCTTGATGTTTGGAATGTTCAAACGATACAACAGCATGTCAATGAACGCATATACCAAGTTTCTGTCAGGATTCCGAGCGCTCAAGTGCCATCCTTGCTTGCCATGTCTGGACCTGGTAAACTTCAAGTCAATGTGCCTGGGGCTTTGCGCACTAACATACAGCATATCTGGTTGAAAAAAGAAGGGCGTCCCATGACTGATGACGAGGTCCTTGAGGTCATCGAAAATAATTATGATAAGCATTTAGGGGCCTTTAAAGTCCGTGGCACTTGGGCACTCAGAATGCTCAGTGAGCATCATGTTGAGATGAAATCCAAATTGGGCAAAAATGAAGACCCTGCCTTCTTCATAAGTAATGTTCCTCCGGAAATGGAAACTGAGAACATCGTTGACCTTCTGCAACAGTTGAAATGGAAAGCGACTGTTAAGGATGGCGAGAGAAGATGGAAAAAAGCTGGGTACACGTGGTTGGTCCGATCAAGTGAAGATCCCAAAGTTTGGCAGTTCCCAATCACTTTTGGATATGAAAGACGCACTCTCAAAATTGAAGCTGCTCGCAAGCCTAAGGTTGCACCAGCAGAGCCAATCTTTGACAACAACTTGCTTCACTTTCCCTCATGGAGCGCGCAATGTCGCATTGGCAAACTTCAGCCAAAAATGCAGCAGTCAAAAATGTCATTTATTGATGTTGTCAATAAGGCTGCTCGCAAACGACAACGGCCTGAAATTGCTACTGACATGAAAATTGATTCCGAAGAATGGACTGATTCGGAGGATGAAAAAGCAAAGCAAGATCCAAATGGATTGCAGCAGCAGCTTAATGACATGATGCGACAAAATAGTGAGCAGCAGCAAACTATCCAACAACTCATGCAACAAATACAAAATCTTACAGCACAGATTCAAGTATTAACTGCGCAAAATCTTGCTGGAGGAGCAAATCCCAGCCAGGTCAATGCAGTGAACGCTTTTCCTGCCTCATGAAGCGTGGAGTTCCACCAAAGGATTAAGCATGAATCCTTTGTTTGGAACATCATCCCCCACGGTCTCTGCTTTAGTTGTTGGGGTGAATGTTGCAAAGGTGGGTCTGAAAATGATAGTCGCCTCAACTGTGATTCGACTTTCCCTTCATCGTGGGAGGAAGCCTTTCATCGTACAACTTGTGCCATTCATGATAGCCAGGATAAAGCCAAAATGTCTCTAGGTACTTGGAACGTTAATGCCCTTACCCCGCATATTCATGAGGTCATCGCTTTAAATGCTGATGTTATAGCTCTTCAAGAAGTTCGTGTTGGTGCTGATTCTATGCCCAGCATACGGTCAACATTTCAGCAAAATGGCTATAACTTGTACTTCAGCGGACTTCCGAATTACAAACAGCAAGGGCACAACAAAAAATCGATTCATCTTGATCAAGCCACACCTGGAGTTGCCTTTGCTATTCGATCACACATTCCTGTGCAGGAGATTAGCATTGACAAGATGAGTAACTGGTTCCATAAAGGGCGTTTCCTCGCTGTGAAGATCTTCACTCAGCAAAGGTGGATTACTTGTTTTAATGTTTATGCTCCCACGCAGAACAGCATGCCGTTCCTTGACGAGCTTTTGCCTATGCTGGAAGATCACGCGCATCATAGCTGCATCCTTTTTGGGGACATTAACGCGGATTCGCGCAGCGGTCAGTTTGTTCAAAGTTGTCTTGATTCCAGCTGGTACCCGCTCACCTGTAGCACTAATTTCGATTTCTTCACTTATAAACACAGCAATGGCAACACTAGCTGCATTGATGTTATTGCCGTGACGGACCTACTTAAAGAATCCATAGCCCCGGTTCAAGCCACTGAAGTTCTTGACAAAGGGCATTCGTTTGTCCACACGTCAATTCACAACAACTTTCAGCAACAACCCACCTGGGAGGTTTACCATCAAGTTAACTTCAAAATTGATGACACTTGCGAAAATGAATGGCAAAAAGTTCTCTCACTATACACTTCGAAAATTGAAGACACATGCAGGGGCCGTCCTGGGAATGCAACCTCGCTTCCGATTGCGTGAGCAATTTAAAAATAGCAAGTTGCATTATCAATTAGGACAGGCCATCCAGAATCAGGATTGGCTGCAACACAAAAGCATCTTGTCCAAATCACAGCAAATTTCCAGGCTGAAGATCCAAAAGAACGGTCAGTCGCAGCACACTTGGACTAAGAATCTCTTCAAATGGGCTCGAGCTCCCTCGCCGCCTATCCCTTCTTGCATCGAGAGTGAAAGTTTTGGACAGGACGGTTTCACAAACTGTTTGCATGATTCTCTTAAAGAAATTACAAATTTCTTTGGGAAAGTAACAATCTTTTTGACTAGACCTAGACCCCCGTTTTACCTTTGAAACCTGTATCTGCTAAGAGCAGATTGGACAATCACGAGCGATCGTACCGAAGGCTCAAGGTTGCACAAAAGAGTGAGACCGCAAGTTTTGGTTTGGGTTTTTATGGTAGCGGAGCCTACCGATCCATTCCTTTGAGTCTGGACGAAAGGCCTTCGCTGCGGACGGGACCCAGATCCGCTGGTTGGTTGGTTAGTGGTGGTGCGGTCGGAGCTCAGGCCTTCCTGGGCGACTGAGAGCGGACAGGACCCAGATCCGCAATGAACTTTAGAGCCGTAGAGCTTGTGGTAGATCCGAGCCTGCCTTGAGCAGCATAGTTCCGCCTCCGCACTGTGCCGCCAGCGCTTGGGCAGCTGTCGTGCGCTGTGGGCTTTCTTGAGCCTTGGGCGGCTGCGGGATGGCTTCGCCTACAGCGGGAGCAAGTGAAGCTCCTCAAGGGGGACAAAGCCCTGGTGGAGCGAGCGAACAGCCTGTTCTGACAGGCGAAGTGGTGCTGAACCAGTTGGCAGCTGCCGTGGCGCAGCTGGCTCAGGCGACTACCTCGAGCGGTCAAAGCTCGAGCCAGTGGAAGGAGACGAAGTATGTGAAGGCCCCGGACCTCTTCAATCCGAAGTCTTTGGAAGAGGAGGCTGCTCAGTGGGGCGATTGGTCGTTCCACTTCCGCAACTTCATGACGATTCAGGACTCAGGCTACCGTTCCGACTTTGAGAAGTGTGAGTCCGCCAGCAGCTTTGTCAACTTTGCTGATTATGCTGCTGATGTGAAGGAGAGAGCCCTTCGGCTCTACTCTGTGTTGGCGAGCTACCTCCGGGGTCGCCCGCTAAAGCTGCTTCGTGCTAACAAGAATGGAGACGGCTATGCAGTTTGGAGGCAGCTTTGTGACGAACTACAACCACGCTCGCGCCCTCGTGCTTTGGCTTTGGCGCAAGCGCTGTCGCGCTTCCCACCGCACAAGGAGGGCACTTCTCTCTTAGAGTACATCTTGGGCTACGAACGGCTCATTGCGGAGTACGAGGCTGTGGCGACGCAGAAGTACCAGGAGGACCTCAAGATCTCGACGCTCCTTGCTGGCTTGCCTCAGGAGGTCAAGCGCTACATGTACCTTCAGGTCAACGACTCCACGACCTACTTGGGCTTGAGGGAGAAGCTGTTGCAGTACGAGCGGACGTCTTCTACGTGGACGGCAGAGAGTATGCTGAAGTCCCTCGGCGGCGGCTTCAACACTGACGCGATGGATGTGGATCGTGTTGCCGATGCTAAAGGCAAGGGCGGCAAGAAAGGCGATAAAGGACCGAAGGGCAAACACGGCAAAGGTGACTACGGCAAGAAGGGCGAGTACGGCAAGAAGGGAAATGAGAAAGGCTGGCACCGTGATGGTGGCAAAGGCTATGGCAAGGGCTCACCGAAAGGTGGGAAAGGCAAGAAAGGAGATCCTGGGAAGAAGGGCTCTCCTAAAGGCTCTTTGTCTTTGGTGGAGTGCTGGAAGTGTGGCAAGCGAGGACACTACGCAGCAGAGTGCCGATCGAGAGTCAACCAGGTGAACCAGGATGACGACGCAGCTTCAGTGCAGACGAGGGCAACGACTTCTTCTGCCACAACAGCAAGCACAGCCGCTCCTGCGGCAAAGGCGCAAGTTCGTCGAGTACATGTGGTGGACCTCGAGCAGCTTGATGAGGACCAGGTGCTCGGTGTTGAGTTTTTGGGCTTTGTGTGTATGGTGCAAGAAGTTGACAGCGATGCCGAAGACGAGCTTTCTTGCAGCAGTGTCCAGTGCTTCACCATAGGCAGCGACAATGAGAGTGAGTTTTCTTTTGAGCTTTGCAGTTCCCTTGACCTGACGGCAGATGATAGTGCTGAGCTTGAGGCTGAGAGTGCTTTCCATGTTCGTGCTGTTGCTGCTGACCCCAATTTGCATGAAGTGATTTTGGAAAGTGGAGCCGATTGCACCGTCTTGCCCCTCAGCTCGTTTGCAGACGTCGGCCAGCACAGTCGTGAGAGCTCGTTCCTGCTAGATGCGCAGGGCAACAGGATTCCGCAAGGCCAGGTCCGAACGTCTGTGGTTTTCGAGGTTGAGGGTATCGATGGTGAGATCATTCAATTTCGCGACAAGGCAGTGCTAGCGCAGGTTCGGCAGCCGTTGTTTTGCTTCGGGAAGTTGCTTCGTGATCAGTGGTTGCCCGAGCTGAATCCTCAACAGGGCTGGTGCCTCAGAAAGGGCGAACGGTCCTTCGGAGTGCACTGGAGCAAGAACTCTCTTGCCACCTACATGAGGATCCTGAGGGTCGAAGGAGAGTGCGCCAAGTCGGCTCACGAGCCGGCGTCTCCACAGGCACCCCCGGCCATGGCAGTGAGGTTGGTGGTCGAGATCTCTGACGATTTGGAGATTCATGCGCAGGCCCCAGGCTGGAGCTTGAATTCTAGCATGCAGCCAGTGCACATGGGAACAAACATGGAAACCACCTTTGATGGCTCTGGTCGCTTTAGTTGCTCAGATTGGCCGTTTAGGACCACACTTCTTTGCCGTGGTGATCGCAAATATGAAGTCTTTGAGTGCTGTGAAGTTTGGGAAGATCGTCTTGAGTTTGGTTTCGGTGCCTGTGAAAGCAAGGTGTTGACTATCCTCACAAAGGAAGCTATAGAGCCCAATGACCTCGGTAAAGTACTTCAGCAAGATCCTGCTCCACGTGGCGAACGCTCCTTTGATGAACCTCCCAATGAACCCTTGCAAGCCCCAGGTCTTGAGCCCGATGAGCCAGCAGACGGAGCAGCTGGCGATCCTGAACGAGACGGCCGCGGAGGAGAGTTTGCAATGCTAGGGCCTTCTCCGGTTGAAGTTCTTGGGGATGATGAAGAAGCTTTGGTGGTGAATGGCACGCGTCTAACTGAGATTAGTCCACTTCGTGAGCTTCGGCTTGGTTGCCGGTTCCTTGGCATCTCGAAGAACGGCTCAAAGTCAGCAGTGTGGCAGCGCTTGAAGAAGGAGGTAGCACACAGCAAGTTGCAGTTGGAGGTTGCAGCATCGGAAGCCGTGAGGGCAGAGTTTTCCCGAGATCCCATAGTTCAGGCACTCCCAGTTCCTCCAAGTCCCGAGCTAGTTGCACTACATGAAGTTACACATCTTCCTCGTGCTGATTGGTGTGAAGCTTGCATAGCAGCCCGGAGTCGTGAAGATAACTTTGAAGCAGCAGGCCCCAAACGTGAGTTCCCGGTGATCTCTCTGGATTTTATGTTTGTGAAGACTGACGGGGAAGAAGCACCTCTTGCCACTCACCTGGTGTGTGTGGACTCTCAATCCAAGTACGTGGTAGCAGTTGCACTTGCTTCCAAAGGAGGCAAAACCTTGAAGCATGCTGTGGAAGAGGTTGTTGGCATGCTGACGGTTCTCGGCTATGCCAAGGTGATTCTAAGGTACGACACAGAACCATCCATGAAACAACTTGTGAACTCCATTGTTGCTGTGCGTGCAAAGAACAACTTGGCGACAGAGCTCGAACCCGTCGGGCCGGACTCCTCTTTACATGGGGCACTCCGTTCTGAACGTTATCATCAGACTGTTCGCAACCTCGGCAACTGTCTCCTGAAAACAATAGAGCAACGGACAGGACACAAGGCCGAGACTTGGAGCCCGCTGCATTCCTGGGCGTTTGTGCATGCAGCCTTCCTGGTGACAAGGTTCCATGTTCACCGAGATGGGTGTACCTCCCATGAATTAGTACATGGACGGAAGTACGACCAGAAACTTTGCCCGTTTGGCTCTGCTGTTTATGCACAATACCTTCCGAAGAACAAAAACAAGGGAGAAGTTTGGCGACAAGGTGTTTGGTTGGGCAGAGCAAGAATTGGGAATCTACATGTGATCGGTGACAGTGCTGGCATTCACTTTGCCAGAACCATTCGGAGGCCTCCCAAGGCCTACGACTTGGAGCTTCTGAAGACCATGCGGGGGACTCCTTACGACTTCCTGCTGGATGTGGTGCCCGTGCGCAAGAAGAAGGTGGACAAGGATCGATTGCCGATCTTGGCGGAGGCTGGGAACGCTGGTCCAGGAGATGAGGCTGCAAGTGACCCTACCTCCTCTGAGGCTGGGGGCGTTGGATCAATGAGCATGAGCTTGCCTGGTCAGTCTTCTGGGACGGGTTCTTCCTCTTCTACGGAGCTTATTCCTGATGCTATGGACGTTGAAGGCGGCGTCAACCAGGCCGCTGAGGATGAAGATGGCGTTGTTGTTTCGGCTGAGGGGGGACCCCCCACAGGCCACTTCGAGGAGGAAGGCTTCCATGGCGTTCCAGAAGATTGGAGCGACATCTTCGAGGAGACTTGGGAGATCGAGGGTGTCTTGCAGGAGGCGGAAAGACGCAAATACGAAGAAGGGCCTCCTGTGCTTGATGCCGACGCTCTTGCGGCATTGGATGCTGAGATGGATGAGGTGGAAATCCAGAGGCTCTTGGGAATGAAAGTCCTTGAAGAGATTGGCCCCGACGAGGACGTGAGTGACATGTACCGCTTAGGCTGCAAGAACGTTCGAGATTGGAGGTTTCGCAACGGCTGGGTGCGGCGATCACGCTTGGTTGCCAAAGAGTTTCGCTTTCTGCAGCCGTACATGGAGAACTTGTATAGCCCTGCTTCGCTGAGTTCTACACAAAAGTTGCTTGCACGACTTTGTTGCTGTAATCCCCAACTTCGTTTGTACAGCGGTGACATCAAGGATGCATACCTCACTGTGAAGCAGAGACGGAAAACCTACATTGTCAGCAACAGCGGTCGCATGTACAGACTGCGCTACAATCTGCCCGGACAAAGGGCAGGTGCTCGAGACTGGCATGAGAAGCTTAAGGCAGTGCTTGAAAGTGATGGTCTTCGTGCTTTTGAAGGTGCCCCAGCCCTCTTCTATGAGCCCCAGAGTTTGATCGTTTCCACACATGTTGATGACCTGCAAATGCTAGGACTTGATGCACGGGTGCAGCGTCTGACCAAGAAGATCGATGAGGCAGATCTTCAGTTCGGTGTTGAGGGGCCGTGCACGCCTTGGTCGGGTGAGTGTCGCTTCTTGAAGCGGAAGTTCATGGGGGTCAACGGGAGCATTGTCATAGAGCAAGATGGGAAACACGTCGAGAAGCTGATCAACCTGGTCGGTGTCGAGAGAGAGTCTGGAAAGCAGACCCCATGCCCCATGAACCCCAACGATGTGAAGTCCACGAAACCTCTATCTTCCGAAAAGTACCCAGCTTACCGCACGGCCATAGGTATTCTCCTCTATCTCGGCCCCGATAGACCCGAATGCCTCTACGCGATCAAGCTGCTCTCCGCGAAGACTTCCAACCCTACAGAACATGAGTGGCATCTTTTGCGACACCTCGTGAGATACCTGAAGTTGCATCCCAAGCGTGGCATTTCTTTGAGTGCATGCAATCCTGGCAGGACCGTTGAGCAGCGCTGGCTTGGGAACCCTGGTCCTGAGCGAGGCCCGGAAGCTGATGCTTCCCAACCTTTCGGGAACGGACACCTCATAGAATCAATCTCTGACGCCTCGTGGGGTGGAGAAGCCGACAGGCGGAGCATCAGCGCTGCAGTTATATTTTTAAACGGGAATGCGGTGCACGTGGGCAACAAGAGGCAGAAGAGTATATCGCTTTCTTCTTGCGAGAGTGAGGTCCACGGGAGCTTGTACTCCATTCAGGAAGGGCTTTTCTTGAAAAGGCTCTTAGAGACTGTGTGCGAGAACAGCGTGCACCTCGTTCATCGAGTAGACTCTTCTTCGTGCAGGGCATTCATTGATCGTGTTGGTCTGGGACGTTTGAAGCACATTGACATAGCACAGTTGTGGGTGCAAGATCTCAGAGCTCGCAACATGTTCACTTTGAAGCCTATCTCTACGAAGTTTTGCCCGCCGGACCTTGCCACAAAGCCGATGAGTGGGGTGAGATCCAGAATGCTAGAGTATACCATAGGAGTGTGTCAGTCTGATGGCACCCTCATCGGATCGGAAGAGTTCGAAGACGAATGGAACAGAGAGCAGCTGCGGCGAATCCGCAGTACCAAAGAGGGTGTGAGTTCAACTGCTAAGGCCTATGTTGCAAGGAGGGTCCTGGCGCTCTTGCTTGCAAGTGAGGGTCTGAGCTTTGCAGATGGAGTCTCTTTTCTGTCTCGAGATCCGAACACCCCGTTCATGATGACCCGGTGGAGCTTTGGCTTCATGATGGTGATTCCTGTGCTGCTGGCGGTGCTCTTGTCAAGACCGAGGCCTACTTCAAGAACTACTTCAAGGCGAGCGGTGACGACAACGGCGAGGAAGTGAACGTCGAGAACTTCAAGGTGACGAGGCGCTTGGAGGAGACCGTCGAGTACCACAACAACGTTGAGGAGACCAACTTCTTGGAGAATGCCTTCTACATCATGGCCTTCTTTGCTTGCGTGATTGGCTGGCTTGCTTTTCAACTGGGCGTCCACTTTGGGCGCGAAGGAGAACAAGGCCAACTTGGAGATCAACGTGGACAAGACCTTCAAGCTCCTCTACTTGAACGTGGCGATTCAGATGTACCTCATGGCAGTGACCATCCTCTTCTTCGACGTGGCGATCAACCGGAACCTCTTCGTGAAGATCCTCCCGAAGTTCAACAAGGTGCTCAGCGTGTTCCAGGCGAAGGAGCTCAAGGTGACGATTCTCCTGATGAAGGGGAACATTGGGATCAGTTTGCGGCTTTTGTGTGGAAACACCTCGGGTTGTCAGGTGCCACCGCCTCTACAAAGCCAATGGCATCGACTACTCGGAGGACCTTCTTCGTCACTGGGAACAACACCGTGAAGTTTCAGTCGAGTTCCTTGGAGAGTTCGAGGGGCGTGGTGCGGCAGCTGATGCTGCTACTGGCGAGGAGCTGGGTGGCGAAGTGACCGATGCTGCTGCAGAAGTCCGTGGAGACCAAGGTGAGCAAGTGTGGCTGGTCGGTCGTGGCTCTGCTTTCCACAAGGCAAGCTGTGGCATGGTCAAGAAGGCACAACCTCAAGGAAAGGCGCGACCGTTGGAGCGAGTGACTGCCGTAGCACAGGGTTACAAGCGTTGTGGACAGTGCAAACCGTGAGTACAGTGCTTTTGCAGACTTTGAGCTGAGTTTGAAGTTCCTTTCGAAACCTGAGCAGCTAGCCTAAGAGGTTAGCGTTGAGAGTAGTGCTAAAGGCACTGCTGTCGAAAGCTTGTGGTTTTCAGAGGTCTGAAACAGGCCACTGAAAAAGGGGGGTAACAATCTTTTTGACTAGACCTAGACCCCCGTTTTACCTTTGAAACCTGTATCTGCTAAGAGCAGATTGGACAATCACGAGCGATCGTACCGAAGGCTCAAGGTTGCACAAAAGAGTGAGACCGCAAGTTTTGGTTTGGGTTTTTAGAAAGTTTACAAAAGCAGTCGGGCGCTTTCTCCTGAGCAGCAAGCAGTTCCACGCCAATACTGTTGTGATGCTTCACAAGTGTTAGATATCAACCAACATGTTCAGGCTATCATTGCGAAGGCTGATGCCTCCAAAGTCCCGGGACTTGATGGATTAGAAGTTGCGCATCTCAAGCAGTTGCCTTACTCTGCCGTGCTCTTCCTTGCACACATCTTTCACAAGTCAATCCAGCGACATCGTGTGCCCTTGATGTGGCTTAACTGCAAAATGACTTGCATACCTAAAAAGCAAGGGAAAACTTCAGTTAAAGATTTAAGGCCTTTGACAATCACACCTGTGTGTTACAGGATTTTCTGCAAAACCATTTTGCTTATGTGTCGTGAAACACAGCAAAATATTTCTGAACATTCAGTTGGAGGTGTTAGTGGAAGATCTGCTTTTCATGCCTGGCTGCCTGCAGCACTCATGTGTGAGGCCACTTGGAGGCTAGATCCACTTGTTCGCGCCACAATCCAAGGTGTTGCCATTGATACAGAAAAATTCTTTGATAATGTTCCCATCGACAAAGCTTGCGAAAGTTTGCTCCATATTGGTGTCCCTACCTCCGTTGTTGCGACGTGGCAGTTTATGATTACCAACATTCAAAGATTTGCCTCGCTTAATGGTTCTGTTTCTAAAAATGGATTCAGGGCTTCTTTGGGAATTCCGCAAGGTAATCCTTTAAGTATGCTTGCTGCAGCTACAATGTTAGGAGCGTGGGCCAATGAATTGCCCCATGATGAAATCTTTGCTAAGGTTTTCGTGGACGATCGCCTCATGTTGGGTAGTAACGCACAGCAATTACAGCAAGCCTTCCACATCACTCAGTTTTGGGACAGTTCTTATGCGTTTAAGACTGAAGCCAAAACTGTTGCGTTTGGTGACAACGCCGAGGCTGAAAAATCTTTGGTGGCTCGATGGTTACGAAGTTAAAAGACAGAAGCAAATTGTTTATCTTGGGATACCACTCCCTCTCAATTGCACTTCGGCCTCCAAATTTTTCAGTCCCATCTTACAAGACTGCTATGTCCTTTGAAACAAAATCAGCAGATCACGCATTACTCATGACAATGCGGTTACTATTGTTGCTAGGAAGATCATCCCTGCCATTTGCTACCTGTGTACTGCCGTCAGGCCCACTAAAGCACAAATTGAAAATTTAAGGTCAAAGATCTTTGAAGCGACAGCCTTCCGCAAATGTCAAACACAAAATGCACACAGTGTCTTTTGCGAACAAACACATCTGTTTGATCCTGAAAGTGCAATGGTCTATCATAATTTAAGGTTCTGGAGACAAGTATTTATTCAATCACCGTTACTTGCACAACAACTTAAACACATGCTGGAGCAATCTGTCCCTACCAAACATGATCTTTATGGTCCCATGACCATCTTTCAAAGAGACCTGGATTGGCTATGCTGCCGCTTCTCACCCGACGCTGATGCTATCAGCAACAGTGAAAATGATTGCATTCTTTTCATTGAGCCTGACAAGAAGAAGTTTGAGCATTTCATTCGAGATCAGATCCGCAAGAGATTTTATCAGCAATTAGAACAAAAACATCCAAAATGGAAAGGAGTCGTCGATGTTGATCTGCAAGCAACAACAAAGCTGCTTCGAAGCTTAGAGCCGTCCTCGCCTTTTAGGAATCCTGTCATTCGGATGTTATCCGACGCTCATGCTACACCGTATAGGCTTCATAAGATGGGCATTAAAGCTACTCCGCACTGTCAATATTGCCTTCACGAGGAAGGCAATATTAAACACATTATATGGGAATGCCCACGGTTCGCCGAGCTTAGACGATCCTGGCCTCAGGAGCTTCTTGATAACAGTCAATGGCCGGAATGCGCTAAATCGGCCCTAATATGCTCGAATCTGCTCCCTGAATCCACGCGTGGTAAATGGCATCAACTCCAACTTCTAGTTGCGCAACTTTTGTATCACTGGATGGAAATGAACAGAGACCCTGATAACTACCAGCAGTTTGCGCCTGAAGAAAATCAGCAAAATGACATTTGCGGTGAGGCTCTCCCGATGCAGAACAGACAAAAAACGGAAATGTGTCTTTCACAAGCACTTCCTTTGCAATGGAATCCCCCTAGCACACGCACTGAATGGAACAAATGGGTTAGTACTATTAAAGATTTTGCGCTGATTTTCTCTTTTTGGGCAAAATGGACCAACATTAACTGCCAAGGTGCTGTCAAAATTCGCACTTGGACTCAAGCACTTGCCCTGTTTGTGCAATATGGCGGCACTAATGCTGATTTCTTGGGTCAATTCTCAATGACGGACAAGACAAATGGCTTGCTGCCTTTCCGAATGAGACGGCATTTCCCGATAATTTTTACTTCATTCCTGATTGGGATCTTCTTGAGGCTTCTAACAACATCCAAAAACTTCGAGTTGAGACTCGACTTGCCTCAAACATCAATCCACATGTTCTGCGTATCACAACTGCCGCTTTTTGTGAAGCGGTAGGTCTTAAAGCTAAAACACTTATGAGTAGTCCCTTGTCCGAAGAATGGCCAATTCCGAGATTTAAGAAGAAAGGCGCGCCCATTCCCTGGGTTCTTCAAATTAGGAAGTTCAAAGATGGCACTTCCCAGCAGGTGAACTGCATTTCTCAAGTCCCTCTTGAAAAATGGATGTCTATGTCTTCAATTGAAATTAGAAATGCTCTTCCACCCAAGCCTGGGCCTTTGAAGCGATTCAGAGCTGCTAAGAAAAGATTGACCAGATTTAAAGATACCCTTGAAAGATACAAGCAAAGTCAATTACTTGAAAATGATTTTCGCACACACATCATTCAGCCTGTTTGGGCTTCAACGGAAGCTTGTGCAAATTGTGGCAAGTTACTCAACTTTTCCGTTGAGCCACGAAACCTCACGCGCCGTTGTCCGAGTCCCTGCGACTTCTGTGTACAGTTGCTTGATTCCTGGTCGGCACAGTACGATTCGATGTTAAACTGCATTGATCAAATCATTGCAGTAATTAGTTAAGACGCCTAGCTCAAAGACAGCTAGCTTATTCAGCGATGCAACACGCATCTTTCGAAGTACTCGCCTCAGACTTCTGTCCGATCCGCCCCCAAACCCGATTCTAATTATTCAGGCCCCAAAGTTTAATGGGCCTTCATAATTATAGTTTAGTCGGCCCCAAAGTTTAATGGGCCCCAAAACCCCTATTCCAGTTATTCAGGCCCCTATATTAAGCTCTGTATTAAAGGCGCAGGGTTCGGGGTTTCGGGCTCACGGCTTCAGGGCTCGAGGTCTCAGGTTTTGCATGCATTGCGCCCTAAACCCAAAATCCTACACCCTGGTTTCTAAGCCCACATCATACTATACCATACCGCAACATACTTTCTTACTATACTAGACTAGACTATACTAACACTATATACTATACTATTCTATGCTAGACTATACTATACTAGACTATACTAATACGCTACCATACAGCTGTGACGCCACGTGCGGGGCTGCTGCTTGCAACCTGAGCGGGGCTTCAGGGCTTTTTTCGGGGCCAGGGCTCCGCTGGATGCGGGAAGTTTAGGGGGTTAATGGTAATAGCAGTAGTAATACGGTTGATGATATAAATCCTGCATTCCTTTAAGGACCCTAAACTATGGGAACTATGGTATATTCCTTATTATGGGTAGTGCAGGATTTATATCATCAACCGTAGTAACAGTAAAAAGTAGGAGTTTAGGCGGCCTTTGGGGCGGCAGTGGAGATTTCTGGACAGGGATTTGGCGTTTCGGTCTTGGGTTTGGGGTTTAAGGTTTAAGGTCTAGGGCCTATAGGGTTTAGCGTTTTAGGGTTTAGGGTTTCGGGTTTTAGGGTTTGGGGTTTTAGGGTTTAAGCTTTGGCCTAAATCCTACGGGCGGCGAAAAGGAGCTCCAAAAATGGTTCGGCCTCGCAAGAGCTGCATCAAGCCCAGGTGCAGCTGATCGAAAAGATCGTAGAGGCTGGCCGAGACGGCTATCAGGGTTTGGGTTCAGGGGTTTAGCCTCTACCCTAAACCCTCAACTCTAAACCCTAAAAGTAGGGGTCAGGGCTGCATGGGTTAAGGATTGGGGTTTAGGGTTCAGGGTTTGGTCTTAAGGTTGCAGGGCTGATGTTCTCCGCACTGGTTCGTAGTTTTGAAGATGTTCCTCTTTTCCAAACTATCTTGCCGTTCGCTGTCACATTGTGATCATAGTTGCGTTACGCTCTACTTCAATGGGCACTTGCAGATGAGGAGTCCGTCTGTACTATACGGTCTCACACTGATTCTACAAGCGCTCCGCAAGGTTTTGTAAGGTGTTGTCAGTGTTTTACAAGCTGTGCAGGCGTGCACCTACGGAAGGGACACTTGTGCCATGTTCGAACGTCGCTCTGTCATATTTGTCAGTGTCGGCGCGGAAACAACGAAAACGTTGGAGGGCCATCCACGTCCAATTCACTCCACACATGTTTCGCCAACCCGTGCCCACAACCTGTTTCCCCCGATCTCCGCCCGCGAGCGCCCGACCTTATAGAAAGAAAGAACATAAGGAATACTAGAATATCGATCCAACGCTATCTCCGGCTGGGTTCCAGCTGCGCAGTACGTATTACCAAGAAGGCACTAAGCAGACTCCGGAAGCAGGCTCGGATGAAAGCCTGCGCCCAACCCACTTGGTCTAGGATCGTGGAAGAATCGTGTAATATGGGGGCCTAAATAAACAATTACCAATACTTTTTTGGGGGGGCTCTTTATTATAATTGTAGTAGAATGGGCCCCCCAAACCCCATTCTTATTATTTTCGATTTATTAGGCCCCTGTCGAAATCAGCCTGCAGCTTCCGTGAGGTGCCCAAGGTGGAGGTCCAGGAGAAGTACGTAGACGTGCCGACCACCCTGTACCAGGTTCACTACCAGCGCTGGGGAATCGAGGGGGGTTATGGCAAACATTCTTGGGCATGTACCCCCGAACGCCCTTCTGTCCAGATATGAAGGCCGTTATATCATGGAGATCCTTTGTTTCTATCTCTAGTTGTTGAGGCCCTCATATGATGGAGATCTGGCTGCCTTTTGCTCTTTGTTCTGGGCCCTCCACAAACTCAGATACATGTTTTGTATGGGCCGAAACTAATTACCAGTACTATTTAGAGGTTCCTTCTTATGAATATAGTATAAAAAATAATCCAAAAACTCTATTCTGCTTATTCAGGCAACATAGTACCATTCTTTGCACAACCTGGGGCGGCATCAATCTAATCCTCGATGGCCGGTCCTCTGTAGTCTTGAAGAGGGTGCCCTGTTCAGCGATATGCCCATTCCGCAGATCGGACTTCTGAGGGACCGTGGCAAGGAAAAGCATTTCCATCCATCCGGCGGCATTGATCTCGGAAGATGCGGTTTGTCGCACAATCTTCACTGCTGCAGCGTAAACACACTAAATCTCCCGGGTCCGCAAATCCTGCATAGAATCAGAGCCCCAATAAGGGCCTTTCTGGAACCCTGAAGGAAGGAACCCCGCAAGGAGCCCATGAAAGGAACCCTTAAGGCGACCCTTAAAGAAACCCTCAAAAGGAACCCTCAAAAGGAACTCTTCGTGGACCCTTAAAGGGAATCCTTAAAATAGGGACCCTTCAAGGCACTCTTTATGGGACCCTTACGAGATTAAACATGACGCTTGAAGGAACCCTTGGAGACCCTTCAAGGAACTCTTAATGACCCTAGACGGGACGGACGCCTAAAGGAACCCAAAGAAGGAGAGGAAGCTCTAAACCCTGGCTGAACCTTTCAGGAGAAGGTCGTGGAGGTGCCTCAGGTTCAAGTCGCTGAGGTCGCAACTCGGCGCGGAGAGTTAGGGTTTAGGGCTTAAGGTTTAGGGTTTAGGGTTTAGGGCTCAGGGCTTTCAAGATTCCTTTAGGGGTTTCCTTTAAGGGCCCACTCAGGGTTCCTCTTCACGGGTTCTTTTCAGAGTCAGAGTTCCTTTCAGTGCTTTTTTCTGGCTTCGTTTCTGGATTCATTTGGGTAGTTGTCAAAATTAGGGTGCCTAACTGGGTACCCTAAATAATAGGTGCCGTCTTATAATAAGGACCCAAAAGGGGACCATGATTTTGACAACCACCCATTTAAGGGTTCTTTTGAAGCTCCTTCAGGGGTTCCTTAAGGGCCGGAGCCCGAAGAAGCGGCTTTGTAGGGCTTAGGGTTTAGGGTTAAGAGGTTTAGGGTTAGGGCTTAGGGATTTGGGATTTAAGGATTTCGGTGATTAGGGTCCTGCTTGGGCGCTCAAGGGTTTCGGGGTTTAGAGGTTTGGTGCTTGTTTTGGGTTTGTGTTTCAGGGCTTAGGGGGTTGCAGCCACCAGTACCTAACAAACCCTATCTCTAACCAGAGTTTCATCCTAAGTCGTCAGCACTTGAACCCAAATTCGCATCCTCAGTCCATGCCCGGAGCGAACATGGGAGCAGTTCTAAGCAGCAGAAAGCAGGGAGAAAGCCACAACAGATACATTTGCAGGAATCACAACCATGTTATACTCGTCATGAAGGTAAGCACCGGCAGCAATCGCGATAATGGAGATACCTCCAGTGGTCGAAACGAAACTAGCAATCGCAAGACGCATCTCGACCAGTGCAGAAGCATGACGAGCAGGCGACAGTAGAGGCAATTTTTTGTACACTTTTGATTGCCCGTACCGGCTTTAAAAAAAACATAGGTTTTATAGGCTTTTAAGAAGCCTATGTTATCTCAGGTGAGACAAGTGCCCAAGATTGAGGTGCAAGAGGCTGGGGTACCCAAAAGCGGCAGTTCCGCATGGAGGACTCTGGGAGCGTTCAGCTTCGCCTTAGTGAGGGCTTAGGGGTTGGGGTTCAGGGTTCAGGGTTCAGGGGGTTCAGGGTTTAGGGTGTAGGGTTCAGGGTTTAGGGCTTAGGGTTTAGGATTCAGGGTACAGGGTTCAGGGGTTTGAGCGAGGGGGAACGGTTTGGGGTTCCATAAAGTTTCGGCATGCAGGGGATGACAGATGTAGGCATAGGGTCGAAGGTCGTCAGGGACTTGTGGAACACACAGGCCATCTGCATTGGCCCCAACCATCGTAGCTGCAAGACTCTAGACCCGGGACCTGCAACACTACCAAAACCCGGAAAAACTTGCATCCGGAAGCTAGAGGCTCTCAATCCTCATGTACCATGGACCCAGAAATTTTAAACTCTCCATGAGACAGAGACCACAGTCCCGCATTTTTGAAGCCGTTCAGGTCATGAAGGAAGTCAGCAAGCCCATCACTGAAGTCTACGAGAGGATCGTGGAGGTTTCCGGGAGAGTTCTTGGGCTTGCCGGAGGTTACGGTTTGGGGTGTAGTAGGGTTTGTAGGGCATAGGCACAGGGTGTAAAGTCAAGAAGTAAAAAGTTTGGGGCCTTGCTTGTGTGTGTGGTTTCGATGCAGGGCCAGGGTGTAAGGCTTGAAGGCTTATGATGGCGTCCCCATAGGGTTTAGGGTTTTCGGTTTAGGGTTTAGGGTTCATAATCATCCTACCCCTTAAACCCCTTAAAGCAACCCTTGAAAGGAACCCTACACCCCGAACCCCTAAGGGAACCCTTTAAGGGATCTCTATGGTTCTCTTTAAAGACTCGTGTACCCCCCAAAAAAGCCTCAGAAGCGATTCCTCCCGGTGAGTGTTCGCAGGATATTCCATCGCCGGCCTGGCCTTCAACCCCAAACCCTACTTAAAGGATCATGGGACTTAGTAACTAGGGTTATAATTATGGTAACTATACTTATGACCCCAATTAGGGTACTTATAACCTTACTTACTAAGTCCCATGATCCTCCAAGTACGTAAACCTTACAACAGCGCATAGAAACCTTAATCCATGGGCCTAAATAATGAACAACTCGATTTTGGGGTTCCTTATTTTGATTCTTATAGTATAATATACCCCCCAAGCCCTATTCTTATAATTCAGGCCCCTTCTGTGTGGGGTTTAGAGTTTCAGGGCTACAGCAGGGGTCAGGGCTTGGGGTTGGTTGACTGGCTGATGTTCGCTATACTGGCTTTTCTGTGCGGCAGGACAGGTTGCAATCTCTGAGATCGTCGTGCGCGGTGCACACATAAGGGCCTGAATTATAAGAATAGTGTTTGGGGGTATATTATATATACTATAACAAGCAAAATAAGGAACCCCAAAACAGAGTTGTTCATTATTTAGGCCCATGGATCAAGCCTGTCAGGGGTCAAGGCACCGCATCAAGAACCTCAGACCATGAACCCTAGATCGTGTGCATGTCCCGCCCCTGAATCCCTTATCCCATTATCAGCCTTTATCTACCCTCCCTAAACACCAGTCCCTTATCCCTTATCTACGCGAAATTCGGGCATTTCGCTTAGACACATGGGGTCAATGTGAGACTTTTATATCAAGCCAGGGTTTTGACGAAACCTTAAGAAGCCCAAGCCAACAAAAGCCTTGAAGCCCAAACCGTAGCGCGCGGAAAAAGTTAAGCTCCGAATGAACTCTCAATCCCTAAGCCGCTCATTTTTGAGGGCTTGTGGTGATTAGACTTGTGGGCGCCGATGGACTTCGCTGCAGCTGACGCTCAGCTCGCCGCTGCGCTGGAGGCTAGTGAGATTACTACCCGGCTGCTTCTGGGCTTGACTTTTGACTTGGGTTTCGGTAAGGGTTTTTGCTGTGAGGGTGGGGGTGGGGGTCGCCAGGGATAGGGAGCAGACGATGGAGCTGAAGTGGTTCTATGTACTTAGTAATGCTTTTCCTTTGGGCTCCTCATTATGTCATAATATAGTACATGTATACATTTTTATGTATATATATATATATATCCATATCCATATCCAAATCTATCTATATCTACATCTACATCTGGATCAATGTCTATATCTGTATCTATATCTATATCTCGTCCCTGTTCGTATGTTTAAGCGCCCTATAGTAGTATATGTGGTGGCTGCAAGAAGGAATCCATTTCCTCTGTTGGCTATTGCGCTTCTCCTGAGGGAGAGGCGTCAGCTGCACCGTTCCTAAACACTACGCCCTCAATCTCTAAACTTCGTTGTCAGTGGAATCAGACTGGTAACTCATGTACGAACCCCATGCCCTAAACGCTCAAGCGTCAAAGTCCCCCAGAGTTCCGAACGCCCTAAAGAACCTAAACCCCAAACTCGGCAGATCTCAGAGAGCTTTTCGAGATAAATCGTGATTGCTGGGCAAGCAACTGCATCGGCTTTGGTGCCGAAATCTCAGCGGAGTCGGATTTTTCCACCGTTTTAGGAGTGGTGGAGCTTGTGTAGTGACCTGAATGCTATACACAGTGGTTTTGCTAGGTGCCGGCCTTGCCACACGTATCTCCGAGATGTAGAAGCATACGGTTATACTCGCTACTGAGGCTCCTTTAGGACCCTACAACGTGGCAGGACGTCTGTGCGGATGCCTCTGCGACCCCTCGGCGCCATATCCTCAGCTCTGGGTATCAGGACAGTAGTGTTCCTTACTAGTATGACAAGCTGTATTATAATCTACCCGCAAACCCTTCTCTAATGAGTTACGTTTCAAAAAAATCTAAACGCAATGGTAGAACCAGCCCGAAAGCTCGGTGCTTCACGATCCGCGGGTTCATGTATAGGCGATTTTCGGAATTGTTGTTCTCGTTATTGTTGTTATTATTATGCTGACCTCAAATGTCATAATTGTCGGTTGAAAAGTAGTTCCTCTTGCCATGCTAACTATGCTCTTTTGTATTCAAAGCGAAGTCGCTGTGATGCGTTCCCTAAACCCTAACCCTGAAACCTTAAACCCTAAACCCCTCAACCCTTGAACCCTGAACCCCAAAACCTTTCCCAGGCTCTTGCACACTTTGCCACAGGTACTTACTAAGCTACTCCGCGCCCAGCCCTAACCAGAAACCCCCTAACCCCTAAACCCCGAAACCCTAACCCTACCTAAATCCCAAACCCTACCTAAATCCCAAACTCCTAAACCAGAAACCCCCAAAACCGTGCCCAGGCGTTCTGGCGGCGGTGAGCGAACGACAGGTCCGGCGCTGGCGGGCGCGGCCTTCCCGGGCCACGGGGAGCTTCGAGAGGCCTGCGGTTTTTTGGGGCAGGGTCCTTTAAGGGTTCCTCTAAAACCTTAAACCCTAAACCCCTAAACCCTAAACCCTAAGGGTTTAGGGGCTCTTTTAAGGGTTCCTTTCAGGGTCTGGGTTTGAGGTTGAGGGTTTCGAGGTTCTGGGAATCAGGGTTTATGGGTTCAGGGGTAGTTTAGGGATTTAGGGTTTAGGATATACCTTAACCTACCAAACCCTACAAAAAAGTAGGGTCCCTATAAATTCCATATTAAGGTTCGTAATAAGAAGCTGCAAAAAAAAGGGTTTGGTAGGCTAAGGTAGGGGTTTTCGGAGGGTGGCCGGAAGCTTGAGGGTTCTATGAGAGTTCTACTCTGCGGGTCTCATGCGGGTCAGGAGCTTGGGACTTTAGGGTTAGTTTGTAGACATTTACAGGCGCCTGAATAATCAGAATGGGGGTTTTCGAGGGATATTCTAGTAGCCGTCAGTAAACAATCAGAGTGTAAGGCCTTGGGGAAGCGGTTTTTTTAGTCAAGGGTCTGCGTCAGGGCTTAAGGTGCACGGGGTTTAGTGTTGCGTCTAGGAGTCTACCTTAGCCTACCAAACCCTTTTTTTTTTGCAGTTTCTTATTACGAACCTTAATATGGAATTTATAGGGACCCTACTTTTTTGTAGGGTTTGGTAGGTTAAGGTAGGAAGAGGTTCAGCGGCCGTTCCTTCAAGTGGGAGCCATACGGCAGAAACGAAACTTCCACCAAGGCAAAGATTCAGACGATGAGGGCCACGGTTTAGGGTTTAGGGTTTAGGGTTTAGGGTTTAGGGATGGGTAGTTCTCTAAGATTGGGTCCCTTTTACGGTCGTGCTTAGAAGGGTGCCGCGCGATTTTGGAGGACTTAAGAAGGGACTCCAATCTAGAGAACTACCCGAATACAGACGCAACCAGCAACATCAGAGGATCTTCATCTGCGAGAAGAGAAGCCCTAAACACTAAGCCCTACGCCCTGTCTTTTGTTGGGGTGATGTGTTTGCCGATGGCAGCATGAAACCCGTTGTCAGGCGATGCGGGCAGACAGACAAAGAGACAGTCAACCCAACTTTGAACAAAACCTTAGTTTAAGAACACCGCATGCGCAGGCTTCGACCAGGGACTGCGCTTGCGCTGCTCGGGGCACTTCGTGTTGGACAGGTGGTCGGGAACTTTTTTGCCTTTGGGGTGTAATTTAGGGTTAATTATTAAGGGATTGGAGTTCGGATTGACAGTTAGGTTTCAGGCTCTATAGGCGAAGGATGGCCTTGTGGTGTGACAAACCGTCACTTGCACATGTCAGAGGTTCGGGACAATTGCCTAGCTACGAGGTGTGATTGGTGTTGGCTGTAGCATTGAAAGATCTAGGAATCTCTCACGTTTGCCAGCTTAACCGCGAAACCCTACACCAAACCTGAACCCTAAGGCCTAAGTCCTTCCCTGCACACCCTAAACCCCTAAACCCTAAGCCCTAAACCGTCAGGCCTCATCCTCAAACCTAGGACCTAAGCCGGATTTGGGTGTACCCTCCCCGCCCCTACGCCCCCCGGTGTCCTCAGGGGAAGGGATGGTAGTCGAGTTTCTTTGTTTTTGTCATCTTTCAGGGGAGCTCAGTTTGGGGTTCAAGGGGGCATGGGTTTTCGGGCTCAGGGGGGCCGGGGTTTAGGGTTTAGGGGTTTAAGGGTTTAGGGTCTAGGGTTTAGGGTTTACGGTTGAGGGTTTAGGGTTTAGGGTCTAGGGTTTAGGGTTGGGGTTGAAGGGTGAGGAGGTTGGTAGACCTCTGATGACATTCTCTCTCGGTCGGGATCATGGCGATGACCATGGAGTTTCTGGTAAGAATGATAATTTAGGTACTGCCCCCATACAGTAAGAGTCTATAATAGGGCTACTATTAAGGTCCTAATATGTCTATATTATGAATGATATTCGACTATTACTGAGTGGGGGCCGTACCCAAATGATAATCATCGTAGTGAGCTGCAAATTCACCAAGACATCTGCAGACGTATGGCACTTGCTCTACATAGGCTTTCACAAGCTTCTTTGTGAGCTGCGCAGTCTGTAAATCGTAAACCCACAAAAGCGCTAAACCCGAAAGCCTCTACAGTCCTAAAGTTTGAAGCCCTCAGCCACAAACGTCGCAGCCTGAGCAGGTGGAGGTCGAACCACGGTGGCATTCAAGCTTGGGTTTTGGAGCTGATTTAGGGGTGTTGCGACTCATGAAGGGCTCTATACAGGGGTTGGGTTTTCTCAAGGGTCTTAGGGGTGGTTTTTTGGGGGGATTAGAGCCTTGAGTCACGGGGTGTTTGGGGCCTAGAGAGCTTGTTGTGTTCTGTAGGACTTCATAACCCTAAACCTTAAGCGGGTGGTTGTCAATATTATGGTCCCTTTTTGGGGTCCCTATCATAATACGACACCTTACATTTTTAGGGTACCCAGAAAGGAACCCTAATGTTGACAACCACCCAAGCGCGAAGCCCCAGGGGCTTGGTGCTTGGGTTCGATGATGGAGGGATTCATCGATCAGAGTTCCAAGGAGAGGCAAGAGTTTAAAGTCTAAGTTGCTTTAATCCCTAAAACCCTAAAACCCTAAACCCTAAACCCTGGAACCCTAAGACCTAAACCCCAAACCCTTTGGGGGATACTTGTTGGTCGGTTCAGCTTCGGGCTGGGATTAAGGTTGCCTTTCCGGGTCCATAGAAGGAGCCCGTAGCAAGAGCTCCTGATAGCACATTGCAAGCTTAGGCTTTAAGGGGTCTGTCAAAAAACACCCTGCCCATCCCTACCCTGCCATGCACACCCTTCCGGAGAAGATCGCCGTTGGCATGCCCACCAAAGACATGCATCCAACTCGACTCGATATGGGAGTTTCCGAGAATAGGGGACACTAATATAGCACCTTAACTGGTAGGATCCTTATTATAAGGACCCCAAAATAAGGTACTCCAAGCTTCGGAAACTCCCATATCCTGGAAATCTGCAAAGGTTTGTCCAGCTCTCCAAGCCACTGTAACCATGTACACGAACGATTCGAAGCTAGGTGGCCAGGGGTTTAGGGGTTTGGGGGTTAGGGGTTTAGGGTTTGGGGGTCAGGGGTTTAGGGTTTAGGGGTTTAAGGGTTTAGGGGTTTAGGGGTTTTAGGGGTCCCTTCTGCTGAGCCCATGGCCGAAATGTCCAGGCCACGACAGGCCCTGAAACCTGAAAGCCCGAATCCAAGTTCCCGAGATTTCAAGAAGTCCAACTGTGCCATAAAGTTGACGCGAAAGCCGAAAATCCGACAGTTTAAATCCCAACTTCCAAACCCTCAACCCTGAAGCCTGAATCCTGAAGGCGGAAACCCCTAGCCCTAAACCAACCCGGGGCAGGTCAGACTTTACAAGCTGCTGAGCCAGCTTCTAAAGCCTCACGTATCGGATAGTAAACATCATACCAAGAGGGTCCATACATACTACTCTTCTGGAGTTAGGTCACCAATGCCAGAACCAGGATGTGTACATGGACCCCTAAGATCCCTTGTGGAGGCGATCAACCCTACGCCGTAAACTCCCTTCGCGTTTGCTTAGGGGGTTGGTCCTTGCCTATTTCCGATTTTTCATAGAACCCTTAAAAACCCGTTAAGTAATCCTTGAAGAGCCGTGTAAACCCTGATTAAACACATGTACCCTTATCGTACTGTTCTCGCAACCCTATAAGCCTTGTAAGTACCTGGCTTAAGTATTTTTCTAGTGACTCAAACCTTACCTTGAAGTAAACGCCCAAACCCGGATAATAACCCTTAGCAAACCTACCCTAGGACATTTTTCACGTCAACGCCGCCGTGGATCGTTGCGCGAAAGCGGGCGACTGGGAAGCGGCGACCAGGCTTCATTTCTGGAGGGTTTGGGGTTTTCAGGGTTAAGGGCTTAGTGTAGGTTTTCTTGGTTCAGGCTCTAAACACAAGGGAGAGAAAATGGGAGAGAGAGAGAGGGAGAGAGAGCGAGAGAGAGTGAGTGTATGGGTGACTGTCAAGGGGTCTCCACCTCAACGCAGGGGCCGTGAAGAGGAGCGACTATCATGTTAATGCTAATGAGCTCTTGACGATCGTTCTGAACATACTTCCCCGTAAACCCTAAAGCCCAAACTCCAAGCCCTAAAGCCTATGCTTCATCCCCTGAAAGCCAAATCCCAGGCTCTGTTTACCCTCGACCTGGCTGTCGACTGGCGGCTGGCGGCTGATGTTGTCAGCTCCATGCCCCGGTTTGGATGCAGGGGCAGTTTGGGAGGCTTCGCAGGCTGGGGGCAGGGGTTATGGCGTTCACAGTATGAGGGGAACATTCAATCGCTATGGGCGCTATCGGGATTTATGGATGACTCGCGGGGATTTTATGGTTTCGGGGTGTTCGCGGTATAGGGGGCCCATGGGTTCGAGGTGCAAAAACGCAAAACCCTGAGCCCCCGACAACAGGTTCTGATCCCAGATCCCTGGATGGCATCTCTTTGCTACATCCTTCTACTACGAGCCCTTCTAGGAGCGCGTGCAGCTCCTCAGAATCCATTAAGGGGTCCGTGCATGAGCGCTCAACAACCTAAACCTTAAACCTAGAACCCTAAACCCTGACCGGATCTGCAGACGTCAAAAGCAAGCCCTAAGCTCCAAGGCTACAGCAGCAGCATCAGCGCCTTTGCCGCAACTGGGCGCTGGTGGCTGGCCTGTGAACTCTTCGCCAAGATGCAGCAGGCCCGTTGCTTCAACAGGCTTCGATTCAGGTAGAGTAAGGTTCCCGTAAGCGGTTCGTATAAAAGGTTCTATAAGGGGCACTAGAAGTGGGGTTTGTAGGGTTTAGGGGCAAGTATATAAGAACTAGAAGTGAATACTATTCGGCATGCCCTTGCCTTTTGGTGTTGTGGGCTTTCAAGTTCTTTTTAGCTTCATTCTTTTTTTGGGTAGTCGTCTTCGTCTACGGCTACAGGTTCTGGCAAGAGTGTAGGGTCATGTATACGTGCATGAACTTACGTAGGTATGTACGTATGATTTTACCCCAACATGGCGTAGCAGCCACGACTGGGTTCAGGGTTGACGATTTCTGGTTGAGGGTTTAGGGTTCAAGTTTTCAGTTTTAGGATCTAGTTGGGCAGTGTTCAAAGCAAGGCAGCTACAAACTGGGGCTACCATTGGAGCCTTCTTACTGTAAATGTTCCCACAGCTCTGACCATAGATTCATTAGTCTTGGCGAAAGTGGATCCCTAGAATGATGTCAAAGCTCAGTGGAACAAACCGCGCATACCTGTAACAGCCTGGCCTTGCTCTGCCCTATGCATTATGCCAAATCCCCGAAACCCTAAACCCAAAACCCTAAACCCCTCAACCCTCTGGAGAGTGCAACGCCCTGGTGGCGTGTAATTCTCAGTAATTTAGAGGTTTTCGCACGAGTTTTTGCACCTAGCACTTCAAGCATTGTGTTGCTTCATCCAGGCATTGCACCCTTGATTTTGAGTCTTGAACATGTCACGAAGTTTGTTGGGGAGGAGGGAGGAGGGAGGAGGGAGGAGGTTTGCCATCCATCATCTCCATTGAAGTTGAGGTGCGTGATTTGGCATATCATTTCAAGATCATTAAAAATCCATCACAACCCCGGTGTATATATCCATATATGCATCTGACCACGTCAACTGATCGACTTTTATGGATGCGTGTTTATGGCAATTGTGTATATTTGGGCGACTATTTATATGTGCATACTAATGTTGACCTGTAACTTATTGTATATATCATGTCTTTAACTAGGGAATGAAATTGTGGCACGGGCTGCAGCATAACTGCTAAAATAATACATCAACAGGCAGACCGTCATGGATGTGTACAACCGCATCTGAAGCCCTGGCGAACGGAATGTCTACATTCCTACAATTATAAAGCTCTCAGGGGCTTGCCACCTTTGAAAGAGTTTTTGGGCTTGCTACCCATCATCTACTATTGAAGCCTTGGATTGAGAGTGCAACATCTTGTAGTCTGCGTGCACTTGGGAAAACAATCACCGATTTGAAGATCCAGTTGTGGTTCCGCCGCTCGTCTAACTTCTCCGGGGGTTTGGCTCATTACTGTAAGGAGACATTCTGCTTCGATGTGTCGTCCGAAACAACAGAGATCGAAGATTGTGATTTGGGCTTTCTCCATCTACTCGCCGGATCCTCCACTCCATCGTCATCCAGGAATAGACCGGCCTCCGTCCTGCAGGATCAGAGTGCAAAAAACGAAGGCGAGGTAGAAGTGGGCACGGAACTTCGCCAGCTCCTTCAACAGGAAGTGGCCGCATCCATTGACGCGGTGAAGGGCCAAACTGGGGCCAACTTTCCGCCAACGACGTGTCCCTGTTGTCCCTGACGACAATTCGAACACCGCCAACATCTGCTGCTACACCTCGAGAACCAACACACACACGCGAAGCGGTTCAGCGCATCCGGTACAAAGCAACTGCGGATTGCCGCGGCCTTATATGATCATGATCGTCTACATGGTCAGAGTCCGGAACCCGGCTACTTGGCCAGGTCCAGTGCTCTACTTCGCAGGACAGTAAAGGGTGCAATGCCCCGTGACGTCAATGCCATCGATAAGAAAGTTCGGTGCGTATGGCATGCAGATGGCCCAGAATTCGCGCGGCTACAAAACGTCCAGAAGGCTACAGGCTTGCGCAGAGTTGGTAAAATGTACTACGATCGTGGTTTCGCGGAAGCTTTCTGCATGCAGCATCTGTCAGTCACGGCTTCCTCCGTAAAGCCCAGACACATTTTTTACGTACTTGTCTACGCGAGAATGGACAGCTGGCATCCATGATTCCTCGCGGCAACAATGGGTTTTGGTTGAATGTGATGGAGGATCTGATGACATCGCCTTTGCTGGAATCCTACACAGCACACCTCCTGGAGCAGTGCCGGGAAGCTAAAGAGTTCCGGTATCTTAGCATCGATGTCACATTCAAGATCAACTTGAAGATACTGGGGCAGGCGAGTGTCCATTCATGTTACATGTATAAAGGAGCAGCATGGAGCCGCAAAAGCAAGCCACCTGCGAATCGGCAATTCAGCTCGGCGATCTGACGATCAATGCGAAGGGCGGCAAGTACGTCCCCTTGCGCCGGAACGGCGGTCCGCCGGTGTGGCAGTCGGCGGAGTGGCAGAAGATCATCTGGCACCCGGCCGCCTTCAACGACCCGAGTGCCAAGCGCGTGGGTCTGTGCCTGGAGCCCGACGAGGCCTCCCAGGCGCAGCTCCAAGAGATCGAGCAGCACCTCGTCAAGGCCTTGACGGCGCTGTCGCTTTCTGAGCCGAAGGTCTTCGGCAAGTTTCTGACCGAGACGGACGTGAAGGACCGCTTCCAATCGTGCTTGAATGGACTGGGGGCGAGTCCGCATCTGGGGGCCCAACCAGGAGGAGCTGGCGGAGCCCGGCGACCTCGCCGGCAGGGAGTGCAGGGTGCGGTGCGAGCTGCGCCAGGTGTGGGTGATGTCCAACCAGTGCGGCCTACTGCTCGAGGTGACCGATCTGCAGCTCAAAACCTACGAGGCCGCCGGTCCCGTTTGCCCCTTCTAGAGCACGCTCACCGCATGCCCATCGCCGTCATGAGTATCATGTCAGTGTCACTTGGGGTGAGTTGAAACTCTGGGTCCGCCGACAAGTCGAAGTGACAGAGGTCGCCATAGCGAACGTTAATGTGCGGGTCCATGCGGCTTATCGGACTCTGACGTGTCGAGGTCGCGCAGGCACGACTCTGGCCATGTGTGGTGTTCGGTCAGAGAAGGCTCGAGTCATCGCCAATACCATAGGGACGGAACTGACCGAAGCACAACGGCAGCAGGTATTACATATTGCCTCAGATGCTCCGTCACAGGAAATGCTGCAAACTTTGCAGGAGATATTTCCCAGTCTAGCAAGTCTTGCCCCCGATGCCATGCACATCGTCGTGGTCTATGATCAAAACATGAACAATCGCCGCAGCACAGGGGAAAAATGGCTGGCGGTGATTATGAATGAGTTCCGTCGCCGTCATCCGACGCGGACTCAAGCGTCTTGGGGTGCATTCTACACAGGGGCCCGGCCAGGTCCAGATGCACAGGATGTCCGGTGCATGAGTGAACGCCTCCAGGACCCAGACATGCCGGAGGACCCTGCTATGCGGGTTCTGGAAGCGCTGGATCCGGATGTGCCACGGCTGACGGAAATCGACTTCTTGGAAGCTCTCCTGGCCTATGTCTCCTGCTTCCATGAAGAGCTCCAGAAAGTCAGTTACTCCGGCATCTCTCTGCAGCGCCTGATAGTCAACATCGGCACCAGCAGCAAGTTTCAATGGCTCCTCAATGACACCAGGTATCGCCATGCTGTGGATGTCCGCGAACTGGCCTTATTGCCTAGCAGGACCACCTCTAATGAGAGTCTCCACCATGAGATCAACGCGTGGTTTCGGGAGACAGCATCTCGACGGCACGATACCATGTAGACATGTGTGTCTTTCGTTTGTTGACTGTAAACAACTGCAGGCCATGATCCACAAGACAACCTTCTTCCTGAAGATTCGATTCTTCAGGTTTTTAAAGTTGCTTGTGCATAATCAGGCACTATATAGACCGATGCAGAGACAAACCTCTCAGAACGAGATGATCCCTCGTGCCTTGCATGGCAACACACCTGGGTTTCTCCCGAAGGTTGAATGGTCCCGTTGGTGTAGGACCTTGCGTGTGCCTGGCAAGTCCTCTCGCAAGGCTCAGCTACAGGTGGTCAAACAGGCGACCGAAGTTAGGACAGCAGCATGTGCAAGAGGCGCGGCTCGACCGCAGCCGCCCGTCCGCAATCCTGCCAAGCGGCGCATGCCAGTCTTGCCCAAGGCAAAGGCTACTCGGCGCACGCCTTTTCGGCTGCGTAGCCTGAATCCTCTTGTCCGACCTGGACGAAATTCGAGGGACGTTAACTGATCGGCTCCAGCCATCCGGAAAAGATACTACAGTTCATGTCTCATCACACTCCCCAGAACTATGCTTGAAGTTTCATCTCCCAACCGACACTAATGGTTGCCGCAGGTAATAGCGCACACACATACTAGAACCTGATGGTGCAGTGATCTCGCCGCACGAATAGGCCAGTGCTCCACTGTTTGCGTTTGGATGCACGGCATGCCAACATTACAGTTAGTCGTAGCTGCCGTTCAATGTATGTCTGGCTACATTCCAAGGAGTTGTGGACATTCTGACCGGTTAAACATTATATTAACACGAAGCTTGGGCAAGTGGCCGCCGTTTGTATGTCTCAGTATGATACGCACAGTTTGAACGATCATTTATACATGCATGGAGTCTGCGCCTACGTCACCTGTGTCATGGCGTGGTCTGTGGTGGAGAGCACAAGCACTACTTGTATACAGAAATGCAGCCATCCAGCTGCCAAATAGACCCAATTTAAGCCAGCCACGGGGGGCGGGGGGGCGCGAAAAAAAAAAAAAAAAGTGACCACCAGAGATTGCACACCAGTCTTTTTTGGTGCCCCCCCCCAGGGCTGCACGCCTCCATACTCAAAGGCCTAGAGCCACACCTTAAGGCCATGCCGGAAGTTTTCTTGTCAAGTCACAACACGTCGTAAAACGTTGTATGCAGGTAAAACAATGTTGCGGGAAGGGAAGAGCTTGCTGAGCTTGCCATCTGAGAGTGCAGGTGAAAACATGAACACACGTAAAGCACGCCACCAGGGCGTGATGTTCTGACCCTAAAATCCTAAACCCCTACTAAACCCTAAACCCCCAAACCCCTCAACCCCTACACCCTAAACCCGTAAACCCCCAAACCCGAAAGCCTTTCAATCTGAAGGAGGGGGTGATCCCCAGCCTCATCACCTTCAACAGCCTGGGTCTCAGACTTCCGTTACCCTGAACCCCACAAGGGCTTAATTGGGAGTTTCCGAAAATACTAGGGGACCCTAATATAGTACCCTAAATAGTAGGATCCTTATTATAAGACCCCAGAATAAGGTACCCCTAATTTTCGGAAACTCCCAATTTAGGGGCCTTAATGAATAGAACAGGGTTCCTTTAAAGGTTTAGTATAGGGGCCTCAATACATTGAACAGGGTATTGCGGGTTCCGTATTATACATGTAGCAGAATATACCCCCAAATCCTATTCTAACGATTCAGGCTCCTAGACTTAGGGGCATCGGTGTGGCTTGTGCAAGTGGTAGCTGCCAAACCAAGGAGGCCCCCCAGAGTCGTCATGAAGCGCAAACCCAGAAGCTTTGAAAAACAGCCACTTTGCCTCGTCTATGTTTTTCATCTAGCATGCTCCAGGGCCCAACACAGCTGCACGAGACAATGCGCTTTTTTTGTAGTTCTGCGTTTAGAGCCAGCTCGAAGTAGATCAGGATTGTCTTCGCGCGCCACAGCAGCCCCGTCCCTAGAGTTCAGGGCCCAGGCTTACCCCAAAAGATTCCTCATGCCCTGCACTCAAGATGCCAAAATGGAAGAACTTTGGCTGCTCGGGCTTCATGTGCTTGAAACTCTCTACAACAAACTGAAGCACATCCGGAAAGGTCGTGCCGTCGTGCCCTTGGTTACTCAACACCTTTTTTTAGACGGACTTTGATATTAACATCCTCGTTTTAATCTCGGGTTGGCGGGGTAAACGTCTGCGGTACGTACTCTCGTAGAGGCTGCTGGGGATCCGTAGAACCTCTGTAAAAACCTGTCTCGTACCTCTTCAAAATCCCTTAAACCCGAAACGACACTCCTATGGTGCCCCTATAAGGCCCGACCTTTATGAGAGCCCGAACGCTCAACCCTGAGAACCCTACACCGTTGTAGTGCCCCTAAAAGGCCCCCCCCAAGAAGGAACCCTGAACCCTAAACCCTGAACCCAAAGCCTTAAACTGTGTCAACCCTACACCTCCTTTTGTGGACCCCTTATTAAGATGGATCGTAAATATACCCCACACCCTATAATGATTGAAGCCCCTATATCAAGCCCTTATAGGAACCCTAAACGAAACCCTAAACCCCTAAGTATAGATCCCCTTAAAGGGAACCCTTTTGGGGACCCTTGGCCCCTATAAAAAGCCCTTATAGGAACACTAAGTATAGATCCCTTTAAAGGGAACCCTTTAAGAAGCTTATAGGAACCCTATAATTACAGATCCCCTTAGAGGGAGGAACCCTTTTGGGGACCCCAGGTGCACCCTAAACCCTAAACCCTGAAACCCTAAACCCTAAACCTTAAACCCTAAAGCTTAAACGGTGTCAAGTCTACACCCCCTTTTGGGGACCCCAGGCTTGATGCACGCCTGCGCTTGCGGAGGGGCCTGGGACCTCTCGCTGTTCTTCTTGGGCGCTCTGGGGAGCCTCGGCGGTGGTTGGGTTGGGCTGAGGGCTGTAGGGGCTCCTCAGGGTTTGAGGCTTTTGGGGTTAGGGTTTAGGGGTTCAGGGGTTTCAGGTTTAGGGTTTGAAGGGTTTCAAGGATTTGAAGGTTTTCAAGATTGTTATGGGTTGAAGCGGGTCTAAGGGGTGTGATGGGTTGGAGAGTTTTGGATATAGGACTGGGTATGGTTTGGGGTTGGGATGCTCGGAATACTTGGAATTTCAGCGGGCCCTTGGAGTGGTTTGGAGTTTGTTGCTGTGTTTTGATACAAGCTATACCCTCAAATCCTCCACCAATGATTCAGGCCCCTTGGGCTTTGGAGTTTCTTCTAAAGAGCTCTTCTAACATTTGGGATTGCAGAGGGTGGTGGAGGGAGGTCTGAGTTGTCCTAACTATTGAATGAGTAAGGTCCCGAACCCCTGATACTCACACGGCTGAGGTGCCTGAGCATCAAGCTTCGGACTTATAATGGAGTCATCCAAGCCCGACGACGCAGCCCGACGAAGCTAGCCGCCCTGTCACCCAGAGACTCCAATATCCCTTAATTAAGGAATACTCCTTAAATCATATTAAGGATCCTACTATAACTTAGGACATATTCCTCTATTAAGGGTTATTGGAGGCTCTAGGCATCCTGTAGAATGGACCTGATGCGCTCCCTAGCCTGTCGATTTGATGTGGGACCCCATACCCGAAACCCTACACCCTAAACCGAAAAAACCCGAACCCTGAGCCCAAAACCCTAAACCCCAAGCCCTAAATCCCAGGCCCTAAACCTTCAGCCCTGGAACCCTGCACCCTAATCCCCAAACCCCGGCTCTTTTGGCGCTCGGCAGTCGGAAAAGGGACGCACTTATGGTGATAGGGATAACCTTGATTGGGGTGCTTATAACCTTAATCACTAAGTCCCATGAATCTTCAAGTAGATGTTGAAACCAACGAGTTGAATCTTCAAGCCTCAATCCTTAAACAACCCAACACCCTGAGGAAGGCTCAGTTGAAGCCCAGCGCCGTAAGCCGCTGGGCAAGGGCTGGCTAATTCATTGCTTCGTCCCAAGGTGTTTCTGGGGTGTGTATAGAGCGTTATAAAGGTGCATGGGTTTAAGTCTTGGTTTATTGGGTTTTTCTTCTTGGTTTTGTTGACGAAGGTTCACGGCTTCAGGGTTTTAGGGATCTGGTTCAGGTTTGCAGTTGGGCAGTTACAGTGCTCTCTTAAGGGGCTTTAGGGTTTGATAAAGCTTTCTCGGACCGTATGAGGGTTCAGGATCTGAGTTTGAAACATTGATGCCAGGGTTGAGGTATCCACGCATTAGCGGGAGCAACATGGGGTTCAGTGAACACATTCGACCCAAACCCCTAAAACCAAGATGCTACTTGGTGGGGAAGGGTAGGGCAAACCCTCAAACCCGGAATCCCTAAACTCCGAACCCTACACCCTTAACCCTTAAAGAAACCCTGAAAGGAAGCCTTACAGGCACCCTTAAAGGAACCCATAAAAGGAGCCCTAAACGCCCCAAACACGGAACCCCAAGCAAACCCTAAACCCTTAAAGGAACCCTTAAAGGAACCCTTAAAGAAACCCTAAACACCCCCAAACCCTAAGCCCTAAACCCGAACTCCGCCCCCCCCCCCCCCCCCCCCCAAAAAAAAAAAAACTGAAACCCAAGGTCTGAGCAGCGCCATTCGAGGCTGCGAGCTCCAGAGCCTCTGGAGCCACGCCTTGGCTCTGCTGGTGGAGGAGGGTGGGGGGCTTGGGGGTTTAGGGGTTTCGGGGTTTTGGGTTCAGGGTTTAGGGGTTATAGGGGTTCAGCCTAGAGACTCCAATATCCCTTAATTAAGGAATATTCCCCAAAGTACAGTAGGATGGTGGAGGAGGGGTTTTTGGGAGTTTAGGGGCTTGGGGGGCTTGGAGGGCTTGGGGGTTTAGGGTTTAGGGTTTAGGTTTGGGTGGGGGAGCTTGGAGGGCCGGGGGACTTAGTAGCTGGTTATTTTAGGGACTTATAAGTAACATAACCCCAATTAGGGTCTCTTTTAGGGTACTTATAAAGCCATGGTAACATTTGCACAGTGTTTGGTTGCAATCCCTTCATAACGAATAACTGACAGAGCCATCGTAAGGGCATGCCTGTGTTTTGCTTTGGTGATTGGGCTGTGAAGATCTAGGGTCCCCAACACCTTCCAATGCTTGTGCTTGTCATCATGTTCATCAATGCTCGTCTGATGATGCATTCTAGTTGTCATTAGCTCTGTGGGTTTGCTCCGTGGGTTTGCGTTGATATTCTCCACCTGCCAGTCATGCTAATCTTACTGTTGGTGCATTTTTTACTTCTGCACTTGGTGCGGTCAAAAGAGTTGCTGCCGATAATGGTAAGGAGGGTGGTTGGGGTCATAAGGGCATTAACTAACGCTGGCGACTATTGACGGCGAAGATGATGATGCTATGATTGCTGCTGATGATGACGATGATGACTCCAGTCAACATCTTTAGACTTTAGCATGATGACCAGCGCGACTTGTTTGGTCTTCTGGCTTGGATTGCTTGGCGCCATGTGTACAGTGCATGGCTCACACAGATGACAGCAGGATGAAAGCATCTGGGCGAAGATTCCTTATGGCTTCAAGCCCGCAAGCCCGAGGCCTACACCCTAACCTAAAGCCGTAAGCCGCAAGCCCTAAACCCTTAACCCTAAATCCTAACTAGCCTAAACCTTACACCTGACAGATACCCTACTGGTATTCCTGCCGACAGCCCCGCTGAATAAGTTCTTCCCGATCCGCGTGCACGTTGTGTGTGTAGGGGGTCCTTGTTTTGCGGATCCGATTATCTACAAGTCCTACGAGCATGCTACTTTGTCGAAGGATTCTTTAAAATGAGATTGCTGCGAGTTCGGGTCTGTACTTAAGATCATGTGCGATACGCAAGAAAACTCGAAGCATGAAAGCCCAAAGCCTAAGCCCTGAGTGCTAATCCCGACACCCTAATGCTTAAACCCTAAATCCTAAAGCCTAACCCTAAACCCCTGTACTCTCGACCCCTAAACCCTAAACCGCTAACCCCAAAAGCCAAGCTAAATCCCTAGAGTCGGCAGGCGGGTAGCACCCGCAGCGAATTCGCATTCAACGGAGTGGCTTGGCCGGTGGGCATGAAGGATGACTGATACTTTTAAGTGGGGCTTAGGGTTTAGAGTTTAGGGTTGGGGATTTTCTTGTCAGCATCATTGTTTAGGATTGCTTATGATAACTCTAGTACCATATGAGGGTTTAGGGTTCAGGGCTTATCTTTTGTCAGCATCACTCCTTAGGATCCCTTTGTAGGGTTTGAGGCTTAGGGTTGGGGACTGGGAGGTTCAAGGGACCTAGTACGTAGGGTCCTTCTTCAGGGTTTAGGGTTTAGGGTTTAGGGGGTTCCTCGTAGTCCCTACCCCCCAAACCTTAAACCCTAAAAACGGTTCTACAAGGATGACACAAGGGTTTAGCAGGCCTAGAAGAAAAGGTTTGGGGTTAAGATTAGGGGAACTTGAAAGGATCCGAGACAGGAGCCTACAAAGGGCCCCTGGTTTCCGAGTACAACCGACCCCAGATTTCGGGGTGTAAGGGGTTAGGGGTTTAGGGGTACGGTATAGGGTTTGGGGTTTAGGGTTTAGGGCTTGGGACTTAGGGTTTAGGGTTTCAACACCTGAAATCTGCCCGAACTCAGCTTGTGTTTCGGCGTCGAGTGTCAGAGGATGGCATTAGAGATTATATAATTCTAGTATTTCAACATGGGCAGTAGGTAGATATAGCCACTGTTACTCTGCTTGTACCCAGAGAGCCCAATACCCCTTCATTAAGGAATATGGCTTAAATTATATAGGGGTTCATATTATGATTTAAGCTATATTCCTTGATTAAGGGGTATTGGGCTCTCTGGGTAACAGTATGCTTACTTACTGCAATTTGAAGGGCATACGGACAGCGCTGCAAGCAAGGCCTGAACCACATTAAGAAGTCATAGACCCTGCACCCCCCATGCCTTTACCATCCCTAAATCCTAAACCCGACCTGTGGCCCAAAAACCTATATCTTCAAGGAATCTTATATGTGGAAACCACAATAAGGAACCCTAAAATGCTTGGGCAACGAGGACGGCCCTCATGAACCCACCTACATAGGTCATCAGTGCATGCGAGAAGGGCGGCGCATGGGGGATGGCGCTGCAGCTTCTGACTCAGATGCTGGAGGAGATGGTGCCGTGGTGAATCTTCATCTTGGTGTAGGGTTTTCTGTTTTTTTAGTTTTCATTGGGGTTCAGGCTTTTCCGGGTTGAGGCTGTAGTTAGTTTTTAGGGGGCTTAAGGGTTTAGGGTAGGGTTCAGGCTTCATTTCAGAATCTAGGTAATGATAGGAACAAGACTAAGAGGGTCGATGGAATTCAGTTTGATGTAGGCCTCGAAGCTGCGCGCCAAGGGGGGGACCCTAAGCCCTAAGCCCTATAAAGTGATTTCTTATTAAGAGGGGTCGATTCGTTCCGTAACCGGTTGCCTGCTGCGAAAAGGATCCTGGAGGGAGCCGAGCAGTTGAGCGTAAATTTGGGTTCTATGATAGGCTCCTTTGCAGATTCGAGAAGGGTCGTTTTCAATGTTCCATAAGAGGGCCGGGTCCTGATAGTTACTTTTTTGACCAGCGTTTCGTGCTGGAGGTTGGAGATTCTCTGGACTTTAGGATCAAGCAATAATAGTAATAATAACAGTAGTAATTTAATAGTAGTAGTGCCAATAATACAGGATGAGATGAATTGAAGGGGCTTGGGTTTGGATATCAGGGTATGGCTGTAGGAGAGAGCCATGTCAGCAGCCACGCCGATTTCGACAGGAAACTAAACCTCTAAGCCCTTAAACTGTCTGGTGCTTTGTATCCCAATAATAGTCCCCAGAATCCATCCCCCCGTTCCCTGCTAAGAACCAGACAGTAAACCTTGAACTTGAACCTCAGGTGCCGCCAGATGTGATCAGCTACAGCTCTGCGGCGGCAGCTTGTGCGCAAGCTGGGCATTGGATGGAGGCCGAGTGTTATGGGGATTGTCGGGCATGGTATTGTCGCTGTGATGGAGTACTGGGCAACCGCTAAAACGAGTTACTCCGACCACTACTTCTCCTACTGCTACTACTACTACTACTACTACTACTACTACTACTACTACTACTACTACTACTACTACTACTACTACTACTACTACTACTACTAAACTACTACCTGCTGCTGCTGCTGCTACTACTACTACTACTACTACTACTACTACTACTACTACTACTACAGCTACCACTACTACGAATTTTGCTGCTACAACTACCACATGGTTCAATGCACCCTGTTGGAATCGAAGAGCGAAGCCTGCGTAGTCGTCTAGACGGTTTCGAGCCGTTCAACTGGACAGTTGAGGTTTTGAGGGCTTAAGACACAGTCACTGTGAGGGTTTTGGGGTTTAGGGTGCTTCAGAATGTACACTATAATCCAGGGTTCAGGACCCCAAATTCGTCAAGCCCAGCTGGTGCGACTCCACTCTTTAGGAGTTCGCAGAGTCAACATTATAGGTGTTGCTATGCAATTTTATCTCTTCATATAAGGGTTTGTATATGAAAGGATACGATGATGATACTTAGACCAGGGATTTTTCGTGAATTCAACTACGTGACAATGAAAAATGCAACTTACAGCCTGAAGCTCTTTGTAAATTGAATGGGGAGGACCGTTTGAAGAGTCGGGGACAAGGGCGGGAGCACGATATCGGGTGCACGGACGGTGCGCGGGGAGGGCGTGGCCAAGGGGCGGGAGCGCGGACGGTGCACGGGGGAGGGCGGGGACATGCGGGGACAAGGAGCGGGGGCGCGATATCGGGTGCGCGCGGGAGGGCGGGGACAAGGGAATCGTGCGGACTTCCATCTGGCAGTATTCTCTTCGCCTGGGTTTTCGGGTTCTACTGTCATACCTATCAAGAGCAAAGAACCGCCCGATATGTTGGCGGGAATAATGGAAGGGCTACCAAAAATGGGCGATAAGCCCAAACTGGTTTATTCAGACGAAGAGGGTAGTTTGTTTAGTAAAGTTGTTATAGAATATTTGGAAAGAAAATTGAAATACATAGAACTAGAGGTCACCCCGCCTTTGCGGAAAGGTTTATAAGAACATATAAAGATATGTTGTTCAAGCGAGTTGAAGCAGATGAAGAAAGTTATAAAGCTAATATACAGTGGATAGATTATAGTTTTGAGATATTTTTCAGATATAACAATAAAATGGTAAAATGAATTAGAAGTTAACCTAAACATATCTTTACGAGCGAAGCGCAATAGAACCTACCCTGAACCTAGAAGTTGGTGATGATGTTAAAATCATGCATGAGAAAGGACATAGCGAAAAATAATGTACTTCACATTGGGTGAAAGCCCCACAAACAATAAAAGAATTTACAAAAATCTAGGTCAACATTATTATTATTTGGAGGATGATAGTAGGGGATATTTAAGACATGAGTTGTTAAAGTTAAAGGTTTAAAGGGGGTTAATACAAGACGGCATCCTTGAGAATGATGTGGGGGTGTCGTGTGGAATGACAAAGGGCTGGATTTTGGAATGACGGGGGTGACGGGGGCTTGTCCTTAGGGATGACAAGGGGCAGGTTCAGGCTAAATCTCTGGCAGATTTAAAGCTAAATCTCTGGCCGATTTACAGCTAAAACTCTGGCAAATTTCGGCTTAAATCTGTTGTTGAATTAGGGTTAATTACATCTCTGGTTGATTTCGGATTTGGGGGGCAATCCAGACAGAGTTTTGTGGCTCATTTTGGACGCGGTCGTTGGCTCATCTAGTAATGGTTCAGTCTTAACGGCGGTTGTTTTAACCGGGGAGGTTTTCTGAGAAAACAATTTATCCAATGAGGGTTTTATGAAAACCCGATGAGGTTTTATGAGCAACCGAGGAGGTCTTATGAAGAACAGAGGAGGTTTTCTGAAAAAGCGAGCTCATTCAGATGCCGAGAGAACAGCACAGAGCAGCAAACAGAACCAAAGGGACTGGCAACACTTTATGCGATAATCAATGGATGAGCATAACTATAGCAATTATTGCGCCAATTCATCATCGCAAAGTTGTATGTGAGGGTCATTTCCGAGTTCAGGTTTATGGGCTTCGGGTTTCTGGAAGAGGGGTCATTTCCGAATTTATCCTGCGCCCATCCCATAGAACCTCCCTGCGTTAATCCCTTTCTCTGCCAGTCCACCAATTCAGCCATCCGCAGTACAAGCCAAAGCTTAAGTGCCTAAGCAATAATCAACAGCCCGATCCCTACACTATCCTAATGAATCCCGAATCCTTCCCGCTCAAGCGTTGCCGTTCATTCTTCTGGACATTTACATGAAGAAGCAGTTGGTGCAGCTGGCACGCTTGCGTTGCTGATTGCGAGCCTTTGCCCCTGAGTTGCCTAGCACCCGGTAGGAACAAGGCATCTTCACGCCAGGATTGTGCTGAGTTGTTGCTGTATTTCTCGCAGCATTTGGGCTTGAAACAGTTTTGGCGCAGATTTTTGTAGCTGCTTTTCGCTGTATGTGGAGCTTGCGGCAGATTGGGAGAGGCTCGCTGAGATGCAAGCAGCTGGCGGCATTTTGCAGTGAGCAAGGCTCGCGAGATCCAATGCAGAATCTTGGGATGCTTGTGCAGTCGCAGTCGCCAGGAGACAATGCCCCAAGTATCATGCAGAAAGTGGCGGGGGTCGTTGGGAAGGAAAAACCCGTGGCTCTCCCAATAGCCCTAGAGCATCAGCGTCTGGAGACGGTTCTGTCGAGGGACGCCCTAATTGGCAAAAATTCCACTGTCTACCATCGTGTGATTGACAGGGTCGAGGAGGCGCGAGAGCGCATATCCGAAGCCATTGCTTTGCAGAAGGCACAGGGATGGAAGATCCACTTTCCCACAATCATGGCATTGCTTCCCAGAACAATGGTAACTACCCCGCATCATCAGATCAGTGTAAAGTACGAGACAGCAGCATCATGGCTAAAGAGTGCGAGTGGAGAGCTGGCGCCGATCATGAAAAAGGCACAGACACTTCGTGACAATTTGCAGGCGACCAAGAAGAAAATGACAGAACTTGCAGAGAAGAAAGAAGTGCAGAAAGATGACAACTTCGAGCATTCCTTCGTTTTCGGTGCCTCGAGCTTTGGTGCATTTTTCATAGCTGTGTCTGCCGGTATGGTCTCAGACAAGCTCCTTGCCATGATTGGTGTATTTGCCTCCATCCCACTTGCGGCTTTCGTCTACCATGCGTATCTCGGCCAATTGGTCCACAAAGAGCTCATGCTTCTTCACTCGGCGATGCTGCAGATGCTAGAGGTTGACCGTTCCATTGACTACCTACTCGAAGGCTATTTGGCAAAGGACCTGGCCGACGTGCAGGAACTCCTGGAAAGTACTTGTCAGCGACCCCTCAAAGATGGACGGTTTGCTGACCTTCAGCAGGCAGCCTCTCTGGTCAAAACGCTGGACAAACTCATGCGACACCTCAGACATGTTGCTGTGGTGACCAGGATCGAGAATATGACTGAGCCGTACGAGCAGCAGTGAGCATTACGTTCCCGCCATTCTTTTGGCAGTGCAGCACTCCAACAGAGTGAACAGTTTTGCCATCTTCGCACAAAGGGCTAAGCCTTAATCATGAGAGCCATTGTCTCGGCTGGGGGGTCGTGAGTGCATCTACCAAACTAAGCCGGAGCAGGGTGGATGCAAATAGCCGTGACAGTAAGCTGTTTGAGCAGGCGTTGTGTCAATGCTTGGTAGATTTGGCTTCGATCGCAAGCGCTTCCCGACAAAAGGTCCCTGTGAGTGCAAGACAACGCTTCATCTTTTGGTGCCCCGCGCCGCAAACATGTGGCTTGGCAACCTTTCGGCCAGGCCAAGATGACAAGTTCGCCGAGACCTACAAGAGCTGCGAAAGTGATATCGCATGTATGCTTTTTGAAGGCTTGTTATTGTATTACTGTATGGAGGGGGCATTTCCCAGTTCAGGGTTATGGGCTGCGGGGTTATTTCTATTAGGGTCGCTGACCCCACACCTCATTAGGATATAGGTTACAGAATAGTTGAGGTTAAGTATTGCGTAGGGCTTTGGGTTTTGGGTTGTGTTCTGGATAGCTGTATTTGCTTTGGGAGGTGCTTTGTGTATTGTCGTTTTGAAATGTTGATTTGTTAGGCGGGTTGAGAAATGGGAAGTATTTTGGTATGGATTTGGCTGGTGGCTTTGGTTTGGATGGTTTTGAAGGCTAGGATTCGTGCCACGCAGTCGGGCAGGCTCTCTGCGTGTTGCGGGCCATGTCGCGTGCAGAGGCTTGGAGCTAGCAGCTGGCCACTGGCAACAGCAATATGTGTATATACAAACATCGATCTCTACATGTACGCAGAAAGCATACATATGTGACGAGGGGTTTATGGATTCGATCTTTGCATTAATTACGTCGTGGTGCGCATGGTGTTTTAATCAGTGCGCCCTTTGAGGGTTTATCTCGGAGTTTGGAAAGGGGGGAGGGTCTCTACAGGCTTCACAGGAACCGTTACTATTCATTACCCTTTGAACTGTTATACTAGTATACGGTTATGCTACTGTACTCTCATACGATTATACTATATTATTATTAACTACGTCATCCTGGGCGGATTTGTGCGGCGTTTGCTCGGAAGTCAGATGTTTCTCGCATCTGCATAAGGCCTGTGGGCTAAGGTGCGAGACGGGCTCAGGGTTGAAAGCCTAGGGTGTAAGGATTTGAGTAGAGTTTGCGGCTACTGCTTTGTGAGGAGGTTAGCATCACCATTGCCACAAACACTGTTCGTGCGCAAGATATGTAATGGAACAGTTGCATTCACAATGTGCTGGTCGCATGATTCATGCAGATGCCTTGCCCTGATAACGGTACAGATAAAAAAAAGGACCAGCCTCTGGGAGTTTAGGAATCATCGCGTTAGGAAGTTGCACTGTGCACAAGAGCGACGGTAATCTCATGCCAATGCCAGGGCATGTAGTAGTCGGATCATAAGCACTGACGAACATGCACATACATGCAAGGCGCACAGAGCCGTTGTTCATGTCCAGGAATCTCAGTCATGGTAAACACAACTGTTCTTAAGCATACTGCCAACACTGACATCTGGCGGCGACGATCCGAATGTTGATGCCCAAAAACGTACGAATAATCCCTTCCCCTGTATCAGACACCCCCCCTTAATAATGAAAACACATTGGGGCGACTTTTCCCGAAATCATCCCTGCCGTTTAGAAGCCTATTCGGAATTGGGGGGGGGGTCTGGTCAGGCCTCCAAAAGCCAAGGTCCCGGACCCTAAACCCTAAACCACTAGTCAAATCCCTACTCAAACCAAAGCCCCCTAAGTGCCAAAGCAACCATCCCTCCCTTTCCTTGCTCGTTCGTCTGCTTTGCCAGCCGCTCTTCTCTCTGTCTCTTTACGTGTCTTCCTCTTTGTGTGTGTGTGTGTGCGTGTGTTTCTTTCCAAATATTTGTCATCCTTACTATCACTTAATTACTAACCACTACGAATTCTTGCTTTTCGTTCACCCAATCGAGATAACCATACCCCCCCCAAGAATAAAACTACTTTCCGAGTTTCTATTGGCCCCCCTGTTTAATATTTGGGGGAACGGACTAGTGATGTGTTGACGCACAGCATAACAGCAGCAATGTTACTCAGTCTGCTTTCATGTTCGTACTACTTGTAAAAGCTGAAATCGCACTAATGGCAGCCTTATCGCCGAACCCTCAAGCTCGCATCGTTCTACTTTGCTGATTTCGTTTCTTGTTTTCAGGGGCTTCCAGCATATTACTTCCGCCGGATGCAATGCGGACGGGACGCCACCGGCAGTCTGAACATGTGGTGTCTTTTGCGTGTCGGATGCAATGCCGAAGCGGACGTCATTCGGGGTTCCAGCATGTGTGGTTGTCCCATCGGATGCCCTGCGGACGTGGAAGGCAGTATAGGATTTCGATCATGCATTCCGCCTTCGCCTCTAGGCAATCGCAAGCAGAACGACCGGTATTCATTGTAAACATTTCCCGACCCGTAAACTCAAGCCCAACACTGCACGGGAAATCTCCAGTGCTGGTACTATGATGACGAGGATGATGATATCATATTGCTATTCATACGCCGCGATCACTCTCGTTTGTCGTTGCTGAGCTGAGCGTAGAGTACGAAGTACGACGCCCCGGTACAGAATCCTTCTCAGGGCAATGGCTATTTCAGAGCATCCAGCGGTCGTTGTTGCCAGGATGCGCATCGGTACGACGACTCCATAGTTGCCACTATTGCGCTACTCCAATGATGCTAATTTTTCATCACTACAAGATGCGAAAACGGAAGGTGGCGCCGAACGATGTGAGTGCCGTGCTCAGGAGAGAGCCTGGAGGGAGTCAGAGAAGGTTGCAGGTGGATAATTCGTAATCGTAGTCTTCTCCTGGTAGCAAGGGTTGAGGCTCCAATATTAACATCATAACTTTGAGCTTATAGGAACCCTTGCAGGAATCCACAGAAGCCCTGGAAGGAACCCTCAAGGGAACCTTCAAGGGAACCCTCAAGGGAACCCTCAAAGGAACCCTCAAAGGAACCCTCAAAGTCACCCTCACAGGAAACCTGAAAGTACTCCTGCAAGGGATATTCGAAGGAACCTTCAAGGGGCACCCTAAACCCTGGCCCGAAACCCTAAACCCCAAGCCCTAAACCCCTAAGCCCTAAACCCCTAATCCCTAAACCCTATAGAGCCTAAACCTCAATGACAGCCGCCACCGAGAAGGCCGTGGCCCATATATGCGACATGTTCTGTGACATGATCAGAACCTGGGAGATTCTTGCACTTTGTGGCTGCACACTGCTGCGCATAAGGAGCTGAAGGTCCGTCCTATGTGCACAAGGGGTCCTCCACTTAGACGTCAACCCCAGCAACGTCCTGTCTTCGACGGCGTTCGTGCAGCTCTTGGAGACTTCGGGCATGCGGAAGCTGCTTCAGACACTGGCTGCTCGGTCGTCCGGCAATCGGGTCTACAGCAAGGCTTGTCCCATTGCGGAATGCTCGATGGCCGGAGTTGGGAGTTCATAATTTCAGGTCAAGGGTTTCGGGAGTTGAACTGAACCCTAGGATTGATGGCCTATCCACAGGGGTTGCAACGGGTTTACCAGCCTAATCCCACAACCCTGAACACCTAAATCGGGCTTTTCGGGTTTCATAAGACCTCTTGACATCCGTTGTGGGCTGTGGGGCTTTCTCTCATCGAATGCCTGTAACACCTTCCCCAGTTGAAGCCGTGTAAACAACGAAAAGGCGTGCATAGGGTTTAGGATTTAGACCCTGCTTCCCAACATCATCCGAACACTTCAAGCCTTAAGCAGGACGCCCGGTATCCCGAACCTTAAACATTTTGTCAATCGCGCGTTGACTCCACTCTTCAAGTCTTCGCAAGCTGCAATGGCCTTGAACCGTGAGCCGCACAAACTACGGAGTCCTCGCCACAACGTTAAACCGTTAAGCCTTGAAGCTAAACCCCCAGCCGTGAGCCCTACTACTAGCCCTGAGCCGTAAGCAGTAAGCCTTAAGCCCGAAACCCGAAACTTGAAAAGGAGTACACTTTCCTAGAGCCTTTATGCTCTTTGTGATGGGTACTTGAAGCATCACGGGGCCTTAGTAATTAATTACGTAAGGGGGGTTATGAGCAAGGTGGGCTTAGTTTTGCATACTTACAAGACTCAATTGCAGAACTGATCACGCTACTTGTTTTTTCCCTTGAACCTCTCTAAGTAAACCTTAGAATGCTAGATCCCAAGCCCACAACCTTCGAGCCTGCCAAAAGTGATGCTTCGACACATCTATGGATTAGGGATTTAAGGTTCAAGGTTGAGGGTTTAAGATTTAGGGTTTGGCGGTTTTCGGACAGAACTCTTTAGGTGCTGGGTCTTTTCGACTTCGGACGCCCTCTCCCCTGATTTCCGAGTCTCCAGACCAGAAACACCACAACGCAGAAGCCGGAAGAACCACCAACGTAATTCCTTGGGGCCTCTTATAAGACTTACTAAGCTACTATAACCCAAAACCCTCGAAGAATCACATGCGATAGCAAAGCACCGAGGCTTCAATACCGCGCTGAGTGCCTGTGAGCAGGGACATGGTTGGGGCATCTTGGGATGCAGAGAGAGAGAGAGAGAGAGAGAGAGAGAGAGAGAGAGATTGGGTTTTGTGTCGTGCTGTTCAGGGTTTAGGGTGTATGGTTTTCTAGAGACTGTACAGAGTTTGGGCCGGATTTTGACCGAAAGTTTTGAGCTGGTTTTCGTTTTGCTTTTCATTTCGCATCGGCTAGCGCTCAACCGAATTTGGGGCTGGGCGGCGGCTTGGAATTGGGCTGGGATATCCTCGAGCACGTTTAATAAGAATTTGACACTAATGAAGGTGCAGTTCAGAATTCAAGGTCGAGGGTTCAGGGTTTAGGGTTTTGCTTGAGGTTCAGTTTTTGTCTTGTATTGGGAAGAGGGGGTTTATGTCAGTTTCTGTGGCTTTTAGGCTTTATACGGTTTTCGGGTGTTTGGATAGATTTTTTAGGGGATTGGTTTGTTTTTTGTTGAGTATGTGTGTGTGTGTATATATATATATATATATATATATATATATGCTACCCCCCCCCTAAGACCCGCAAGAACTAGTAAAAGATCCTGGAAATTCACTCCAGCATTCATACATGTGCTATGCACGTGTGTGCAAAATACGGTGTAGACAAAATAATCTAGTGAAGTATTGCTGTTATCTGCTTAATAACTAGAATTATAAATATTTCATATTTTGAGCCACCCTAAAATTAAACATTGTTTTCCGTGCTGGCCAATATTTCAGACCAAGAGCCACTATATTCAATTTTCCCCTTCCTCACTGCCATATAATAAGAACTGATTGCTTCGTTGGAAGTTCCGCAAAACGTATTTCCTCAATTATTGTTTGTATGAGCCAGCCAAACAGGAACAGATAGCCAAACAAACTCCGGAGAAAACATCGAAAAGGAAAAGGAGTGTTTCTAATTGGCACACAGACAGACAAATCTCAATTTCCATCGTAAGCCCTAAGCCCTAAAGACCCTAAACCCTAAGCCCTAAGCCCTAGTCCCGAAGCCCTGGGTGTAGGTTCCAGGTCCCCTTGAACGAATCTAGCTGTTGATTACCTGACTCATTGCACAATCTGACATGATTTGGATGAGAAGCCTGCTGTCTTCTAGAACCATTGACAAACTAATTTCCCTACATCGGCTTAATCCTTTCCCGTTGTAGGATGTCACCCCTGAGAATTGAAATTAGTATTGGGCCCGACATCCAGAACATTAAGCGGGATTTGGGTTCGGCCTGTTTTGCAGCCCACGAACCCTGAAATTCTACATGTTTGTGGCCTGCGGCCTGCAAGTCACCGCAGCACTACATTCTCGAAACCAAGGCTGCCCGTAATCCTCTAGCTCCTAGCATTACCTGCTCCGACATTATTACGAGTCTTGGCGTCAAATATTACCATCGTGCCAACGCCCAGAGCATTTCGTTTAGCTTGAGTGGTGGTATGAGTACTAGTAATCCGTAGTAGATTTCTCTGCTGGCCACTGATATCACCAGTCCCTCGTCCTGGCTCGTAGTATTCAATGTATCCGTGATAATACTCGCAAAATCGCTGGCGTGCTACATGGGTTAGTTCAAGCAGGGGCCAAACAACTCGTTCAGTTTACTGTCATAACTTCCATCATAAACTAAATTAAGAAAGCACGGACATACCACTAACAAATATTGCCAGTAAGTTGATTAGGTGACTGGTTAAATCAACGTTTTTGTGTATACATAATACTGTGACATACACTGTGTAAGCACCTGGAATTAGCTAATTCTTTACATTACCATGGTCTGGTCATGTTTCAATCACGGGACAAGTGCATCCATTCACCAACCCATATGTTTGCAATTGCTTGCCTCTGGCATAAGGCTGTCAGAATGCAAAAGGTGAAAAACAATTACTCGGCTTGGCAGCAAGTAGACTAAATGTGTGCTTAAACCGTTTGAAATGGCTAGCTCCTTATCTTGATATAAGCAGAAAATTTAACCGACATGCATTTAGATACGCCCGCATGCAGATTAGAGGCTTCATTTTGGCAATGATCGTGGGTTCCTATACATGAGTTGGACTGATGAATGGCCAAAAGACAACTAGTCTGGCACGTGACAAATGAAAATGAAGATATAAGCAGAACACTATAGAATGGGATGTTTACTTAGTATTTCAAGTATGTAATCTGATTAACCACAGGCATGAAGAAGCCACAAAAAGCTTTCACATAGGTTAACTTTTTGAATGATGCCGTTATTTGGGTTTATGTTGAAAAGAAGCAAACAGGGTTTTTACACACACCGGAACAACAAATTTTTCCTGCCTTGGCACTACCAGATTCCTTTATGCGCACATGTATCAGCCTCTGTGCTTGAGACAGAAACGAAATCTGGATGTCATGATGTTTCACAGGTTGGCACAAAGTCGCAGGTTTTCAGATTCGCAAATTCGCAGATTTGCAGATTCGCAGATTCGCGGATTCGCAGATTCGCAGATTCGCAGATTCGCGGATTCGCAGATTCGCAGATTCGCAGATTCGCGGATTCGCAGATTTGACAGACCATAGGTTGTGGCGCATATACAATCTGCGAATCTGCGAATCCACGAATCTGCGAATCTGCGAAATTCGCAGATTCGCAGATTCGCGGATTCGCAGATTCGCAGATTCGCGGATTCGCAGATTTGACAGACCATAGGTTGTGGCTCATATACAATCTGCGAATCTGCGAATCCGCGAATCTGCGAATCTGCGAATCCGCGAATCTGCGAATCTGCGAATCTGCGAATCTGCGAATCCGCGAATCTGCGAATCTGCGAATCCACGAATCTGCGAATATGCGAATCTGCGAATCCGCAAATCCGCTGAAGTATCCGTCACAGCGAGGCCCTCTGAGCATCAGGTACTTACACGTCGCGTCGCGAATCCCTCAAATTGAGAAGCCCTGAAAGACCCTGAACGTTATTGCAGCTGCATCCATATGCCCCGATGAAGTTGGGCAAGTCGAGAGTACCCGACAGCGAAGCGTGGGTTTTGGGGGGGGGGTACCATATATATATATATATATATCTCTGTGTGTGTGTGGGGGGTGTTAGGGTATTTATAGTTACCTGGTTTAGGGACTTATTGGATTTTGGGCCTTGAGGGGGCCATAGTAATTAGAGTTTGGGGATTTTGGTGGTATAGAATAGCATGACTATGTTCTTCTGAGGGTTTGGGTTGTACTAGCTTAGTAGGTCTTATAAGAGGCGCCAAGGAATTACGTTGGTGGTTCTTCCGGCTTCTGCGTTGTGGTGTTTCGGGTCTGGAGACTCGGAAATCACGGGAGAGGGCGTCCGAAGTCGAAAAAGCCGAGCACCTAACGAGTTCTGTCCGAAAACCACCAAACCCTAAATGGGAGTTTCCGAAAATAGGAGGACCCTGATATAGTACCCGAAATAGATCTGACTATGAGGACCCCAAAATAAGGTACCCCTAATTTTCGGAAACTCCCAAATCGTAACCTCTGAATTTGAAGCCAGAACCTTCAGTCCCTAATTCCTAGATGCCTGATCGCAACCTCAAAACCTTAAATTCCAGACCTTTGAACCCCCGCCCTCAAACTCTAAACAAAGTATTCTTCAGTGTCAGAGCCTCTACAGATTCCATCAAACCTCTGCAGCATCCATGTAAACCCCGACAAGAACCCCATAAATCCTCATACAAACCTCAAGCGGGCCTTGTCAGCCCCCTCAATCCCTCCTCACCGTCAGAAACCATTAAGCGGATATGGGAGTTTCCGAAAATAGGGGGTACCTTATTTTGGGGGTCCTTATAAGAAGGATCCTATTATTTGGGGTTCTATATTAGGGTCCTTTATTTTGGGGAACTCCCATATACAAGGCATCATGCCTTGCAAACTAAGCCCCGTTGCCAAAACATTGAAGCTTGAAGCGCTAAATCCTGAACCCGAAAGCCCTGAGTCCAGTCCTAAGCCCAAGACTCCACTTAGAGGAGCTCTTCAGGAAAGCCTTGCAGGATCCCTCTGACAAACCCTTGAAGAAACCTGTACGAAGTCTGATAATTAAGAAGGATTGGGCCTTGTCCTCCTGAATGACATGGCCTCGGCGCGACCGCCGCGCGATGCTTTCAGTCCCACGACATCGGACTTCTTTTGTGTTTTAGGGAAGGTGGCAGGGTCACAGGATACGGATGTGTTTTGAGTTTTTTCGGCTGTGAGGTGTCGGGATTCAAAATTCTGGGAGTTTCACGGCTTTCGATTTGCGGGTCCAGAACCTGGGCTATGCTGGACTCTCTGAAGAGTTTTGCGAGACAGAGGGGTTTGAGTCGTTTGTGTCGTAGCCACCTATCTCAAGGTCGTTGAGGGGTTCGGTAGACGGGGGATGATGCGGCATCTCCCATTGACTCTTCATGCGGGTGCAGCTACGGCTACGGAAGGCTGACTTGGGTCAACCGTTCGGGGTTTCGGTGAATTATGGGGATGTTCCATTTGCATCACCAGCGATACTAGTGTACGGCATGCGATGGCGAGCACTACTATTCGGCATTCTACTGCCGCCAGTCTTTCAGGCGTGAATATGAAAACTGTCCTGATGAATTGCTACGGTTGCTTCTTGTTGTCACCCGGACTCTCGTGATGGCTGGTGTCGACCCTTCTAGGATCTCTTAAGGGCAATCATGCGAACTAACAATAAGGGAGGCTATGGGAGTGCAGATAACTGGTAACCCCCAACACACTTGGGTGGTTGTCCAAATTATGGCCCCTTCTTTGTGTCCTTATTATAATACGCCCCCCAATATTTAGGGTATCCAAAAAGGGACCCTAATTTTGACAACTACCCCTATATTATAGTACCCTTATAGATCCCTTACAGTAACCCTTATATAGAACCCTTTAAAGGAACCCGATTCTAATTATTAAGGCTTAATTCCCCAAGACGCGCATGATTGCTGGCAAACTCCAAGGGCCTCGAACCCTCAGCTGAGGCTACAGCAGTGCCATCAGTGCATCCGAGCACGCAGGCCGATGGGAGGCCCTTCCTCAGGGTTGGGGGTCTAGGGTTTTACGGTTGAGGGCTTAGGGGTTTAGTTGAGGAGTCACGCAGTACTTAAAGGATCATGGGACTTAGTAACTAGGGTTATAATTAGGGTAACTACACTTATAACCCCAATTAGGGTACTTATAATCTTACTTACTAAGTCCCATGATCCTCCAAGTAGTAGAGTTTGGGGGTTTGGGTGTCGGATTTCGGGTCCCGTTGAAGGATTTGTGTAAGGCCTCCATTCAGGGCTTCGAGGGTGAGGGGGGTTACTACACCTGTGGGGCTTCTGGGGGCCGGCTTTTTCTTCGAGGTATCAGGGAGTTCTTCCGGCATTTGATAGGATTTGGGCACTGCCCCCACTCAGTAACAGTTGGATAACATTCGTAGCATAGTTTTATAGGCCCTAAGCCCTAAACCCTAAACCTCGGATTCTGCGAAGACGAAAAAGGGCCGTGTAAAAAAAAAACCCTAAACCCTCTATAGTAGCCCTATTATAGACTATTACTAAGGTGCCCCTAAACCCTAAACCCTCATCCCTAAACCCTAAGCCCTAAACCCCTTGGGGGCCTACGACCCACGAGAGGATCCTCCAGGTTCTCGGTGCTTACCGTCTAGGCTTTCGGAGGTCGAGGCTTCGGCTTTCGGGGTTTTAGAGTGTAAGGCTTGGGGGTTTAGGGTTTAGGGTTTAGGGTTTAGGGTTGAGGGTTGAGGGTTTAGGGTTTAGGGTTTAGGGTTGAGGGTTTAGGGTTTAGGGTTTAGGGGTCAGGGGCCAAAAAAGCACAGAAGCATAAGCACTTTACAGGGATATCCTTACCTTAATGGGCTTCATTATAAGGGGGTTCATATGGGATATCCCTATCCTAATTTTTGCTTGTGTGCTTTTTTTGGGTCCTATTGGGGGTTTCGGATACCGGATTCGCCAAACGAGGGGGCGTGTTTGAGATATATGATGCATCGGAAAGGCCAAGAGAGAAGGCGTGTTAAGATATATGGAGTTTCAGGGTCTAACGAGTTTGGGGTTCAGGTTCTGTTCTTCATCATCACGACTTTATCAGCAATGCTACTTCGCCAGTGTCACGGTTGCCTTCAGCATATGGCATATGCGTTTCGTAGGAACAGCCTGCAAACCCGTCGGATGGTCCAAATTCCTCGACTTCCCAGGTTTACATAGGACACAGCTCCAGGGACAGAGAAAACCAGTTGAATCCAAACGGAGGCAGCAGCAGGAATAACAGCATAGTCCAGATAGAGTAGCAGCTAGAGCTTTTACTGCTACTCATCTACTTCTCTGAAAGCATCGAAAAACATTTCACGTTAGTCCTCACATGGTTTGTACCGCAAAAAAGCACAAACCCAAACCAGCAAGACTATTCCATTCTAGTCCCGACAAGACCCAGGCCCCCAGACCCTAAATCCCAAACCCTACACCCTAACCTTGAACCTGTGCAGGTGGCGGGTGAGTTGCTTGACCACATGTCCCTGGCGAAGGTGGGCTCTTGCGATCACGACCGTGGCCTTTGTCTAAGGGCTCGATGAAGGCTTTGATAAGGGTTGTATACGGGTTTTTGTATACGGCTTCTATAAGGGTTTGGTATGTGATGTGAAGAGTTCCGGGTTTACGGCTTACGGTTGGGGCATACGTCGCCATCTTCATCGACTCCGTGATCACCATCGTAACCATACTCTCGAGTGGCACCGAGATTTTCGACATGGTACCCATGCTGAGAGCGACATTAGCAGCTCTGATAGCAATACTGTCCGACACAGGCAGAGACGGCAAAGTGCATGAACACGACGATGCAAGCACGAATGAGTTGGCTTTTGATTCTGATGTTGCCGCTCCGTTGGGTAATAATTTGGTGCTGGTACTGAATGTGCCGTCTGTGCTACTGCATGCGATTGTTTTCATGGCAGTAGCCAGAATGTAAGAAGGGTCATTCTGGTGTGAGATACATGAAAGCATCAAGGATGATATAGGATGCATGAGAAATCGGATGGTGGGTCAATGTTCAAAAAACATAACAATTGCAGTCTAAAACATAAACCCCAATCCCCAGACCGCACCCGCCTCAAATCCTAAACCCCACCCGCAGCCTCTGCACACCAAGTTCAAAAGACAGTAAAGCCGCCTTTAGTCAACCGCTCACAAACTTTCTATCACAGCTTAAGACTCCAGGCCCGTATAGCCCCAAACCACAAATACATGAACTCTTAACATAAACCCTTACAGCCCAAAGCTACTAAAGGGCTAAAGTCGTAAATCCTGAAACCCAAGTCTCTCAGCCCTCCCCCAAACCCTCAGTAGGCCTTAGACCCTATACGTAGAGGGTCATGGGACTTAGTAAGTGGGGTTATAAGTACCTTAATTGGGGTTAGAAGCAATTATAAGTATAGTTACCCTAATTATACCCCGAGTTACTAAGTCCCATGATCCTTTAAGTAAACCCTAAACCCTATAGATCCCTTTAAGGAACCCTATAGATCCCTTTAAAGAGCCCTATAAGGTTCCCTTAATAGCGATCCAAGCGGGTTCCTAGGAGGGTATCCGTAAGGGTTCATAAGCCCAGAACAGTTAAGCTTTAGGGTTTGGGGTTTAGGGTTTAGGGTTTTAGGGTGGGTTTAGGGGTTTAGGGGTTTAGGGTTTAGGGTTTTAGGGTGGGTTTAGGGGTTTAGGGGTTTAGGGGTTTAGGGTTTTAGGGTTTTAGGGTGGGTTTAGGGGTTTAGGGTTTAGACTGTAGGGTTTTCATAAACCCACAACACTGGAGAAGCACTTCAAATCAAAGCCGGAGAGACAGAGAAGAGAGGCTCAGCCCAACTTGCTCTGCTTTTCGCCCGTGCTCCGCGCCAGCGCTCGCTGCCAAGCGTGGGGAGATGCTGTGAGGCCGGGTGGGTTTAGGATTCGTTTATTAGGGACCCAAAAAGCACATAAGCACAAGCATTTTGTGGGGATATCCCTACCTTGTTGGGCTTCATTATCTGGGATTTATATGGGATATCCCTATCCTCATTTTTGCTTATGTGCTTTTTGGGGCCTTAGTTTAGAATGGTTTTGTAGGAAACCCACAACCGTAAACCCTAAAGCCCTGGATTAATAAGGGTTTATGAGGTTTGCATGAGCTTCGGGTTGGGGGTTGTAGTGCTCAAGGTTTAGGCGCTGGGGCTGCTTGAGGTGGGGTTTCGTGACTTTAGCGCTTGGGATTTTGTGAGCTTTGGGCTTTTAGGGTTTCAGTTTGGGGTCGGGCTCCGGGCGATAAGCCGTGCACCCCAAAATCCTGACCTGCACTAAGCTTATGAGCCACGACTCAACAGTATCATATGTGGCGCCTTCTTGCAGATATTGCACGAGATTCGATGTCATAGAACAAGAGTTCCTAGGGTTTGAGAAGCGATGCTTGGGAAGATTTGCATTCCCTTTAGCCTCCTTTGGGGAAACCCTGGAAGAGGACGAAAACAGAGGACCAAAATATAGTACCCTAAATCGTAGGGTACTTATGGTAAGGACCCCCAAATAAGGTACCCCTGATTTTCGGAAACTCTAAACCCTTATAGAGCCCTGTACAGACAGGAACCCTTATAGTTCCCTTATAGTAACCCTTTAAAGGAACCCAAAAATACCCCCCAATTTTCCGGAAACTCACGTGTCGGATCGAGAGGACGCTTGGGCTCATGTGGGAGATCGCCGTGATCCCTGACGTGCCCTGACTGGGTAGCATGATGAGGGAGACCCCTTAAAAGGGTACCCCTTCCGAACCCTAATTCTGGCTCTCTTAAACGGGACCTTATTGAGAGGGTCTATATCCCCGAGGGTCCCCCTAATCCTAACTCCCACTGACTTCTCCGCAGAGCGCGGGGTCCTGCAGGGGATTTTCGATTTTAAGGTTTGGGGTGCAGGGTTGACGATTCAGGGTATGAGTGTGTTGGTTGAAGATCTCCGGCTGGTTTTGGGAATAAGGGGTCGTGAGGGGTCGGTGAGATTGCGATGAAGGCTTCTATGCGTGTCTGCTGCTGTTTGCACTTCGCGGTTCCATTGCTCTTGGTATCACTGCGTTCGCCATTGATGCACGTTATGTTCGTCCTTGTACTTCGTGATTATCATGGCCATGAGACAATGACGGTTTGGTTCGGCTTCATAGTCATAGCTACACGGCACCACTGGCCATCTGAGGACTTTGCACGGAGCTGCAGCGAAAAAGACATGATCACGTCAGCTACGATGTGACTGCCCTGCCCTGCTGTTGATCTGCACCTTAATTCCAAGGGAAAAGGAGGGACCCTGAATAAGGACCCCTAGGTATATACCCATAACATACCCATAATATACCCATTATATAGCCCATTATAGGGTAGGGGTCCCCAGTACGGGTCCCTCCTTTCCCCTTTGATTAATATACGCTACTGCATGATGCCGACTTGCTTCCCATTTTCTGCGTCAAGGCTGGACATACTTGGAGGATCATGGGACTTAGTAAGTGGGGTTATAAGTACCTGAATTGGGGTTATAAGTAATTATAAGTATAGTTACCCTAATTATAACCCGAGTTACTAAGTCCCATGATCCTTTAAGTACTCCTCAGCATAGATACTGTATCGTCTTGTCGTATTGTGTTCCACCCTGAGACACAGGGCTGCTGCTGTAGCCACTGTTTCCACCAATCTACTACAGTTGCCACAGGTGTTGCTGTCAGGGTCACCACCATAGCACCGTCATGAGCACGATGCATGCGGGTCGGAAGAATGATCTCGGTGATGCCGGCTGCCATGATGCCAAAAGCAACCCGTGGCAATGTGTTCCATACAAACCTTGGAAAATCTTCGCAACATCCATTTTCGTTGGCAGTTGTGGGCAGACACGCTTGGTGTTCTTGATCACTTCAATGTCACTGCTATAAGCGTTCTACGCGCTTTTTGCAAAGCATGCCAGGTCCGGTGGTGTCGGTAACGTTAATGCCCGAGCTTACTACTGTGGAGGTCGGCAAAGATAGCAATAATCTCCCCTTGTTGTCCCTCTATGGCTATACAAGAACGACACCCCGAAACCACATTCATTATTCAGCCCCCCCCCCCCCCCCCCCCCCCCCCCCACGCATAGAACGGCGCTGATCGTTGACAGGTCGCTGCGTTTAAGGCTCCCCCCTCGCAAGACTGAGGTCATAGCATACGAAGATGCCAGCATGTCCTGCGCACCTTGGCACTTTGAGACTTTCGAATTCAGCCTTTTGGGCTTGGGGTTTTGAGGCCTAGGGTTTCGGGTTTAGGGCTCAAACCCTAAACCCCTAAACCCTAAACCCTAAACGTTTAGGCCTCTGCCTTCCACCACCTGCCACTCTAGAGTCACAAGTCGGCGGTCCCCTCATGGAACCCTTCGAGGACCCGTTTTAAAGATACTGCTTAAGGAGGGTTCAGGGTTTAGGGGTTTAGGGTTTGGGGTTCAGGGTTTAGGGTTTAAGGTTTAGGTCCAAAAACATCTAAAAAAAAACGGATGGATCCCAAACCACAGCTGTCGCAAGAGCGAGACGTGCCAAGGTTCACAGGAACCCGAAACCGAAAAGCCCAAGTCTCTCAGCTTTTTCCTTAAACTCTGACCCTGTACCCCAAACAACTCTAAAGCCAGATCAAAAGAAATTTCTAAACTGTGGCAAATCCACTGTGAAGCGGTCTTGGATTGGCTCTCTGCCCAAGAAGCCTAAAGCCAAGGAGGAGGCAGGTTCCGGGAAGTCGCTTTTGCCGCTGCTTGCCCAGTGTGTGCCACGGCTGCACGGTGTCGGGCTTCGGGGTTTTCAGGGTGTAGGGTTCCAGGTTTTTTAGTGGTTTTTAGGGGGCTCAAGGGTTTAGGGCCCGGCCGGGGGATTTACTGTTTCGGGTTTGGTTTAGGGTTTAGGGATTCGGGTTTGTGAACCCTTGTACGGCTCTGGACACAACCCCTGCGCCCTCACGCTACACCCGGAGAGCCTCCGAAGGCTAAATCGGGCCGGGAGTTTTTTGTCAGACGCAGCATGGGGCCTCAGTGTCCGCAGCTCTAGATCCTGAGAGCCAGAGTCCCTTTGCGGCTCTTCGATCCCTAGTAGTCGAGTAGGTAGCCTTTAACCTTTTTTGGGTAATATTGTCCCTATATAATCTCTACAAAACCAAAAAGGTGAATCTTGGGTTCCCCATGGTACCCGACAAGTAGGTAGCCCAGCCTAGGCTCTAAACTGCCCTTTAACCCGGGACCTGAAGCGCCGACGAGCCCGGAACCCCAAAACCCTGCAAGCCGAAGCCACACTCTGGCTTCAACCCAGAGAGCCCAATACCCCTTAAATAAGGAATATAGCTTGAATCATAATATGAAGCCCTATTATATCGTTTAAGCCATATTCCTTAATTAAGGGGTATTGGGCTCTCTGGGAATGTCAAGCCTGGGCTCAGGAGAGATTTTGGCTGCAGCAGATGTGCGCGGAGAGCCCACTCAAGCGCCGAGAGAAAACAGCCGATGGTTTGCTGTGCATTACAAGAGTGTCTTTAATGACTCTGAAGCGCTTCTACCAGGGTTATTTTAAGGTTCCCAGAGACTCCAATATCCCTTAATTAGGGAATATTCCTTAAATCCTACTATAATTTAAGGAATATTCCTTAATTAAGGGCTATGGGAGTCTCTAGGTTAGATGATTTTGGGTCAAGGGTTGCAAAAGGGGTTGGAGTTAAAGTTTCGGCCTCGGGGCTTTTGGCGCGGGGCTGGTTCGGGGGCTGTCGCTTACTTGGAGGGTCGGGGGACTTAGTAACTGGTTATTTTAGGGACTTATAAGTACCATAACCCCAATTAGGGTCCCTTTTAGGGTACTTATAAGTCTACTCACTACCTACTTGCTAAGTCCCCCGACCCTCCAAGTAGGGATCATACCTCTGACACTGGGTTCAGTGTTTGAGGGCGCTTATGTAGCAAGCCGATTAAGAAACCCTGGGCCTATAGTCTAGGATTCATAGAAAGAACCCTAATGAAGGCCCAAGGTTTCTGAATGAGGTTCTTACATTAACCTAAACCTTCAACTTAAACACTAGCTGTAGCCAAATGACTTATCTATTTGAAACTGAAGAAGTATGGACACGATGAGAAGAAACACAGAAAGGTTGGTTCTTGGCTGCAGACCCGTCGACCATTCAAGCTTTAGGGCTTCTGGGTTTTGGAGCTTTGTCGGAGATGATCCATGTGAGGGATCAATGCGCTTAACAAGTAGTGCAAGGCAGCTCGAGCTTTACATGCTTAAAGGCCACACTCATGCAAGGTACTCATATCCCAACTTGCTATGTTCTCTGAACCTGTAAGTATGCTCACTGCCATCAGGATCCCTAAGCCCACTGCATGCGGGAAGACCTAAACCCTTGATGGAGTCCTGAAAGGAACCCTGAAAGGAGCCCACGTTTATCCCCTGAAGCCCCCCAAGCCGCTTTTTGCCTACAGGTCCCGCAGACGATGTACGTGGAGAAGCTGGTCGAAGTGCCGAAAGTGCCGTGTCCTGGGGTCTCGGGCTTCAGGCGATGTGTGTTGGGTTATAAGGGTTTCCGATTGTGGGCTTTAGGGGGTTTTCGTCGTACTGCATCCGGTGTTTATGAGCTTTATATTGGGCTTTACAAGGTTTCAAGGCTTGCGGGTGGCTCTTGTGTTTGTGGAGGTTCAGGGTATTCCTTCAACCCTGAACTATAAAGGTCTTGGGACGCTTCGGGATGGTAGGCCTGTAGGCTTCGTGCTCTCTTCTCATAGGTTCCATAGAGGGGGGGATAAGGCCAACCACAGTTGAAGGGTCAATGGACCTAGCAAGTAGAGCTATAAGCAACACAGTTACAGTCACATGGAGTCCCAATCAGTGTACCTAGAACCCTGCTTGCTAGTTCCCCTGAAGCTCCAACTAAACGGACTATCGGGGTACTTTCTCTTACTTATCCGCAACAGGGTTAGGCTGGTTTAGGTTTTATGATTGTGAATTTGGGGCTCTAGCGGTTTAGTGTTTATTGTGTGGACGACGGGGCGCCCCTGAAAGCACGAGTGACAGGGGCGAGGACTCCCCAGAACTGCAACCAGTAGCAGCAGTTAAGGGAGTAGGGTTTAGGGTTTAGGAGGGTGTAATGAAAGTCCAACCTCAAAAGGGCTTTTCTGTAGCTTTGTGCTTCCCTGTACAGAACCTGCAAAATTCTCGACACAATCGTGACTTTGAGTCAATGCCAAGCTTCATGATGAACTTGCAAAGCCGATTTCGCATCCGTTTCGAGATTTGGGAGGGTTCATCTACATCCTAAATTCCCAGATCGCAGCCTAAACCCTTAACCTCGAACCCTCAACCCTAAACACGTCGACAGACCTACATTTCGCTGGGGATGGCACCTGACCTTGTCAAAGACATCCTGAGTCCTTTGGAGATGCACTTCTGCAATGAAACCATGATCGATGGTGTCTGGCACTCCAGGGTGCTGGAGGCTGCACGAAGCTGAGCACCTGGACCATCTCCAAGGAGAAACTGGATTCGCACGAGAACTCAGGGTATGCAACCGCATCCAAGGGCGGTGAGCTGTGGTGCGCTCATTTCATCAGCCTCCGGTTTGCTTATGCGGAGATCGTGAGAAAGCCAAGAGGCTTGTGGTTACCTTCGCTTCAGATACGCTCTCAAGCCACCGAGCCGAAGGTTCCTCACGAAGGACCTGTGCAGCAGAGGATCTTGCCAATGCCCGTGTTTAGGGTTTAGGGTTTCTGTCTCCACTTGTGCTTCTCTGTACTGCCCGACGGTCTTATTTCATGACCTCGACACCCGACTGCGTGTTAATGGGGCCTTAACTAAAATTGGTCAGTAGGCAAACCGATATGTGACCAGTACGCAGATGACACCTGCAAAGAAGAGTCACATTGGGCCACAGCCTCGTCTGACCAACTCTCTATGGAATGGGTTTTAGGAGACGCCTGGTATCATAAATTCCTAAGATGTTGCATCGAACGACTCACATAATAGCGACCTCAGGGTTTGGGTATGTGCGGGCCGCCGCACCCTGCCCTCACAGATCCGCATGCAGCAGAAGCTGGGGCAACTTCGCAAATTACGCCGCCCAGCGATCCTATACATCATGTAGCCTTCTCGCCCAGATACAAGAATCGCATGAAGTTCACTAAATCTGCCAGAAGAGGCGGAATGGACACTACCCACACTTGGACACCACAACCTCGGATCATCGGAGGGATTTGCTACTTAAAGGATCATGGGACTTAGTAACTCGGGTTACAATTAGGGTAACTATACTTATAACTACTTATAACCCCAATTCAGGTACTTATAACCCCACTTACTAAGTCCCATGATCCTCCAAGTAGGACTGAAACAACACCTGAACGAACACTCCGAATGCAGACTACAATTGGAGACTGCGCCGACGCGCTCGCCCGAATTGTTCAATAGACATGTGACCGTCCTTGAATGGCAACCGGACAGCAACATCGACTGAACTCGTCATTTCGCTTGTAAGTTCATAGTCTTGTGCTATACTATGCTCCTTATCCAAAACTTGAAGCCCCAAACACTCAATACTACACCCGAACCCCTGAACTTTCAACTAACCCGTAACCCCAAACTCCTACCCCCCTTAAACCCTAAAGGGCCTACAGCTTCCTGCTGCGCCGAGGTGCAGGTGGTGGAGACCATCAAACAAGTGCCTAAGCCGATGATGAAGCAGGTGGAGAAGCAGGCTGGGCCTACCCATTCCTGAGTAATACCCTTTTGCACTGTTTATTTGGGGTCTTCTTGACAAAACAGAGTAGTAGAAAAAAGGGTACCCTTATTATAAAGGGGCTACCATGAAGGCCAAGACAGCACGGAGCAAGGCCAAGGGCAGTCGCAGCGGGCCGAGCAGCTGGGCAAGCTAGATAATTAGATGTCCAAGAAGGCCAAGGAAACAGCCCCAGTCCGAGATCCGGAGATTGAGATCATGCATGCAGAGCAGGATGCGACAGCAAGTTGGAGCTCGGCGAGAACAAGAGCACCCAAGGAGCCATTGCGCAACTCAGTGTGACTGGGAAGCGGGGCACGTCGGCTCCGGAGGGCGCGAGATCTCCAGGACTCGTTTCCAGAGGAACCTAGCCGTGAATGGCGGCCATTCGAAGTGTTCTTGTGGCGCTCCAAAAGTGTTGCATGGTTTTTTGCGATGGCCCAAGTCCACCTAGAGGTCAGGGAAGTAAGCCGGGTGTTCAGCATCGTAATTGGGATGAAACGCAGATGCAACGTTACCTACTTGAAGGATCATGGGACTTAGTAACTAGGGTTATAATTAGCGTAACTATACTTATAACCCCAATTAGGGTACTAATAACCTTACTTACTAAGTCCCATGATCCTCCAAGGAGCGTCCTGCTGTTTTACGCAAGCACTATATCGCAGCCTGAGGGCCGAACACATTTTTCTAAGAAAGCACTTGAGCTGTAAATCATGAACCCCGGTTTAGGGTTTAGGGGTTTTCTATGACGTTTACAACCATAGGGCTTAAACTCTGAACACGAAACCTGAGACCCTGCATCCTGATCCACTTGCAGGACGAAGCATGTCCGGATTTGGGTTCTGGGGCTAAGGGTCTAAGGTTTCTGGGTGTGCGCTTAGGCTTGCATGTTCAGGGACCAGGACGTGGTAGATACCCTAATCACGAACGGAGTCTTTTCGAACAGGGTTGTTTGGAGTTCCATGTTGGTCTCAAGGGGTGTACTTAGTGAGCCTTCTGGGAGTGAACTCACAACAAGCATGATCCCTTTGCGCGTTTGAGGGCTAGTACTTTTCCTTTTTTTTTCATTCCCGAAGGCCTCAACCGCCCAGGGGTCGAATCTTCAACCCTGAAGCTGAGCCACCCTAGGCTGCGGTAAAGTGGTGTCTCTGGGTTGAAGACCTGCGCATGCTTGGCCACCAAAGCCTTCCCAGAAACCCTCTGGACCACTCGGGGAGCAAGGGACTTACTGAGTTAGTTGTTGCAGGTTCCTCAAAGGGCTGCATTAAGGCCTTCGTGGTTTCTTAGAAAATACTGCAGGGATGAGGGGTCTTGAAAAGTAGGCTTGTATGCAAGGTCACTACGGCTATGCCGACTTAGAGTCTCAATGCAAGTTCCTGTTTACCCTGGCCTATAGCCCTACTTGCTCAGCTCTCACTCTCAGAGCCTTGAAGCAGGGTATGCGTGTTTTACGTGGGTACTGGCGTATTTCCTGAAAGCCAGGTGTGCACCTTTTTCAGGTGGCCGTAAGCTGATCTAGCTCTTGCAGAAGGAGGCCTTCAAGCCGAATTGGATGGGCATGAGAAGCAATACTTTTGCACAGCTTTTCCAGCTGCAGCTGGCCTCACCTTTTGGGCCGGCATACAAGGCAACCATGGCCCATGCTTGCCACCGTCGCTGGGATGGTGAAATAAGTTGTAACCTCAAAACAAAGCCGCCATGACAAAACCCCAATTCTGATACCTTTCACATTGCTTTTTCAGTCCCAAGAACCTCAATCCTAGATCCCAACCAGCCCTTCACCTTCAAATTCCCGTGAGGTAGGTCAAGTCCCAAGCCCCGTGCCCTCAAAAGTCCCAGATCCCAAAGTCCGGTCTAGGGAGTTTAGGGTTTGGGGTTTCAGGGTCTTTGGTTTGAAATCCCTCAAACCCAGAAAACAGTACTTGGAGGATCATGGGACTTAGTAAGTAAGGTTATAAGTAAGTTATAATTAGGATAACCCCACTTAGGGGACTTATAACCCCAGTTATAGCCTACTTACTAAGTCCCGTGATCCTCTAAGTAGACTCCCAAATCACACGCCTTGCACCCTTTGCCCTGGTAAAGGTTCTTGGAGGGTCGGGGGACTTAGTAACTGGTTATTTTAGGGACTTATAAGTACCATAACCCCAATTAGGGTCCCTTTTGGGGTACTTATAACCCTACTTATAACCTACTTACTAAGTCCCCCGACCCTCCAAGTTGAGTAGAACCCTGCCAGCCTTCCAAGAAACCAAAAAAACTGCTCCCAAACCCCTAAGCCCTCAACCTCAAAATCCCGACGCCCGCAACCCAAGCCCTTGAGCCCTTAAAGTTCTAGACCCTAAATTCTTAACCCCAAAACCTCAAAACCCTGAACCCGAAACCCCCTAAGCCCCACACCTCAAAGCCTTAAACCCTAAACCCTAAACCCCTAAACCCTAAGCCCTAAACCCTCGAAACCGGGCTGAGGCTTCTGCTTGGCGGAAAAAGGAGCTTTACAAAAAAAACCTCACAACCCTAAACCGTGGATCAGGTCGTAAAGCCGATCTACGAGGTCATCGAGCGGGTGGTAGAGGTGCCCATCACAACCATCCAGGACTGTCCGGGTTTCGGAGGATCCCTAATATGATTTAAGGTATATTTCTAAATTAAGGGATATTGGAGTCTCTGGGAGGGCTTAGAGGGGCTTGGGCGGCTTCGGAGTTTAGGGGTTTAGGGTTTAGGGGCACTATTTAGGGGTGGAGGGGGTTCAACTTTCGAGTTTAGCGGTTGGGGTTTAGGGTAGGGGCTCAGGGATTTAGGATTTGGGGGCTCAGAGGTTAGAGGTTTTAGGGTTTGGGATTTTTGTGGTCTTAGCAGTTGAGGTCAAAGGTTTTAGGGTGCGGATGAGTGCAGCTTTTGTTTCGTCTCTCTGTCTTGTTATTGTAGTCTTTTGTCTGCTGCTGCTGCTGGTCGCATGTATTGGCGTTGTTCTGCGTTGATGCGACTTTGTTGGCACTGAACCAAAAACACCCATGTTGTGAACACCTTGGGGGATCTTGAATGAATCTATCAACCCTTTCAGGAAACGCCAAAGTGAGCCCTTGAGTGGACCCCGCTTTATTCAGAAAGGAGCAGATCGTGGAAGTTCCGAAGATGGAGTACGTCGACCTTGTCCGCGAGATTCCGAGGTGGCAGCTAAAATCAGAACCTTGGACCCCCAAGCTCCAAATTCCTACAACCCCAAGCCCTGAACACTCAACCGTTGACTGATCACTAAACGCAGAGCCCGCTGTGCCCCAACCCCCGAGCCCTGAACCCGGAAGCCCGGTAACCCTCAAGCCCTTATAATATTCTTACTTACTGTAGCTTGTAGAACCTTGTAGAAACCTTGTGAACCTTTGCAGACACCTTGTAGAAGCCTCGCAGAGGCCGTAGAGACAACTGGAAACCACAAAAGACAACCGAAACCCGAAACGCTAAAACTCTAAACTCCAAGCCCTAAACCCTAGACCCTAAAAACCTTACACCCTAAAACCCTAAGCCCAAAAGGCCTAAGCCCCCAAACTAACCCGGAACCTTTAGCCCGAAACCTCACACAACCCAGCCTCCACGGAGCCTGAGCGCCTCAGCCTGTGCAGCTTTCGAGAGGCCGGAGGTGCAAAAGGTGCAGAAGCAGGCCGGTGTCAGCTTGTATAGGGGCCTTCATACTTCCAATAGGGTTCCTAAAGGATCAAAAAGGGTACAACAATGTAGGGGCTTTAATTGTTAGAAAAGGGTTCCTTTAAGGGATACTATCAGGATACTATAAGGATACTATGAGGGCCAGTGTCCGTTAGCTTTCGGAGTTTAGGGGTTAGGGTTTCTGGCCGAAGTTCAGGGTTTCGGATCCATCGTTGCGGCGTTGGCGTTTTTTTGTTTTTTTTTGGCTCGAGGTCGGTAAGAGTTTTCAGGGTTGTGGCGAAGGTTCTATGAGGGTTTATAGAGACTTTCTATGCTTGCTGGAGCGATGTATACGGTGTTTACAGGGGCTCGCTGGGAGTTTTATGAGCTTTGGGGGTTTTCGTATAGAACTGATAGACCCAGTGCGCGTTCTCTACCCTGGCAGAACCTACACAAGAGCCGGCATATTCCTCCATCTCTTGATAAGTATTGTAGGGGTTTAAACATACCGCCTCGGGTCATGACTATTTATGAACTGTAATGTGCCTCAAAGCCGTGTTCTAATCATTGAGGCCGAGATGCCAGACATGTCTGGGAGGTCTTAGAGTTTCTATGGATCCATGAGCTGCACGGTACGCTGTCCCATCTCCCCATCCCCCATCTCCCCAACACACCAAAACCCTGCAACGCTAAATGGGGGTTTCCGGAAATACCTTAAATTTTAAGATCCTTATTATAAGGACCCTAAAGGAAGGTACCCCTAATTTTCGGAAACTCCCAGATCCAACGAGCCCGCACCTAAACCCCTGAGCCCGAAAGCCTGAAAGCCCTTAACCCCAAAGCAGCTGTAAAGCTGTAAGCCGATAGCCTCAAACCCCAGAGCCCTCAACCCTAAGAAACTAAGTCCTACAGCCTTCGAAAACAATCCCTAAAACCCTAAACCCTAAGAAACTAAGCCTTAGAGCCTTAAACTCCAGATCCCAAGCCCTAAACCCGTTGCAAAGCCGTCAAAACAGCCCTTGAATGAAGCATACTGCACTGCTCTGAGGAGTGATGGTTGATTTTTCTTATATATAAGATTTCTAAGGGTATTATATAGCAAGATTTTGAACATATTCTGGTTCTAAGGGCGGCTGAGCATAGTTCTGGCAGATCCAGGTTGAGAAGCCTGTGATTCAGTGCATCGAGAAGGTCATGGAAGTCCCACAGTACACCGTGCAGGAGCCGTGCAAGCCTGAGGTTTAGGGTCTAGGGTGAAGGCCTGGCAAAGGAGTGCGTAGTGGTTTGGGGCTGCATGATTCACTGGCGCCTGCCGTGCCTGGAGTTTATAGGTTGTTTCATGTAGTTGCTCATGTTTCAGCGTTTTTTTGCGTGTTGTAGGGCCTGATTGGGGCTGTAGAAAGGGGTGATCAAGGCAATCCAGTCATCGACAGCATAATTTCTTCACGATACCGAGCAGAACACAAGTCCGATATCCCCCCGGCACCCACCCCTCTTCGACTTACTCACGTTTTCCCAACCCATATGCACCAATGACCAACGAAAGTATGACTGATGAAGGTCCGAAGCTGCAGCAAAAATGATTTCTGTTTAGAAGTTTGGCCCTAAGCCCGGCGAAAGGCGCAAAATCACATCCGGAAAGTCTAAACTCTAAAGCTCCAGCCACCGAAAATCCCCCAAAGCCCTTAAGGATGTACCAGGTTTTCTACTGAGGTAGGCATGTTGAATGCAGCAGATTCGGGATGCCAGCCGTGGGTTAAATAAATCCACGGGCTTTGGTGTAGGGTTGAGGGCTCAAGGTTTGGTGCAGTCTTAGCGGGCTAGTCTTTTGAGGTGTTGGTTTTAGGGCTTTGGGACGAATCTCACAGCAGACTCCACATATACATATACATTCGCTTTCATATAAATATCCGTATGCATATACATATACATATATGCACATATACGCATAAACACAAATACACACACATATATATATATATATATATATATGCACATACATACATACATACATACACACACACACACACACACACGCTGCAGATTTTTCAAAGCCCTATATACACTCAGCAAGACCCCATAAGACCCCTTGCTTCAAAGAAACCTTATAAACACCCCTTCCAGTATGGACCCTACAGCATCCTACAAACGCACTACCACATCTCGCAAATTGCAGTGCCATGTTCTTAAGTTCTACAAAGCCTAAAACCGCTAAGAACTTCGTAGAAGGCTCAAGCTTCAGAAGTTCAACGTCGCAGGAGTGCATCGTGGAAGTCCCCCGGGTGGAAGTCCACGAGGCATGTGGTCCCATTGTTAGTGTTAGTGTCTTATTATCATTATTGTTAGTACTTTGAATTAGTACGGTTCTTTATTGCTACCGTTCTTGTTCTCTTTATTGGTATTTAGATGGTTGCTGCGTTTGTTGGTATTGTCATTGTTGTTGTCATTCTCTCCAGTCGGCTCTCCCTGCGCAGATTCTGCCTTCGGAGGGTTTGCGAGTTTTGTCGACAGGCGCAGTGGCACTCCCACCCTATCCCATTACCAGAGCATCCATGCCCGAACCGAGCGTTGTTATTGATATTGTGATTACTATTGTTACTGTTTATTGTTGTCCTCATTGTTATCATGATGATGATGACGATAATGATGATGATGATGAATATGATTGCTACGATAATGGCTCTGCCTTTAATCGTTATGATTGCTCTTCTCTGTTGATTGTTGTTGCTGCTACACACAAGCACTACAACACCCAAGTACTCGCGCCCTAGTTTGGGGGTTTGACGTTTAGGGCTCTGTTTTTAGTGCTGGGCAAAGTCTTAAGCCTCAAGCCCCAAACCAAAATTTTCCAAGCAACAATCCGTTGGAAGATAATCCCTGGCCTTAACACTCGGTCCCAAACCGCTTCAGACGGCTTTCTCAGCTATTTGAGTAGAGTCTGGGTTTAGGGCTTAGGATGTGGCGCTTAACGCGTCGTTTGGGGCTTAGGGTTCGCCGCTCGGGTAGGGTTTTGACATGGATTTGGTGCTGTCTTTTCAGGATGGGGCAGGATTTCATGAGTGATTGTATGGTTTCCACAGGTTTCGCACGGTCTGGCCGGAAACAGAAACTTGCATTTGTGCCAATCGCGGAGTCTTCTGTAGGGTTCTATCAGGGCTCCACAATGATCTTTCCGAAGGTTCGGGTTCCACTTACAGCTTCGGAGATAGGTTCGGTGTTAAGCGCTCCAGCCCTAAGTTAGAGGAGCTTAGGGTTGTCATAGAGTTTTCAAGGTTTCCCGCACGCCCAAACTATGAATCCAAACCCCATAAACTCGCATATTTATTTCCAAAACTGCAACTCTGGGCATGTCTGGCTTCGAGGATCTGGCAAGAGAAAAGCGCCTCTCAGCTGGAAATGCAGGCAGCACGTCAGGCTCAGAACGAACAGGATCTGACGAAGCAGAAGTTCCTCATGCGGCTTGAACATGCGGCAAAAACTCGCCACTTGACACGCAAAGCAGACGCGGCCGTCTAGCCGCACACGCAAGACGACCCACTGCAGGACTTTGTGCGTGATCCAAACCCTAAATCTTAAAGCGCAGGCATTTGTTTCGGAAGTTTGGACTGCACGGCACTAGGAAGCCCAGCGTCCTTAAAGTCAGGGAAATAGGGTTTGCAAGAGCTTTAGCTCCCCCCTTTCAAGAAGCCCCGTTTCTGGTTTGGTTACCATACTGGAAACCATGTTCTTTACCAAGCTGGTTGGAGAGAAATCAGGTTCGTAGTTGCCAAGAGCCCAGAAGATCAGAAGCTCAAAACCGACAATTCCCTTATATTCATACATGTGTATCGAGCCCTTGCAGAGACCCTTCTGGAGTCCGTTTTGGAGCCCTAGTAGCAACTCGTCGAGTACGCCTCCTCGTCTGTGCGCGTGCGCGCGCGAGGTCACGAAGCAGGTGCCCCGCGTGGAGATCCAAACGGTCGACAAGGAGGCCGGCACATTCCAGGGTTATTGCAAGGTTGAATGGTTGATGGTTTCGGGTTCTAATCTACACGGGTTCTTTAGGGGGTTAAAATTACAGGCGTTTACGAGGGCTTCACAAGAGTACAGCAAGGTTGCATATGGCTTGCATGGGGTTTGTAGAAGCTCGTCTATGGGGATTCTAGAGTTGCTTGATGAAGGGTCCTTTGCTCAGAAACCTGACTATGTCCTTGGACGGATCTTCTTGAATCGAAGGATGTTGGCGTGTCTACAGACTCACACCTACGGGGAGGACCCGAATTTGAATTTTCCCCACGTGCAGTACCTCGACCAGATCGTCCAGGGGCACAAGTGCTGCGGGGAGATCTCCTTCAAGCACTGGCTTCACCCGGGAGGCCGCCACCAAGGACCTCCAGTCCGGGTCGCCAAAAGCTACCGTGGCCGGTTCGCCAACACCTGCATGGGACAAGTTGCCTGACCCCCTGCGGCGGTACAGGAAGTATACTGCCGTGAAATGGCCAGGGCAGACGACTTGGGAGTCTGAATTAGTGGCAATAACATTCCCTTGTGACCTGCCTAGTATGCCACGTTTCCCTACTTGTGCGGTTTGAACAAGTAGCAGAAGTATTGCTATTCCTTTCCTTATGCCAGTTTTAGCAGATCATAGCCCGAAGCCTTGTTAAAAATAACCAGGCTCCCATGTATCAATGAAAAGCCCTGAAAAAATAATCGTCATTGGAGACCTCAGCGAAACCCTTACAGGAAACCTTTACAGGATTCCTTCAAAGGAGCATTTTCAAGTGAACCCTTTCAGGGATTCCTGAGAAAGAGCCCTAAACCCCGAAACCCTAAACCCCGAGAAAAGGAGCCCACAAAAAGACACCCGAAACCCTAAACCCAAAGCCCCCCTAAACCCCTAAACCTTTAGAACGCCCAAACCCTAAACCCCTCAACCCTAAGACCCTAAACCACTACCCTATGGCCCCAAAGTAGTTCCTTTTTGGGGTTCATATATATAGAATCGTAAAAGGTAATCCCTCAACCCTAAAACCCCTAAACCCCCCTTAAACCTAGACCCTCAGCTCCAAATCCGAATTTCCCTAAACCTGAAACCCCAAAGCCCTAATTACTTACCTTTACTTGGAGGATCATGGGACTCAGTAAGGAAGGTTTAGGGTTCCTTTTAATCAGGGTACTATAGGGTTCTATGATAGGGTTCCATAAAGGGATCTATACGGGTTCTATAAGGAGGATAATGGGACTTAGTAAGCAAGGCTAGAAGTACCTTAGTTGGGGTTATAAGTATAGTTACCCTAAGTATAACCCTAGTTACTAAGTCCCATGATCTCCATTGTAGTTCCTTTTTGGGGTTACTTCTTAGGATCCTTAATACATACTTGGTTAAACCAAAAAAAGGAACTGCAGTCGAGACCATCGGTAAACCTTCTATGCTCGGCTTCCCTCAGCCGCCTTGAGGTCAGAAAGAGGGAGATTCAGTACGTCGAGAAAATCGTGGAGGCTTTTAGGGGTTCTGGGGTTTAGGGATTCAGGGTTCGGGGGTTCGGGGGTTCAGGGTTTCGGGGTTCAGGGGTTCAGGGTTCAGGTGTTTGGATTCAGGGTTCTGGGGTTCGGGGGTTCAGGGTTCTGGGGTTTAGGGTTCGGGGTTGGGGGTCTGGGGTTTCGAGTTCTTTGGTTGAGGGGTTCAGGTTTAGGCTTTAAGGTTCTGGGTTGTGGGGGTGTAGAGGGATTAGGGCTTGTTTAGGTTGTAGAGTGAAGGGTGTAGGGCGTGAGTATCCAAATCCCTCAGCCTCAAGGCCCAAAAAAAGCTATTTGCTCTCTGGGCAGCCGAGTATTTTTCAGGTTCTTCCAGCAGGTGACTGCAGCTAGGATCACCGAACCCTCTCAGCCTTAGACGTTGCTTAAAATCATGTGGAGGTCGGGATTGTAGAAGAATAGCACCCTAGTCTTCCTGTTGCAACAATTGATTGAACTCGACAAGCCCCAACTGCCACTTAAACGCCAATCCCAGAACACAGACCTGTTCTCGGATCGTCCTAAACACCCAAACGCCCCCCTTTTAGAACACTTGTACATATATCATTCCGGACAAAACTTCTGGAGCATTTTTCCACCCCAAAGGCCTAAACCCTACGGCCCTCTGAGGTGCCGCAGATTGTCTACGAGGAACGCATCGTGGAGGCCTTGAGTAGAAGAGCCGCAGTTGCTTACTACAGTCAAAGGGGAAAAGGAGGGACCCTTAGGCTTTTAGGGTTCCTTTAAAGGGATCTATAAGGGTCCCTTTAAAGGGATCTATAGGGTGTAGGGTTTAGTTTAATCAAAGGGGAAAGGAGGGACCCTTCATGGGGACCCCTACCCTACAATGGGGCCATATAATGGGTATATAATGGCTATATTAAGGGTATATACCTAGGGGTCGTTATTAAGGGTCCCTCCTTTTACCCTTGGAAACAGGGGTTGAGGGTTTAGGGCTTTGGGCATGCGTTCAGGGTTTAGGCCTGAATCGTTACCCACATTATCCTTCAGGTTACTTATCACAATTATAGGCCGTTACATCACGTTCTACAAGATTTAAGAGGTCCTATCTTGGTCCCTCATGAGTTTGTGAAGTTTTATGTGTTGTGCAGGGGTCTTTGTGAGTAGTTACAAGTCCACGGACTGGGTTTCTCAGTAGTAGAGGTACCTTACAACCCTACTAACTATAAGCCTCCTGATGCTTTCAAGAAGTATCCAATGGGCAGCTGTTTAAAGCCCTTCTAACAGTATCTATAGGGGCCAGAATGGGTTTGGAGTCATCTTACAGCACATTTGTCATAAGGAACCCTAAGGAACAATAAGATGACTGATGCACTTATAAAATATCCCGAACCCCTAAACCCTGAAGTCTAAGCCCTAAAACCTAAACCCTAATCCCTAAAACCTGAATCCCTAAACCCTAAAACCCTAATCCCTAAACCCTAGACCTTATAACAATAAGTAAAACAAGCCCTAAAGCCTAACAACAAGTCAGACCCCGGATAGTAAGCCCAAAGCAGGTGCCTCGGATCGAATACCGCGAGGTGATCAAGCAGGCGACTTGCCAGTTCGCCGGGGTCGAATGTGCTGGTGGTGGGGGGGGGGGGGGGGGGGGGGGGGGGTTAAGGGTTTAGGGTTTAGGGTTTAGGATTTTTGTAAGGGTTTATTGTTTAGGGCTGGTGTTAGGGTTTAGAGTTGTTTTTTCAGGGTTTAGCGTTTAGTGTTTGCCAGGGTTGAAGAGTGTTTGAATATAATGTTTGCTTCTGTAGCGGCTCTCCATGGGTGGGCATAGTTATTATAACATAGGGTTTCCTATACAAGTATACTAGCCATACACCAAAGCCCTGTTCTGAGTATTTAGGGCCTTTCTGAAGGGTTTCGCAAAGCTCAGGGGCGTTCAGTGACCGTCACTTCGAGAAATTTGAAGTCTCTGAGTTTGGTGCTGTCTGAGGCTTTCGTTTGTTGAGATTTGGGATTTAGGTCTTCATAGGGAGGCTTACAAGTTTCTCAAAGGTTGTGTTTTATAAGGGCTGTTGCTGGGAGCTGCCGCCGAGTGCCCACTGTCGGCGCAACGGCTGCAGTTGTGCTTGCAATTGGTAACACCGGTCGGTCCCGTTTCGGTCAGCTAAATTGTATGTTAGATTGACTTTGAGAGTCCGTGTGAGGCTTGGTGGTTCTGTCAGCAAGGGTCTACGTTTTATGATTCAGACATGAACCCAACGTCCTTCTCACCGCCATGAGAAACAACCGAGAATAGCATGCATGTATTGTTGCATGTATGTATGTATGTGTGTATGTATGTATGTATGTATGTATGTAAGCTCGTATGCAAAACACATCTCGCCAAGTAGCAAGCAGTCCTAATCGCAGTAGTATCGATCATCTTTCGAACACTTTAGGCAGACAGACTCTGATAGTAGTGGCAGCAGCCATCACAACTGTGTTCGTCAAGGCCAGAGTAAATGGCAACCAAGCCTTTGCCTGCCTTGAACGCTAAACACCGAGACACCCGATGGACCTTGACAGGACTCAAGAAATTACACCGAACAACCGTGCCCTGATCCCTACATAGAGGATCATGGGACTTAGTAAGTAAGTTTTAATTGGGGTTATAAGTCCCCTAAGTGGGGTTCTCCTAATTATAACTTACTTATAACCTTACTTACTAAGTCCCATGAGCCTTCAAGTACATATAGCCTCCAGCTTCAGCCGAAGCCCTAAAGCCTAAAACCTAGCCCCAAAATCCTCTATGCCGTGACTGGAATCCTTGTGAACCTTTACAACCAGGCCGTAATCCTGAACCCAAAACCCCGAACCCTAAACCCTACGCCCCAGAAGCCAAACCCCAGACCCTCAACCTCTGCGACGGTTATTGAGAGGCCCTAAATCCTAAGCCCTAAACCCCATAAGCTCTACACTCTAGACCCTAAACGCCTAAACCCCTCTGTGCTCATTACTAAGCAGACCCGCTCAGGTGCCGAAGCCAGAGGTGCAGTACATCGACAAGAAGGCTTGGTTTGCTCCTTTTCGGCTTCTTGTCGACCTCCTCTATGGGTTGCTTGAAAGGGAAGTTGTAACTACTCTTTACGCTTCTGTGAGAGTTTTGGAAGGCTTGTTGAGGGTTAAAGGTGCCAAGAGAAGGGAAATAGAAGGCAGCGTATCAGAGTAGGGGCTTTGTTTCTGCCCAAGAATCTGGCCTGGGCCTTGAATTTCAAGGGCCTGTACTACGGGGAATCATGTACCCTACCAGGGCCCAACAATAACACTGCTAGCCCGTACTGTCCCGCAGAGCTTTTAGATTGCAGTAGACCCAACGGATAGCCGGAAAACTCTCGAATCTCGAAGCCTTGAACCACAAAAACAAAGCATCCCACTACCTTCTGGAAACAGCAGATTTTTTGAGCTCGCAATTTACTACATCCCACAAGCACGACCAAGAGTACATAGCGAAGATCTAACATTCGGATATTTCGACACACTTCAGTTCTCCACCTAGACCCTCTAGTAGAGCTTGTATTACGGAAGCATTGCAGGAACCCTTCAAGGAAGTTGCCTTCGCAACCTAAGCCAACGACAAGCCGTTTCGTTCTGAACTGGGGGAGGTGCCCAAGCATGTCATCGAATACGTGGAGAAGATCGTGGAGGTGTCGTAGTTTAAGGTTTAGGGCTTGAGGGACTAAGGCTTTTTTTTGTTCAGGATTTCGTGCCTTGAAGGTTTTTGGCGCAGGGATTTCCTTTGGTTCGTTTAATCTTCTTCTGCAGTTTTGGGTGTGGGCTTCGGGTACAAAGGACCGACCTTAGATGCTTGAAAGTTTGCCAGCAAGTCACCCACGCGATAAATGAGCAGGTCTCGTAGCACTATACGCAGTATGTAATAGCGGAGGAGCCAAGATCCGAATCTTGAAACTTACCCAACGCCAGCCAGTAAGCTCTGTCCACTCCCAGGCCCTTTTAAAGCCCGAGTTTAGATTGTCTCTAGACCCTAATGTCTAAGCCCCGCGCCCGCATTTGCCTCTATGAGCCAGACTGCCTTTGGACGACCGAAACCCGAACGCCGAAGTTCTAAATACCTAAAGCCGGCAACCTCAGAACCTTAACTCACTAAGCTCTACGCTACCCCCTACACTCCGAATTCTTAGATCCTACTTGGAGGGTCGGGGGACTTAGTAACTGGTTACCATAACCCCAAATAGGGCCCCTTTTTAGGGTACTTATAAGTCTACTTACTACCTACTTACTAAGTCCCCCGACCCTCCAAGTAGTCCTGCAAGCTCGAAGCCTCCTAAATTCTGAGCCCCCACACTACAGCGGACAGGTGCCACAGGTGGTCTATGAGGAGCGCCCCGTAGAAGTGGAGCAGGCGTCGGAATGTCGGGCGGGATATCCACAAATGGGCGTTTACGGCTGCAGGTGTGAGGGTTTAGGGTTTGGAGCTTTGGGGTGTGAGGGTACGGGATAGGCTCAGGGTCTGGGGGTGTGGGAGGTCAGGGTTCAGGTTCTATCATCGGGATTTTAAGCATTTTACGTGGATTTACACGGTTTTCAAGCGCTAACGTTTCTTACCCAAACCCCAAGCCGAAACCCTAAGCCCGAGAAACTTGAGCCTCTGACCCCCACCAACAGGATCATCGAGCTTCGTGAGAAGTAGAGGGGCCGGGGCCTTGATAATTACTTCTTTCACTGCTAAGGCCCCAATATTAGGGTGATAAGTGCCTTAGGTTAAGTTACGTGACTAGAAACCCAACTTACTACGCCCCCTGATCCTTTAAGGAAGCCCAATCCCGGACGCCAACCCGAAACCCCCAACCTAAACTCTGATCCTTAAACCCTACATATCCTAAACCATACAAATCCCCCGAAACCCCAAAGCTTCAGATCCTTTGCACCCTACTTGGGGGGTCGGGGGACTTAGTAAGTAGTTAGTAAGTAGACTTATAAGTACCCTAAAAGGGACCCTAATTGGGGTTATGGTACTTATAAGTACCTAAAATAACCAGTTACTAAGTCCCCCGACCCTCCAAGTAAACTCCAATCCTGAAACAGCGCTATATCCTAAACCCGAATCCCCAAACCCCAAAACCTTCAGATCCTTTTCAGGTTCACACTGTGGAGGCCCTCACCGAGGCAATTGGCTTTGCCTCTGCGGCAGAAGGGGCTTCTCAGGGCTTTAGGAGGAGCGTTTTGCAGGGTCTTACAAGCCGCCATCGTGTCCAGATTTTTGGATCTTGGGTACCTAAATGATTACCAATCTGATTCCTTAGGTTACTTGTTAAGTTTATACCACCAAGGAGCCCGAACTCCTGCTCCAACTATTAAGTACATGACAGCGTTCAAAAAAATTTGGGTTTAGGGGTCGGGCTTCAGGGTTTTCGGTGTTTAGGGGCATGGTAAGGCAGTGGCAAAGATGAGTCATGCAGTTCCTCTGTGACTAAGCCAGAGGGTCAGAGTACCCAAATAGTAGCTTTTGAGTTCCCTAAGTCCATACTCCGAATGGTTTTGGCACCTTGAGACCCAAGAATTTCGGGTAGTCGGACCCCTTAGGACTCCCGTAAAAAAAGACCCCGCCCCGCAATCGGGCGGCCTCCGGAGGGTTTACTTGGAGGGTCGGGGGACTTAGTAACTGGTTACTTTTGGGGACTTATAAGTACCATAACCCCAATTAGGGTCCCTTTTAGGAAACTTATAAGTCTACTTACTACCTACTTACTAAGTCCCCCGACCCTCCAAGTAGGGTTTAGGGGAACCCTAAACCCTAAACCGGGTCGGCCCAGGATCGGTATCGCCGCCCACGCAATCAGCCAGGGGCGCACTTCCTCGACCCAGAGAGCCCAATACCCCTTAATTAAGGAATATGGCTTAAATCATAATATGAAACCCCATATAATTTAAGCCATAGTCCTTAATTATGGGGTATTGGGCTCTCTGGGTTCCTCGACAAGGACGTCCAGCTCGGCCTCTAGGGCGCCGCCGCCGACAGTTGGGACGAAGCCGTCTTTTTGGAGCGCCAAGTGCAGGGCCGATGACGGACAAATCTTCCGAACAGGCAGATGTCTCGATCCAGACATTGAGTAAGCCCTACACACTCAATCCTAAGCCCTTAGTCCGAGATCTGAACATTTCAGCGCAGGCCTTCTGGTGAGCGCTAGAGCGGAAATCATGGGATTCTTAACCCGGCCACCCGCGAACCCCCAAATCCCTGAACGCACTTAGAGGTTAAGGGTATGGGAGTTTAGCATTTTGGGCGTATCCTTTAATCCACCCAAAATCTACAGCCTTAAATGCCTAAACTCTTAGATGCCCAACACCCGTATTAGTAGCTGTAAACAAGCCCCGAGGTCATATCAACCTTTTAGATGCCCCATAAATCCCTATAACACACCGTCTAAACCCCATACTCTGGACACCCTTATGAACACCGTAGAGCCGTGTAAAACCCTAAACCCTCAACCCCTAAGCCGTAAACCCTAAACCCGAAACCTTAAGCCCTAAAGAACCCGAAACCCTAAACCCTAAAGAACCCGAAACCCTAAAGAACCCGAAACCCTAACCCGAAATCTAAACATCGACGGTGCGCAGATCCCGAAACCGGTGGTGCAGACGATCGAGAAGCAAATCCCCAGGGCCCGGGGGCCTGGTCGGTTTGGGGCTTCGGGGGTTCAGGGTGTAGGGTTTTTTTTGGAGTGGGGTTTAGGGGGTTTAGGATTCAGGGTTTAGGGTTCAGGTTTTTTTTGGGGTTTAGGGGGGTTTAGGGGGTTTGGGGGTTTATGGGGTTTTGTGGGTTTAGGGGGTTTAGGGTTCAGGGTTTAGGTTTTTTTGGGGTTTAGGGCTTAGGGGGCTTTGCGTTTAGTAGGGATTAGGGTGAAGGGTGACTGTATCGGCTCTATAAAGACTTGAAAAGATGCATAGATTTTTCTACCAGGAGTTTGAAGTGTTTTTAGAGAAGGCTTTTTAACGCTTTTCACAAAAGGATTCAGGCTCTTTGACAGCTTCAGAAGACTTTTGGTTGTTTGGGAGGGTGCAGCGTCTAGGAAGCTGTTGTGGAGATTCTTAGAGCTTGGCTTTCGGGTGGTAGGCTCATGACCTTTGTCTTTGCCTTGTGAGTTTGTTGTGGGCTTGTGAGTGTGTTGTGGGCCTAACTAATTTCAAGGTTAGTTTTTCTCCAACGGTAGGGTTATCTCAACGTAGTTTTCGTTTCTGCGTGTAAGGCAAGGCTTATTTACGGCTTAGGATTCCCTAAACCCTTAGACCCCTAAGCCCTAAACCCCAAATTCCTAAACGCCTGAACCTGGAAACCCCTAAACCCCTAAACCCCTAAACCCCAAGCTCTTAAACCCATAAACCCCTAAACTCCAAATCCGAGCCTCTCCTGAAAAGAACGAGCTCAAACATTTCACCAGATCGAGCTCCGGGCGCAAGAGCGCATCGTGGAGGCTCTGGGTCGGGTCGAAGAGAGGCTTTGTTTTTAAAGCAGATTTTGGGGCTGAGGGATTGGGGGGTTGAGGTTTAGGATTGTGGGTTTGGGGATTAGGCTGTCAGGTGTTTTTTGCGGTTTCAGGCTTGGGATTTTGATGTTTACGCTTGTGGATTTGTTACAGTAATATTGTAATACACCCCAAAGCTCAGTTCTGGTTTCAAACGTCCCTACATCGGTTTCTATGGGGTTCCTGTAACTGCCTAGGGCTTTGTAAGGATTCTTTCACGTTCATTTAGTAGGGTTCAGGGTTTTGGGTTGAGGGTGTAGGTTTAAGGTTTCGGCCGTTGCAATGATAATGGTCTGTTGCCAATTAAAATCTTCTGTCAGGGTTTAATGGCACCTCGTGGGCGCCGCTCCCTAACCCCCTGATGAATTCCATGTTTCATCCTCGGTGTGTTTCGGCTTGTGTCCGTGTCAGCGATTCTTTAGAAGCTGCCCCCACGCTGTAATAGTGGTATAATAGGAATATAATAGGGCCCTAATATAATGCTTATAGTCATTATTACAGGGTGGGGGCAGCTTCTAAGCGATTCTTCAGTTCGGGTTTGGTCGTGATTGTATTTGTAGTCCGTGCTCGGCCTGCTGGCAAAAAGAGTTTAGTGCCTGACAGTTTGAGCATCAGCCGATTGAGCATCATCCATACAGGGAACTCCAGAAAGTTGGAATATGCTTTCAGGGTAGGATATCTTATAATTTACCATAAAGGGTTTAGGATAATCATATTCCAACTTTCTGGCTTTTACTATAAGTCCAAAGCACCGGTGCCGGCGGAGCTAACGAGTTCTTCACGACGCGACGCCTGGTTGAAGATCGAATTTGGGCCGGCGCGTGCGTCGTCTATGCGGGGCCGATGTCTGCAGCCCACACAAACCTCGTTTAGACTCTAGGGAACTCCTTTTGATGCTTTCAAAGCACATAGGACCAAATATAGCTCCACAGGCTTAGAACTTCCTGCATATGGGTGGTTGTCAACATTCTGGCCCCTTTTTGGGTGCCCTAAATCTTAAGTGCTGTATTTTAATCGGGACCCAAAAAGGCACCCTAATTTTGACAACTACGCATATAACCTCTACGTTTTGTCAAGGCAAGGGGCTTCAGACTCAGCGCAACAAGGACCCCCCCTTTCCCAAACCTGGACCTCATGGCCCTGAAGCCCAAAGCCATTGAAGCTCTTAAGTCCTAAACCCTAAACCCTAAAAGCCATTGAAGCTCTTAAGTCCTAAACCCTAAACCCTAAAAGCCATTGAAGCTCTTAAGCCCCCCAACCCCCCCCCCCCCCCCCCCCAAAGTGCCTAAAACCCCAAGCCCTTGGCTGCTGTCCCCCAAAGCCGAAGCCCTCCTCCTCAAAGAGACCGAGGGTTGTAGCGTCTCGGGGTTTCGGGTTTGGGAGCCTCGGGGTTTAGGGTGTCGGGTTGAGGGTCTTAGGGTTTAGGCGCTTTTCTTAAGTAGACTAGCAGGATTTTGTGCTGGCTTCTGCAAGTTTTTAAGGGTTTTTGAGGGTTTTTGGAGGTTTGTCTTTCCAAGAACTTCCTTGGGGTTTAGGATTCGGGTTTCGGAACTGCAGGATTTTACCAGGCTATAACACAATGCACAGTACAAGGGCCCTATACTTGTATGGGCTTTTTATTGGAGGGTTGCACTCATCGCAGAGGTTCCGACGACACTGCAGGTCGAGCAGCCGGTTGAGGTGCGCTCAGGGACTGCAGTTTAGGGTTCAGGGTTTAGGGTTTTAGGGTTTTAGGGTATCAGCGCCAATAAACCAAAAAAGCAGCAGCAACAGCAGCAGCAGCCAGAGCCACGACAACTGCAACTGCAGCTGTAACAACAACTGCTACTACCACCACGAAGACGACTACGAAGTAACTGCTACGAGTGGTATTGGTCTGGTAATAGTCGTAAGGATGATTATGATGACAACGAATAAGGATGATTGATGATGATGACGATGATGATGGTGCTCGTGCTCGTGCTGGTGCTGCTGCTCGTGCTGGTGCTGGTGCTGGTGCTGGTGCTGGTGCTGGTGCTGGTGCTGGTGCTGGTGCTGGTGCTGGTGCTGGTGCTGGTGCTGGTGCTGCTGCTGCTGCTGCTGCTGCTGCTGCTGCTGCCGGTGATCAGAATACTAACTTTTCGAACCCTGAAGCTAATAGTATGCATAGCGACAAGCAATAAGCGTAATCGCCAGAACCAGAGCTACAGCCACATTCAGGAACAAGGATTCGTGCCTTGGAGATTGGGTTCCACGGGTAGCCGTTATCTCTTATAGACCTTAAACCCTTTAGGAGCCCTCATCCGTAGATCCCTTCAAAGAAACCCCAAGCCCTAGACCCTATACAAAAGCGAACCCTACAGGCCTTAAGCCCTAAATCCTAAGCCCCAAGCAGCCCCAACCCCAACCCCTAAACCTTAAACTCCTTAAGAGCCACCATGATCGTAAACCCTGAATCCCGTACAGCCCTAAGCTTAATCCCTAGACCTCAAGCTCCTTAAGAGCCATTATGAGCCCTGGAGGAGTCCGAAAAGCCCGAAGGTAAATCCCCGAACTCAACATGCCCAAAGCCCCTAAACCCAAGACCCTAAACCCTTAAACCTTGAACCCCAAGCCCATCCAACGCTTCTTTTATCCCTAAACCCCTACTTAGAGGATCATGGGACTTAGTTAGTAGGTTATAGTTGGGGTTATAAGTCCCCTAAGTGGGATTATCCTAAGTATAACTTACTTATAACCTGACTTACTAAGTCCCATGAGCCTTCAAGTAAGCCTTTGAAAACCCCCTAGCTCAAAGAGCCCCGGCTATTATAGTAGCCTTTATAGACCCCTTTTTTGGGGAATCCTGTTCAAACTCCCAACCCCCTAAGCCCTGAGAGCCCAACCCCTAGACCCCTAAACCCCTGAACCCTAACCCCCTAGACCCCTAGACGCCCTAAGCCCTAACCCCCTAGACCCCTAGACGCCCTAACCCCCTAGCCTAAACCCCTAAACCCTCAATCACCAAACCCCTAGACCCCTAAACCCTCTAAGCCCTAAGCCCTAAACCCCCTAGACCCCCAACACCTAGACCCCTAAAGCCAAAAAGAGCAACCCCTAAACCCTAACCCCCAAGACCCCCAAATCAACCCCTAAACCCTAAACCCTAAACCCTAAACCTTAAACCCTAAACCTCGACCTTAAACTTCAAACCCCTTAGCCCTAGAGAGCCCCCCGGGCGCCAGGTTCCTCAGGTGCTCATCGCCGAGCAGATACGCCAGGTCCCTGAGCCTGAGGCGCCGTTGTATTGGGGCGTGTTTTTTTTTTTTTTTTTTTGGGGGGGGGGGGGGTCGGGTTAGGAGTTTAGGGGTTGAGGGTTTGGGGTTTAGGGCTTGTTTTAGGGGGGTTTAGGACTTTAGGGGTTGGGGGTTTGGGTTTAGGGCCTTTTTAGGGGGTTTAAGACTTTAGGGGTGGAGGGTTAGGGTTTAGGGTTGAGGGTTCAGGGTTGAGGACTTTAGGGATTGTGAATTCAGGGATTGAGGGATTTGGGGTTAAGGGTTTAGGCTTTGTAAGGGTTGTTCAGGGACTTCGGGATTAATGGGTTTGGGGTTTAGGGTTTGAGGGGTTTAGGGATTTCGGGTTTAGGATTTAAGGCCTTTAGGGGTTTAGGCTAAATAGGGATTTAGGGATTCCGTTAGGGTATTCAGGGTTCTTACGGGTCCCTTGTGTGCCGTAGGGGTGTGAGAATTGAGAAGCGTTTTTGGAATTTAGGGTTCAGGCCCATAGCTCTTGTACGGTTTAGGGCTTGGGCTTCGCAGCGAATTCGAGTGCTGTTGGTCAGTTGCCAGCAAGGAAGTCAACCTCATGGGCGGCAGACCAGGCTGACCCGGGAGGTTACTGGGTCGAGGCTAGTGGTCGTACACGGCATCGGCTGATGCCGGCCTGCTTCCGCCACCGCTGAACGTGCTTGGCGAAGGAGCCGAGCTCATTTTTGCTTCTACGCGACCAAGGTCGGAACGCTATGTTTCTTTACGAATTACAGGCCCGTCGTTGCTTACGAGGTCAATCCTCATTGGCTCATTGGATGGTGCTTGCTTGGAAAGCTTTCAAACGAGATGCACAGCACCCATCTGCTCAAATGCACGCGGTCTTGCAGAGCTACTTGGAGGTTCGTGGGTAGTTATAAGTGGTGTTATAAGTCCCCTAATATAGCTTATAAGTATAGTTACCCTACTTATAACCCGACTTATAGCTCCCCCTAAACCCTAAACCCTATACCCTTATCGAATCCCTATAGATCCCTTTAAAGGACCCCTATGAACCCTACTTATAAGCCCCAAGTTGAAGCTGAGCGCACGGCGCAGTGGGAAGATGACCAAATTCCCGTGGCTGAGAAGCTCCAGTCTACTTAAAAGATCATGGGACTTAGTAACTCGGGTTATAATTAGGGTAACTATACTTACACCCCCAATTAGGGTACTTATAACCTTACTTACTAAGTCCCATGATCCTCCAAGTACCCGTCTGCCTTTCCGCACTGCTGTCGGTCCGCCTTTTGCCCCGTGCGTGCATAGATTGTTCTTGTTTGCTCTCTTGGCATTTGCTCTTCGAATTTTGGTGTTTTTTGGTTTGTTGTTTGGGAAGGTGTAGCGCCATTTAGCGTGGTCGCTTCAGGTTTCAGGCGGTTCAGGCCTATTTGGGCTTCTTCAGGTCTGCGTCAGGGTTTTGGGTTATGGGTTTTGGGGTCAGTCAGCGATTTCATTTGGAGTTTGGCGGTTTTGTGGGCTGTTCTTGGGTTGAAAACAGGGTTTCGTTGTCTATTGCTGTTTTTGGCTTCGAGGTTAGGGCCGTTTGGGTCATTCGGGGTTTTCAGTTTGGGTTGTTCAGGGTCTTGCGATGCATTGAGGGTATGTTGCTTTCGCCGAGTTCTTGTAAGTCTTCAGGTTGGCTGGTGTCGTCGCGTGCTACAGATGCCCCCCCTCACATGCCAAACAAATGATTGCTGGTAACATGGGTAGTAGGAGGTTTCAGTATTCCTCTTCCGGCACTTGCCAAAATCAGTGTTCTTCGCTACGATTGTCAAGGATCCTTGGAAACGTTTTTTGCTTTTGTACGTACGCGGACACTGTTCTACAATTTTTTCGCATTATGAATCCTTGGTATTGTTGCAACTGCATATGTGCCTGTTCTCGGTTTGGGAGTTTGGGGGTTTAGGGGCCTAGGCGTTTAGAGGTTTAGGGGTTTGGGGGTTTAGGGTTTAGGGGTTTAAGGTTTAGGGTTTGGGGGTTCAGGGCTTTGGGTTTGGGGGCTTAGGACTTGAGGTCTTGAGTCTGGGTTTGGGCGTTAGGCTTTTGGGATCTGAGGACTAGGAAGCTTGAGATTGCGGGTCCAGGTGCAGTACGTCGATAGGGAAGTGCCCAACGTGACCTACCAGCCGGTAGAGCAGAGACCCAGTGGCATTCAAATGGGAGCTTAGGATCCCTCAAAGATTCTGTAAAGGGATCTATAAAGGTTCTATAAAGGGAAAGGTTCTTTAAAGGGATCTATAAGGGTTCTATAAAGGGTTTAGGGTTTTTAGAGTTTCCGAAAATAGGGGTACGGGGGGTCCTTGTACGAAGGATCCCACTGTTTGGGGTACTCTATTAGGGTCCCCTTGTTTTCGGAAACTCCGAAATGAAGACAAACCCGCCAATATTCATAGCCCTACTTAGAGGCCCAGGGGACTTAGTAAGTAGGTTTTAAGTAGAGTTATAAGTCCCCTAAATGGAGTTACCCCAATTATAACCCTACTTAAAACCGACTTACTATGTCCCCTGGGCCTCCAAGTAGACCCTAAACCCTAAACCCCGTAGATCCCTTTAAGGAACCCTATAGATCTCTTTAAGGAGCCCTTACTAAGCCCATGATCCTTTAAGTAAGAGGATCCACACCCAGACGCTCCGAGCTGATTGTTGCTTCCAGGCTAGGATGCCCAGTAGTACCCTTCGGGATCTATAAGGGTTCCTTAAAGGGATCTATAAGGGTTCTATAAAGGGTTTAGGGTTTCCGAAAATTAGGGGCTAGGATGCCCAGTAGTACCCTTATTCCCTTTTTTTGTAGTCCTAGGTTCCTTATAAAGTTACCCAATACCAAAAGGAGAGGCCTCTTATTCTTAGGTTACTGGGTATCCTAGCAGGAATTTCAGGGTTTCGGGTGGTAGGCTTCTAGGGTCCCTGAGCTCTAACTGCAAGCCCTGAGCTCTCTGAACCCCAATCCCTAAACCCATCAGGCAGTAAGGGCTTTGCACTTTCGTGTCATGCTTTTTAGGTTTCGGGTTCGATTTGCGGTCTGGCTGAGCGTTGGACGCTAAGACCTGAAGGTTGTGGGATTGCGCGTCCAACATCCCTTAACGAATGAATGTATATAATCAATAATATACCTCAAATCATAGTAGGGCTTTCGTTGTAACGTGAGGGTATACCGTAAATTCCTTAACCAAGGGATATGTTTGAACAGCTGGGAATGCATGAGCTTAGCCGTAGACCCTGTGCGGAATGTGCTGGTCGCTTGGAGGGTCGGGGGACTTAGTAACTGTTTATTTTTGGGACTTATAAGTACCATAACCCCAATTAGGGTCCCTTGTGGGGTACTTATAAGCCTACTTACTACCTACTTACTAAGTCCCCCGACCCTCCAAGTGAGCACCGCACGATCGAATTCTGAGTCGGAGGCGTCCGGCCGACGCGTCGTATTTAAGGAGGGTTTGCAGGTAGGCGCATCTTTGATGACGTAGCCCACATATACCCCTATCCTAGTTGCTTCAGGGGTTGGTTTGGGGTGCTTCAGTCGAGAACTGACATGTAGAAGTGACTTGCACTTCGAGGTTGAGGGCTGGTGTTCCAAACTCCAGACCATTTCTTAGGGGTACTTAGAAAGATTTTTAATTTTGGTTATTATCCCAAAGAAACAGCTAAAATTGTGCTTTTTGCTAGGGTTCTAAGTTCAGTACAGATTTCTTGAACCGAGACCATATCTTTCCTACGACGGATCTTGCAGTGTTCCACCTCGTAACTTAGAGACGCTATCTTAATCATCTTCGTCGAAGGGAGGAAAAGAGTCGGTGGTACCATGGGTACAGCGTCAACATCTTCCAGGACATCAGCAACACGAATACGGTGACAGCAGCAGTGGCATCGACAACACTTCTACGTAGCAAATGTTAGTTGCATCAGCAGCCAAATCGCCAATGACCAAGTAACAAGGACGGCCACCTCCATCAGCATAGACGGGAATGTTTACCTGTTAACAAGCATTGCCAAAGCTAGTGCCAGTACGGTTGGAGTGGTAGCATAGCTGTAACGAAGAGTAAGCGTCACAATAGTAGGAATAGTAGTAAGATCATTAGGTGCCGAATAGCCCTAAATCCTAAGCCCTAGACGATTCTCCGCTAAACCTGCCCTGAACCCCAAAACCCCAAAAGACCCTGAGCTACATCCAGGACGGCTGCAAAACCCACAGCCCAAACCCTTCAAGCCCCAAGCCCTACAGCCCTGAAGCCCAAGGCCCTAGGCCCTGATCTTCTTTAAAGACCCAGATAATTGGGGGTACCTTGTTTGGGGGTCCTTATAGAAAGGATCCTACTATTTAGGGCACTATATTAGGGTCCCCTATTTTCGGAAACACCCAGATCTTAAACCCAAAGCTCCTGGACACCCAGCCCAGCCCTAAAGTCCTGAACCCTGAAAAACCGACGCCCCGAAGGCCCTGAAAGAGAAGATGGACTCTGGTAACTTGTATGGAGCCCTAAGAAGCCCTAGGAAGCCCTAAGAAGCCCTAAGAAGCCCTAAACCCTAAACCCCTATAAAATCCCTAAACCCCTAAAACCCCTAAACCCCTAAACCCCTGAAATCCCTAAACCCCCCAAATCCTTAAAATCTCTAAACCTTGAGCCCTGGAGCCCTAAGAAGATTTGACATCCAATCGTTTTTCAAGCTCCCACGGCTTTGCTCCATGCGAGGATAGTGGAAGTTCCTCAGGTGGGTGGGATGCCGGGGCGTTGTAGGGGTCTTTGGTCTAGGGGATTTTTGGGAGTGATGGGGATTCATAGGGTCATAGTGATTCATGGAGAGCTTGTGGTCTATATATACAGGGCTTTACAGGTGTTGTAAGGCTTTGGAGGGGTTTCATGTCAAGGGGTGCTTCAAGGAATCCCAGAAGGGTCGCCCTAAAGCCCCACAGCCCTAATTCAGCCTTTGCAGCCTTGGAGACCCTTCATTAACCGGGAAGCCTTAAAGCCAAAGCCTAACCCGCCACACGAAACGTTTCACCCAAAGCCCTAAGCCTGATACAAGAGGATAGGGGTTAACACGCATTTTTTGCTTTAAATGATCAAAACTGTATTTAAGGGATCAACAAATCTATTCCGATTTTATAAGCAACATAGAAAGGCAGAAGACAAAAAAGCGAGACAAAGCACAAACACCTGTCCCAGGGATCAACAAGGCTATTCCAAGCGAAGTCTAGAAAGGAGGACGGACACAAGAAATAGCGAAAGAAAGACAAGAAAGAACGAACATTGTAATTCCCCAATAAACCCTCAAGCTTGAGACTTGGCCGTAGAAGCCGCTTCGCTACATCCGGCCGAGGCAGATGCAGCCTTGGACTGGGCAAGCTGTCAGGAGCGTCGCCCGCACAGACGGCGTGCTGCCACTGCAACATTAAAGGAGCTGGTGTTGTGCCGCCAGCCCCGACTTCCTTGCCGCCTTCGCTGGAAGCCAATAGTTTAATGCTGCAGCTTGCGCACGATCCGTCCTTACCGTGACTCCATTCCCGCACAGCCCGGGCAGCCTTTCTTCAGCTCGACCAGCCTTTCCCTGCTTCCATGCCCTTAACCATGCGTTGGGCCGGTTAAGTGCATTATTACAACATTGAATTGTCGGCTTGCGGTTCCGTCCTCCACTCCCTTGCTCATGCCATCCTCGGCACAACAGGCTTGAATCACTCCCTGCAGGATGTCGGCGCTTCTTGAAGTTGACAGCTTGCGTTCCCTCCACAGCTAACCTCCACCGACGGCGCCACGGTGGGTGGCGCCCTTTTTACTTGCGGCTGCTGAGGTATTTGCTCCATCTTCCGCACAAGCTTCACGTCGCCTGAATAGCTGCGACCTGCACACGCGGTTTCTATCTTCCCTAGACCCAGTCCAGTCGCTAGACCCAGCCATTCTGGCCTCCTTGCACGCTGTCACTTCTGCGTCGTACAACTTGCGTCGCCTGAGCCCGCGAGTATGCGACAACAGCGGCTACATGTCCGGCGACTGCCAAGAGGCTTTGCTAGATTGCTTGTGTGCGCCAGCACACCTCCAAAATCTCTTGTTACATGCGCAAGCGATGCGAGCGCCGGTTTCTGACAAAGCTCCACTGCTGGTTGGAGATGGCGATGGCAGTCATGATGATAGTGGTCACGATGATCCTGTGCAGCGCCCGCCAAGCACTTCGTGCGTCTTGCATGACCTGGCCCAAGAAGTCCATTATTGATTCCGTGGCTGGCCAACTCAGGTGGCGGCCCTCGTCTCTGGCAACACATACCTTTGTGCAGCCACTGCATTCGTGAGCACACCTCGGAAGAAGTTTACGCCAAGGCTCTCCAAAGCATCCGCTTTCAGAGAGGGCTAGACATCATCATAGAGCAAGCTTCCAAGCAACCATGTGTGCTAGCATACTCAACCTTCCTCCCTCTCGCTGTTTCGATCTCTTTCAAGCTTGTTTGGCCTCTTGCCACCACATGAATCATGCTGTCTCACTTTGGGCGGATAAGTCAACCAGAGCTCGATGGTGGGCCTGCCCTACTGGACCCATGGGTGCTTTCGAGCAGTTCGTACGGTGCCAAGATTGCCTTCACCCTCAGCGGCACTGGATCGGTGTTGGCAATAATCGCATCCAGAACCGGCTCCGTGCTTTGGATGGAGGTTTGCTGTTGCAAAGTCCTTAGCCCACGCCGATTTTGCCGCGTTCCCCATCGATCCCCATCAAGAAGACAGTGGACGCGGGTAAATTTGGGATCTGACCCGTTGGCTCGGTGGCTGGAGGCTGCAAACGGCGGCAAGTTCGAGTGGGGCACTGGCGAAGACGAGAAGAAAGTTCAGGATCGCAGGCACAAGCAGCTGCTGTGGCAACTGCCGCTGCCTCAAACCGACTCAAACCTACCAGTCAAAGACAAGCACTCGTTGAGTTTTCCAGCCTGAATATCAATGTGTGCTTGTTCCAACAATCCTCCTTGTTCGAGGAGTGGTGGTGTCCTGGTGAGACAGTTCACAAATGCGGCGCTAGCGCCTGCATTCTCATGTCCCCCACATCGAGTGCCATGGTCTGCCGCGAGACATCAGGATAGGTTTCTATCTTCTAAGTAGTATTTTGGATCCCTGATATTATTTTAAGAATGTGTGGTTTTGACCCCTCACCCTCATAAAACTCTCAAGCTCGAACTCTGAAGGTGTTTTGGTTCCCTCAAAAACACTATAAAGCCTCCGAAAGCCTTCTAACACCTTCCAATACTTTCTCAAACTCTATAAACCCTATCAACCATCATGCAACCCTATAAAGCCCCTACACCCCAACTCTTCAAAAATGAGCAAAGCCCCACAAGAAACTCCTACAACCGGGCTCGGGAGCCGTGGCAGCTTCCCGGCAGGTTGTCAAAGAGGAGCGACTTGTGGAGGTCTGGCCATAGGGCTTAGGCTTTGGAAGGTTTCCTAGGGGTTAGCAAACGAGTGCTATAATCAGAGGGCTCATGAAGGCGTTTGAAGGGATACAACGGGTCTTAGGGCTCTAGGGAATCAAACGGGATTGGAAAGGGGTTTAGGGTTAGGGATTTGGGTTTGAAAAGGGCGGCAAATGGGGTTAAGGACTTGTGCTTGACAAGGGTTCAGGGTTTAGGATTTGCCAATTGTTTATTGGTCAGCGGTCTTGATGCGTAGGTTCCGTGAGGGGTCCAGGCAAGGGCTCTGGGTGCCGGGTTTATGCAGTTCAGAAGCTTAAACAAGTAGTAATAGTAACAGTGTTCACTGGGGTTGGTTATTCTAGCTGTACGCACCAAGGCCTTACTCAAATTGTTGAGGCCATGTAGACACGTTGGTTTTTCTTTGTGAAAGGGCTTGTCCGGTGGGGTTGGGCTCTGGCTTCAAGGTTTGGAAATTGGGGGTCTCTCTAAAACCGTCGCCTGAGACAGGACAGCCTTCAAGAAGCCCCTGTTGAGGGGCAAAGGGTTTAGCCATAAAGCCATGAACTTCGAGCTGCCCTAAAGCCTCCCTGTATCCGAAAAGGCGTACCTTTTTAAGGAACTATATATAAAAACCATAATAAGGAACCCTAAAACGGTAGGTCTTGTCTTTTCGGCTACAGGTCAGCTCTGTTTCAAGGAGCAGAACTCGGATTACCAGGATGAAGAGGTGCAGGATTCAGGAGTCGGTGCCCGAGACCTCGAGGCGTAAGCTAACCAGTGGTTTTGGGGGTTCCCTTGGCCTTTTAGCTCCTTATTTAACAGGGATTATCATCATCCTGGCTCCTTAGCTCCCCCAATATCAATGGCTAGTAAGTTCATGAACTTCAACAAAGAAGCCCGCAAGACCTACACGGCACCCTAAGCTTTCAACTCTAACTCCTGAGAAAAACCCTACAAGAAGCCGACAAGACCTACCTGCTGTTGCGAGATTCCGGCAGGTCCCGCAGGTGCAGCTGGCGGAGTTCGTGAAGCAGGTGGCAGGGGTGGGTTCTTGGAGGGCTGGGTTTCCGTGGTTTCCTTCGTTTTTTGTTGCTGCCTATGTTTGCTAGTATCGACTATGCAGGGTTCAGGGCTTTAGGGGTCCTGGGCTCGCAGGGTTTAGAGCTTGAGGGCTTCATGGGGTTTAGGGTTTAGGGTTTAGGGCTTCATGGGGTTTAGGGCTTCGTGGGGTTTAGGGTTTAGGGCTTCATGGGGTTTAGGGTTTAGGGTGTAGGGCTTAGGGTTTAGGGTTTAGAGCCTTAGGGCTTCATGGTGTTGCGTCTTGGCTTCTGGGTTTGGGGCTTAAGCGATGCTTCGTTCTGTGTTTTCGGGTTTAGTGTTGCGGGTGGTCGGGGTGCGGGGCGCGGCATGAGGGTGGTTGTCAAACTACCCCGCTCCTCTCCCACTGAAGCCTATACCCCGAGCCCAACTCTATCCCACAAACCGACAGATCCTGCTTATATGGACGGTTGTCACAATGAGGGTCCCTTTTTGCGGTACCCTAAATATTAGGTGCCGTATTCAAGTAAGGACCCAAAAGGACCCTAATTTTGACAGCCACCCATGACTCAGGGTTGAGGCAGTCATGCCTGAAGTGTTTCGGGCTCAACGACTAAGAATTTCCACAGTTTTTCGAAGTTTGGTGTGGTTTTGACGAGACCAGAACGGGCTCGGGGGTCCAAGGATCAGAGGCCTTGGGAAATAGGGTGACAAGTGATTTATACCTATCTATCTACTTATAACCTCAGTTTAAAGTACTTGCGCTATCTCTTACAGTTGCTTTATAGTTGTATCTACTTATAAACCCTAAACCCTAAAGCCCTAAACCCTAAACCCCATTTTAAGGCATGTAAATTTCTCCTTACGAAGTCCCATGGATCCTTGAAGCAATGCAGGCCTAAACCCGGTTCAGGGCCCCCAAATCCGCACATCCTCAAACCCAAAACCCAAGACCCAGAACCCCAACGACCCTAACCTCCCCCGCAAACCCTAAAGACGGTTGGAGGCTCCGGGGTTTCGAATTCAGGGTTGGGGTTTGATTGACTTACTCATATCCTAAACCCTAAACCCCAAATACCCTAAGCCACCTAAACCCCAAAAACCCTAAACCCTAAGCCCCAACTACCCTAAACCCCCTAAACCCCAAATACCCTAAACCCCCTAAGCCCCAAATGCCCTAAACCCCCTAAACCCCAAATACCCTAAACCCCCTAAGCCCCAAATACCCTAAACCCCAAAACCCTCAACTTCTCCCAGCGAGAGGATCATGGGACTTAGTAAGTAGGTTCCTTTAAAAGGCTCCTTTAAGGGATCTATATAGGGGTTCTATAAGGGGTAGTTTAGGCTACTTAGAGGATCATGGGACTTAGTAAGTAGGTTATAATTGGGATTATAAGTCCCCTAAGTGGTGTTATCCTAATTATAACTTACTTATAGCCTTATTTACTAAGTCCCATGAGCCTCTAAGTAGACCCTAAACCCTAAACCCCATAGATCCCCTTAAGGATCCCTATAGATCCCTTTAAGGACCCCTTTAGAGTTACTAAGTCCCATGAGCCTTCAAGTAGCCTCGAAGGCTCAAGAGTTCCGTTTCATCGTTCCCGACTTCCCAGAGAGACTCCCAGAGGTTCTGGGATTTGAGGCTGTAGGGTTTAGGGTTTGAGGGGTTTAGGGTTTAGGGGTCTACGGGGTTACGGGTCTAGGGGTTTAGGGGTTTAGGGCTTCAGGGGTTTGGGGTTTGGGGTTTAGGGGTTTAGGGGTTAGGGTTTTAGGGGTTTAGGTTTTAGGGGTTTCGGGGTTTAGGCTAGAAGCCCACATGCTTACCAATATCATTCCCAAGGATTCCGTAACCGAATGGGCAAATCCCTAATCTTGAAGCTTGGCCATAAAGGCAGGACCGTTACTTCATTCAGTGCTTAGGGTTAGGGTTTTTAAACCTAAACCGTAAACTCCAAACTAAAGGCTAAACCTGAACTCCCCAAACCCTAAACCCTGAACTCCCTAAACCCTAAACCCTAAACCCTGTGGAGCCTTAAAAGCTTCTAAAGCCTAAGCCCTAAAGCAAGCATCCGGACTTCGGGAGTCCCTGGGCCGTTCCCGAGCCATGGCTCGCGCACCGCTGGCCTTGCGAGCCCTGCTCTTTGCCTTGAGCCTGCAGGTGCTGGCAGCTGTGGAATCCGGAATCATTACCACTAGTCTTCCCTAAGCTTCCCTGTCTATGCATACGATCGTATTGCAAGAAAATACCCTAAACTCCCCTATCTTGAGCTGGAATCCCTCAGGTGGCCTCCCCGAGATTACCTTTATAGAAGAACCCTCCAGGTGTGGAAGCTGTGTTTCGCCGAGCTGGGCATCTTCTCGGCACGTGCAAGAGTAGCTTGGTGCTCCTTAGGAGTTCGGGTTTAGGGTCTAACGTTGAGGAGTCAGTTTCATTATAGTCAGAATACAAAGCCAAGGTTAGTACTAGAGGTCATTTCCATGACTGCTAGTATCATCAAACCACGGTTTCAAACCTCAACCGTAAAGCAATAATATGGGGGTCTTGATAATTACAAAGATTATTCCTTCGGTTTCCTTGTTATAGTTAAACTTTAAAGGAGCCCAGAGCCCTATTCTAATCGTTGAGGCCCCAACTTCAAACACATTCCTAAACCTCTCCGCTAAGGTAGCTTGGTTGGCGGCAGGTTTGACTCCACACACCGAGCTGCCACAGCAGACGACGGTACACCCCGTGCCTTTTCCGGGGGCTTAAAGGTTTCTGAGTTCTTCGGGTTTCTTGCAGGGTTCCGTCAGGGTTCCAGAAAGGGTTCTGGGTTCCGAGAAAGGTTCTGTCTCGCGGACTAGCTAGGGTTGAAGCCCAGCCAACTACGTCGACAACGCCAGTCCAGGTGTCATCATCCAGAAGCTCGCAGAAGAGATCTGTTTCTGAGACCGGCCTGTCTACGCAGGACATGCAGAAGGTGGCGAATTTAGTGCTATCAGGTGGGGCTCTCTATGCAAGTGGCGCCTACAACAGCAGCTACGCGGCTGTGTTGGATGCGCACTCTCGGGCGATGAAGAGAAGCGCAGAGTACCGGAAAACCCGAAGAAGGTCTCCGTGAGTTCCGACTGTCCAGTGCTTGGACAACGCCACACCCTAGCCCGTCGGCTGCAGTTACCGGAAAAATCGGGTACTGGGTTACAAATTTATCGGGTTATATGAACAGTAACCTGCTATTTGGGTAACTGGAGCCCCGGAAAGCTGAGCACTGTAGTTGAAGCCGAGGGCAGGGCTTGTCGGTTCAAACGATGGTAATAAAGCCCCTGAGCGCTTTCAACTTTTGCGCCCCTCGATCGATCTTGAACAACGAGTGACGCCCTCGGCATCTGGAAAGCGTCTGACCTGCAGAAGTCCTGGCAGCCGTCCCGCAGAAAACGTGTCTCTGCACGCTTGTTCTGCTTTTTATGCTGTGTGTGTGTGTGTGCTGTGCGTGTGTGTGTGTGTGTGTGTGTGTGTGTGTGTGTGCGGTGTGTGTGTGTGTGTGTGTGCGGTGTGTGTGTGTGTGTGTGTGTGTGTGTGTGTGTGTGTGTGTGTGTGTGTGTGTGTGTGTGTGTGTGTGTGTGTGTTGGTGTGTGTGTGTGTGTGTGTGTGTGTGTGTGTGTGTGTGTGTGTGTGTGTGTGTGTGTGTGTGTGTGTGTGTGTGTGTGTGTGTGTGTGTGTGTGTGTGTGTGTGTGCGCGGCGTGTGTGTGTGTGTGTGTCTGTTTGTGTCTCTGTCTGTGTGTGTGTGTGTGTGTGCTTGTGTCTCTGTGTGTGTGTGCCTTGTCTCTGTCTCCCTATACCGGAGTGTAGGACTATATACAAGCTGTTGATAAACTGGTTCGCACGCAAGGCTATGCAAGTGTGTGGTGGGCACAAGCCTATGAACTGGTCACTCTTGAGCGCCATACTGTAGACCAGCACTCATGTATGAATCTAGGTGCGCATACAGGGGGAGAGACGCATTGACCGGTGCTCGTTTCGATGCAGCTGTCGGTCTCCCTGTTTGCATATATATATATATATATATATATGTGTGTGTGTGTGTGTGATTGCGTCAGTGTGTGATTGTGTCCGTGTGCTTATTATTGATGCGCTATGCATGGATGTGTATGTGATATGTGTCGTGCTTGCCCAGCCGACTGGTTCTGTAGGCATCGGTCCCCCTCTTATTGGTTTATTTCACAACTTGCATGTGCAGTCAATGTTGTTCTTCCTCTTGGACATGTTGCTGTGCTCATCAACATGGTTATGTCTTCTTGCATCGCTATCTGGGTTGAGGAATATTTCAATCATGCGTTATAGTTATGACAGCTTGATTTGGACAACCCTGACACTTAAACCTAAAGCCTGACATGTTGAGATTGGTTTCACCCTTCATCCTGAAATCTCAACACAAGAAGGCTCTGAAGCCTTAGTGTCTAATATTGGGGCCTAAACGATTACCAATGCTGTTTTGGGGGTTCCTTCGAACACATATATAGTGAAGTGTCTCCACAACCCTACTTAGAGGATCATGGGACTTAGTAAGTAGGTTATAATTGGGGTTATAAGTCCCCTAAGTGGGGTTATCCTAATTATAACTTACTTATAACCTTACTTACTAAGTCCCATGGGCCTTCAAGTATTCTCATCATTTAGGCCCCTATGTTACAGCCCTAAGGAAGCTGGAAGCTCCAAGCCTTGAATTTGCCTGTCACCTACTTAAATGATCATGGGACTTAGTAACTAGGGTTCCTTAAAGGGCTCTTTAAAGGGACCTATAGGGTTCCTTAAAGGGATCTATAGGGTTTAGGGTTTACTTAAAGGATCATGGGACTTAGTAACTAGGGTTATAATTAGGGTAACTATACTTACAACCCCAATTAGGGTACTTATAACCTTACTTACTAAGTCCCATGATCCTCCAAGTAACCAACGACCAAAAAGCACCCAACCTGCTCTGAACCAGAGAGCCCAAAACCCTAAGGCCCCACCCTCGCAGCCTGAACCACAAGCGAACCCTTATAAGGACCTCATACGAGCCTCCAGGCGCAACCACAACATCCCCAAATGCATGGCCCGTAGATGCCTACAGCGTGTGGCGCAGCTTCCCTTGAGCCCTAAACTTTACACCAAAGTTTAAGTCCGAAGCCCCAAAACTTCAAACCCGAAGCCCTAAGCCCGAAAAGCCTTCAATCCGAAACCCTAAACCCCAAAACCCAAAAGCACCTAAACCCTGAATAGCCTCCAAACAGCTGAAACCCTAAAACCCCAAAGCGCGACACCAGAAACCCTAAGCCCTAACTGAAGGTTCCCAAGCAGCAGATTCGGGAAGTGCCCAAGCACATCCCCCGGGTCGAGACGCGGTGTGCCGGGTGCTGAGATGCTGTTTTTTCGGGTTTTAGGGTTTAGGTTCTCAGTTCAGGGTTTCGGGTTTGGGGTTTAGGGTGTGGGTCTCGGGGGTTGGGGTTTGGGGGTTGGTGCTTGCGGTACAAAGTTTAAGGGCGTGTCGGGTTCAGGATTTAGGGCCGGATGTGGCTTTCGTAGCTCCCCATGCCACAATGAGCTGCTTTGTTCGGGTTTGGGACGATGTATGCATACTTATCGCGGAAATAATTGCCTGGCGTTGCAGGGAACTCAAAGTAGAAAAGGGAACACCGTGGCCACTCTCAGTCTCTGCCCCATCTCCAGTTCAGAGTGTTAATGGATGTAATGGATGTTCGTTTAGGGCTCATATCCAACCCCCAACATCCATTTCCCTAACCTGACTTTTCTAGGAATGGGCCTCATAAGTTTTAGGGCCTTCATCAGAATTTCAGTTTGGGCTGTAGGCGGATGGTTCTTTAAGTAGGGTAGTTTTCGTCCTAGAGACTTCAGGAGTCCTTGAGGCTTTTCGGCAGGCTTACCGGTACAGTTGTTGGTGGTATTAGCATCATGATTCTTCTGTTACTCGCCCTAAACCCTAAAGCCTCAACCCTAAACCGTGGCTTTTACAATCCCGAAAGACCAAGCCCTGACGACCTATACACCCCCAACCGTTTCTCGGCTGCGGGTGTCTGCCCAGGTTGAGAAAATCCAGTCCGTTCCGCCTGGGCCCCGGTTTTTCAGGGCCGAGCTCTTTGGTCTGGTTTCGGGTTTAGGGTTTAGGTTTTAGGGTTTAGGGTTTAGGTTTTTGGGTTTAGGGTTTAGGTTTTAGGGGTTTAGGGTTTAGGTTTTAGGGTTTAGGGTTTTGGGTTTAGGGTTTAGGGGTTTAGGTTTTAGGGGTTTAGGTTTTAGGGTTTAGGTTTTAGAGTTTAGGTTTGAGGGCTTAGGGTCTGGGGTTTAGGGTTTCGGATTCATTTACGGTTGACTCGGGATGTACTGGCTGTGCTGTTTTAGCTTTGGAACCCCTTGGCCCCAAAGCCCTCAACATGCAGTCCTTTACATGCCAAGCCTTCAAGGACCACCCCGAAAGCAGAGGGACAGAGAAGCTGTCCGCAAGCTATGGTTTCTTAGACCCCCCGGCCCCTTCCTTCGATTCCCTGGCGCGGAGCCCTAAACCCCCTAAAGCCCTAAACCCCTAAACCCTATAAACCTTAAACCCTAAGCCCAAAGCCTCAGCCAGACTTCCCGAAGATCCTGCACTCATGTGTACAGGAGCTCGAAAAGCCCTGAAGAATCTCTGAAAGGAAGCCTTCCGCCGCCCAAAACCTCAGGCCCCCTAAACCCTAAATCCCTAAACCTTCCGCCGACCAACACACCAAAACCGAAGCCCCTAAACCCCTGAACCCTAAACCCCTAAACCCGAAGCCCCTAAACCCTACACCCTAAACCCCTAAACCTTCCGCCGCCCAAAACCGAAGCTCTTGTGATGGAAGCACAAAAATCTGCTTCTCCCAGGGTGAACCTTCTCCACGAGGTGGCCGTTGAGGTCCCCCAGGCTGGGCCATAGTATTTTTGTTGTTTTCGATCGTTTCCTGCTGTTTGTTTGGTGCAGTTTTTTTGGCATCACCTAGGCTTTTTTGGTTAAGAACTTCTGGACCCATCTTGCTTTTGTGTTGGTTTTTGAGAGGTTATTGGTTGCATCAAGGGTGTTTCGCGGCCTATCGGGGATTGCGTGATTGGGGACTTGCTTGCAGATGCAAGGTTTAGCAGTTTAAGGTCAAGGTCTAGTGGGAGTTAGCAGATACCATTTCCATTTTCTAACCATGCCCCACCCCCTAGCCCCCAAATCATAACAACCTATACCTCAACTCTAATCCAACTCAAGACCCATAGGTAGAACCCTAGGAATAACTCACCTGAAGATCCAACACCATAACAACCTATACCCAATACCCACATAATGGAACCACTAGAAGAACCATACACCACCGCGTAGAAAAACCCCAACCTCAACACCATACACCCGCACTCCCATAGAAAAAACCATATGCCCGACCCGAAATCCCTAACCCTTGAAAATGGAAATGGTACTCTCTAATAAAATATCTATAATCGGAATAAGGTTTAGGAATGAGGTAGGAATAAGAAACAGAATGATATTATTTCAATAAAATAATGCTATTATTGGTTTTTATTTAGGATTGATTAGATCGCCGTATTCTTGTTCAATGTCCTTAATACTTTTGTTCAACCACTTAACGGCATTTCCATTTTCTAACCATGCACACCTCCCTAGGCCACCTGAAGACCCAGAACCCACCAACAGACTCCACAAGGAAGACCCATACTAAGACCCAAGTAATGAAAACCACACTATGGAACCATGCGTACCCCCATAGAAAATAGCTTACTTGACCACACAGCGTGCCCGACCCGATAGAAAACAGCTCGAACCGACTAGAACGATACTTGCAGCGTAGCATGAGGTACGTGCCGAAGTTCCGTTTTCAGCTTCAACCGCACTCTCATTGGAGCACTTCTTCCTTCTCTCAATAGCCATGAAAGCTGGCTTCTCATTTGCCTCGTTCTTTTGCGCACAGAGGGTGCTATTCCATTCTTCTTTTGCGGTTCGTCCCGGCTCCTTGTGCGTTCCCACACAGGGTCAGTCAGTGGGGCGAAGCAAAATGAACAGACGGACTCGGACTTGCGCATTCCCACCACGTTCCGGAGATGTTCGA